GGAGGAGGAGGAGGAGGAGGAGGAGGGAGGAAGGAAGAATGATCAACATACATATATGTCAGACGTAGCGACCACAGATATCAACTCGGTCATGTGAAGTCTTTGACAGTCCCCTGGAGCATCGTTGGAAAGGGATGAGTTTAACGACTGACCCTGACGGAGCAGACAAAGATCGTGAATGCCGTTTGGTGTTTTTGTTATCTCAAATCCTTCCAATGATGTTGCATCCATCAGTACATGGAAGCCTGGTGATCGATAGAAGTCCTGTAATGGGTGGAGATCCCTCTTTCCACTCATGGATGAATAGCCGCTGAGGTATCGATGTTGAACTCGCGATGCCATCTCTGTTTCTGTTCGCGTCCTGGCACCGGGGGTCTTATAGCCAACGGACTCACTGAACCCGTCTTCGCTGTAGAACTCCAGTCCAGTGATGAATATACCTTGGTTGTCATCAGCTAGTATAGAGACTCCGACCTTTGCCAGCTTGGGAGGTATGTCCACGGTTTCGACCTTTGTTCCCGCCCAGCGTGTGTTGTGGTAGTGCTGCAAGGCTCTACCTTGAACGTCCAAGAGGCGTGTCTGCCCTGCATTCACTCTGAGGTATGCGTCTCTTATCCATCAGAAGGTCTCCCACATTTCCAGCATCCTATCAAACTTCTCATTCCAAGGTAGCGTGGACGTGCTATGATACAGATGTTGCCAGTCGAGGCCATCACCTGTTCCTCTAGAAGACTCTCTTACAATGCGGTATAGAAAGCCCCGTTCGCCATTGATCTCGAACCGTGCTCGCCAGAACCTAGAACTGAAGAAGATTCCTTCCATCGCACGCGAAACCGTCCGGAGCCTTAGGATGTCACGGGTACTTAGTTGCTCCGCAATTATGTCTTTGATCTCCAAAGGCAGAGCTGTGAATGGATCGGTGGAATTTCGCCGGTGGGCAAATTGGGTCGCCACCTCTGGTGTGCGATCTGGTATCCGAACCCCTCGTTGTAGCAACTGCTCAAGGGAAGGCTGATAAAACGGTGGTTCCGTTGGTAGAACACTAAAGCCCCCTGAAACATACCGATGGGAGTCCGTCCCATGACGTGGGAAATAAGATAGTATCCAAGAAAGTGTGCCTAGTCTAATCTCACCAGGATTGAAGTGATCTTCCAGCCGTTCCCAACACAACTCATGAAAGAGCACTAGGTCGTCTCTCCACTTCCATGGCAAGGACAACGTCACATAGTCATCTTCCATCGTATCCCATCGCTTGTGTCGATCGCGTGGTACCCTGAAACCGACGAATCGATCCTGTACGCTTCGTAGACCAACCCCAGATAGCTCATACTGACCCGTGGTTCTCCATACTGTGTCTCATAATATGTAGTAAGTAGTATGCCGATACACTCACCAGAGACTACTTACTAACGCGAAAGGTACGTTGCGAAAGAGGAGCATCCACTCGATGGTCGATCCTCGCGGGACACAACGCACACATGGAATGGTCCCCGTAGAGTGGGCCAAACGTGTACACGAAGATGGACATGTCCGGTTCCTGTCGTAGCAAACGTGTTACTGGCGGTGGATATACCTCAGGTTCAATATGGGTGAGTTAGTCTGTCGGTAGCATGACAAATGGACTTTTGTGGGTATTACTTATGACGGTTGGATGGCGTTCTAAGGTTGTCATATCGTCCCAAGGTCAGACTTCAGGTTACCTCGGTTACAAGAGTACATCACTCATTTCGCCTTTTATTCACTAAACTGGAACAAAGAACAGGAGCATTTCTCAATTACGTATTGCAATCAACAGAGTTTGACATGCTGCCCTGTGGGAATGGTTGACACAACTGCTGGTGTCTAGACAATCCCTTATGACAAAGTGGCTAACCCTATTGTTGCATTCTTCGTAGGATGGTGATTGAGTTAATGTGACAGGTAGGCAACAGTGTGGCTTACTCCCCTTTAATGTTTTATCAAAGAGTCGTCGAAAGACTGAGGAAGCGATACACCAAGTGTCTTCGAGTAGACCTCCACCACACACTTATACAAAGAGAGACCACCACCAATTGCAATCCAAAGCTGAGCCGCAGGAATGGAGAGAAGGGTCATATGGTCGAATTGTCCACAATTACAGTAGAGGTTGGCAGTTATTCACTAAGTACTTCTCAAAATAACCTTTCCTAGCCGATGATTGCAGTGTGCTTGAGGTTATTTGCGAAGATACAGATCCAAACTCTTGGACAACAGCTAGGACCGGTGCCTATGATATTCACAATGAACCGTAACTGGAATCGATCTCTTGGTTCTTCTTTATTAATAGTATGTGTTTGACTATTCTCTTTGTATAATTCATCGTGGACTTAGTGATATAAAGACCCTCCACCCACCCTCGAAGAGTCCGATTCCAACTCTCAATCATATAGCTCTCTAGAGCAACCATTTCCTACAGTCGACTTGACTTCATACATACATGATCTCCCTACTTGTATATACTTGATGGTGGCCTTCAACACGTTGATATCTCAGGGTTCTAGTCTGACGCAAACGTTTATCACTGGCCGTTCCTCGCTGAACACTCGACACAGAATTGAGTCCTTGAGTGGCGACCAAAGACCTGCAATGTCACGGTCATGTCAGGGACCTTGAGATGTGCATTCGCATATTCACAAGAGCCCTCCCAGTATTGATGCACTCCGGGAAGCTGACGTGTGCGATACCCAACAGTCGTCCCTACCCCTATAGGACTGTGGGTATGTTTTTGAGCAGCGTCCTATAGTCCTCGACTTTCTTTTTTTCTTTTTTTTTTTTTCAGTTGAGCATCATCTCCACTCTACAGCGGCCCAACCAATATCACTGTTGCTGAGGGCTTGGAATTCTTCCTGGGGGTGCCTATATCCTGGATGACGGATCACAGCCTAAGAAGATACCATCTACTGCAGCAAAGCGCACCGGAGCAGACATCAATGAGCCAGAGCCAGAGCCATTATCTTTATCGATGTCTACAAACGCCCTTTTGAAAGACATATTGCTCGCACACATCAGCAAGAGCACAACCAAGAGCCATTGATTACGTTCGGCATGTTGCGGGCAGGATAAAATATTGTCTGCGTGCTGTTACTCTCTGCTACTCTCTACGCTGGTGCATATAGTAGTTGTTTACGCAGCGGCCACAACGTAATATCTTGGTATTAATGCGGCCTTTGGCGAACCTGTTGACTTTGATGCTGGACCACAATTATCTTGGTCACTGGATATTTCCGAACACGGAGGATCTTCATTCGACATGAATCTGTCAATGTCAAGATATAACCATGTCATCAACAACGTCTCGGTATTCCACCCTGCCCCTCGGCGATGTCCGTCTCCTGCCTATCACTATTGAGACAAGTACAGCTCTAACTCGCCTGACAGAGCGGCCGCGAGGGCGAAGAGAACTGCAATTCAGCGGAAGCATCGTATGGCGGATCATTCTAGTGAACCCCAGTCTCAAACACCTACTCCATCATATATGCTTGCAAGGCCATCGCAGCCATCGCGATCGTCTCCAACGCTGCCCTCAGTACTCCATACTATACTCGTCCGCATGCCGATTCCTGATATCACTTTGTCAGCTTCAATACCACTGCACCGTTTGATCCAAAGCCTCCATACTATCCAGTTATTGGAACAGGGCTATGATCGCTCTTCTAGCCTTCATGCTATGGTACAAGGTATGCTGCCTTCTGGCCAGGTGAAAGTACGTATCCACCCTTTAGTCTATCGAATGGAAGCTTCCGTGAAGGAAAACGCTGACATGGACGCTAAGTTCAAACCTAGCGCCTGATATCTTGGCTTCCGAGTCCTTTATTTGCTAAGCAGTGAGAATCATGGCTTAGCACTACCTTGACACGAGACCTAGCCCTCATTCTTCATCTAATCCGGCGCTTCAGCAGAAGGTAGATGAACACGGAATCATACGACACGCGGGAACCTGCTCTCTTCACCAGTGACGCAAAGGCCTCTGAACAAGTACGATAGATCTTCTCCAGTAGAGATGCGAACACTCTCCATTGACAGCTAAGTCTACGCTCCGACTCAAACCTAGTCCAACGAAATTACATCACATGCAATATGGAGAACCCTTCATCACGCACACAGAGTTGAAAATATCTATAGAATCAACCTATGTCCCGAGCAAGCCGCTAGCTAGGTTACCATCAGAAGACTCACTCTCAGACAACATACAGGCATTGCTATATAATATCAGACTAATACTATACGAACACCTGTTTGTATCTCTAGCTCTATTTAGCACAAGTCTGATGTCATCTAGTAATGTTTGTATATTGCCTGAGAGGGAACTTTCTGATGGCAACCTAGCTGGTGGCTCGTTCGGTATGTCGATTGATTCTATGGATATTTCCAACTATGACTGCGGGTCAAGGGTTTCTGAGTATTTTCTGAAGAACCTCACCCCCCCCTTGATTATGCAAGTTTATCCGAAGCACTTCCATCCTGCGGCTACTCCTTTACAAGTGGGCCCTGGGAACGTGCTCTCGAGCCTTTGGCATTCACCTAAGTCAGGACCATGTATACAGGATCCATCAAATCTACTAATTTCCGTAAAAGCATGATCATGTCCTCAAAGAGCCTTCTTTTGTATCACTCCCAACCGGCGAAATATCGCGCCATAGAGTAGATCACACTATCCACGGTAGCAGCTCATGTTTGACGGAAATTTATTATTTACTGCCGGAGTAGTCCCAGAACAGCAGCTGTCGTCCACGCGCGGCCGCGGCTTTAGCTGTGGTTGTAAACAACGACATAAGCCTACCAGACCTCACGGGTCTAGAAGATATGAATAGAGGAAGGGGTTACAGTAACCCCAGAAAGACGACCCTTTTAGTCCAAGTTCACCAGAGAAGAGAGAAGATACAGCCTAAACACTTAGAGGAGAGCAACTCTAGAACACGAACTGGGAAGTATAAAATCGACTTTCGCTCGTGGTACATCAGGATATCACAGCTCAATGTTCAACTGCCATCTACAACTATTCCAAGGTTTCTGTCTTTATCTTAAACCTTGAAACTACCAGCAGCGCACTGCAGATTGTGGAGATATCCAGTTCCCTCTCTTCCACTTCGGGCTCTGAGTCTCCGAATGCCAGAAAAGCAAGGTTTATTCCTTCAGCTTCTCACTCACCACCAGCAAGCATAGATTCCAGCCCAACTTGCCCCCAGCGATGGCTACGCCCCCTCTGCATCTATAAAACCCTCCCTCCGGCTCCTGATTTACCACATTAAGTGCGGAGATGAGTCTTCCTAATGGGACATTGCATGAGTTGTTAACATCCGACGGCATACCACTTTTAAAGCATAGGGAGTTGGACATAGACCTGGTAAAGATGCGTTACTCTTTCCATAACTGTACGGTCAATTCCCATTCAAACTCTGGATTGTAGACACAGGTTTACGAGGAAATTGCCTTTGTAGTAGATAGAAGATTATATGAAAATGACTCCGTCCTGAATAAGTTAATAACCGGCCGTCCGGGAGTATGCCGAGTACAATAATGGGAAATTGCCTGCTTTTCAGGGGAACCGCGGACGCTTTTTTTTTTAAAGGAATCTCACGGCTTAGCAGTCTGCAGGGGCGGACATATTCGGGATAACCCAATTGTCCTGGCAGGTCTCAGCGCTCAGTTGCCACGGGAAGTATTACATTGAATATATAAACCTCTCAACGATATTCCTCCGTCAGCTAGAACAATAGATCGTGGTCTTTGGTTACCAGTTCCACCCTCAAAGCCCTCTTTGATCTCTTTCCTTATCCAAGTGGCACAACACAAGAATCGCCTTTCCCATCAACATGTGCGAATACTACGAAAGCTTTGACCTGCGAATGGATAAATGGCGTTTGGACGGAACGTTCGTGGCATGCTCTAGACCTTATAGGTGTCGAATGTACGACTATATCCCATGGCCCAATATTAGAGAGAGGTTAACCTATCTCACACTTTGCGCGCAAACGGCGGTGGCAGAAGAAAGGGCCGACGAAGTCATACTGGACCTCCAAGATATGGTGCGGGACTGTGGGCTCGAACTGGCCCAACAAATTGACTACGCATGTTTCACTCAAGATGCGAGGTCTGGGCCATAGTGGAAAGCGTCAATTGCCCTTTGTCAAGGTCATCCAGGAACATTACTCTTTCGCGAGCTGGGGAGGTGATGTTCTATTCTAGATTTAGCTAATTTAAAACACATGAATCTGGAAATTCTTTCTACTTGTGCTCTAGCCAGCCAGCTGATCTCCCTTTATCTAACTAGGAGTCTGGGTTGGCCTGTTTATGCCTTAATATATCATCGTGTTCATCTAGAGCTCCTTTGAACATGCTACATAGGAATATCAAACAGTACACTTAAGGTGCAGTTGCTTTCATTATAGGAATGGCTATGATGTGTAGACTGAGATCAGACATCTGGGTGGAGTGAAGCGATTGGGGTAAGTGGTCTTACCAGCCATCGTACCTTTAGACTTGAGAGACGGAAGGCTGGACTGCACCTAAGAAGGCAGTGGCACTGTTGGCTTGAAGACTCTGGTATCCCAATGAAAGGGGAAGAGAGACTTGGTGTATTGTGAAACATCCAACCCCACGTTGAGCTTCTCTATATTCTGTAACAGGGGTTCAATTTTATTAGAGACGTCGCACGGACGGGAATACCTACAGTAGTTTGAACGCGGATTTTTGATGTTGCGACAGTCAAGCGCCAGTTGGGCGAAGCTGATCCCCTCAAACTTGACGTTGAATTCAGGGATAGAATTCCAGATCGATGCATTCCTTTTGTCAACGCGCCCAGGAGCACACAGCCACACATCTCAGAACATTGCTCTTGGCCGTCCCGTAGCTTGGCGAAAAGATCATGCATAGACTCAACGACTTTTGCAATCAGCGCTTGTCGAGAACGGTTGATCGCATCTGGGATTGAGAAAGATATTGTAAGCAAGTGGTGAGGTAGTCAAGTGAGGGATTGGGTAAAATTCACCATTTATCATCGAAGGAACGGGGATTCCACTGAAGCTAATCATGCCTGTGCTCCTCGCCTCCAAGTACTTGGAGGATTCTTGGAATGCCTTGGCCTCGTTAAATACCCAAGATACGAACATGCACTTCTTAGCCTCATCAATCGATGAAGGGGTATAATAAGTTGGGGGGCTCAAAGATCTGATCTTTAACTGAACGAGCCATGAATCCGAGAACGGCTCTACTGCCTCATAGCACTCATAGTAATCGACCAACCGCGCGATCTCCACCAGACTGTCCAAGGACACTTCCCGAGGCACTAGTCGGGTGCGATGATGGATGATTAACATCAGGATCAAGAAAGGTATTGGCTCCCAATCCCGTATAGGGAATTTTAGATGGCCTTTGGTCCTTAGCTGGGTTCCCTCCTGAAATCCCATTTGGAATGTTCGTTCGAATTGTGGGCAGGACAATGTCAGATGCTTTGACGATGCACGAATCTGCAGACGGCGCTGCGTGGTACATTCGGGGGTCTTGGTCGAATCGACAATGCCACCTGAACTTCCATCGTCTTCTCGCTTGCTACTTTCATTCTCATCGCTTGTTGGGGCTGCAGGATTGCTGAGTCCGTCCGGCCATCCTGACAGCGTGGCAATATCCTGTAGGTTGTGCGGTAAATCCTTAGACACGTTATCCAGGATCAGGAAAACTTCGCCTTTTGGATCCAGCTCGTATACCAGGTCTACCATGGTGGTCAATGCTCAGTGAAGGACAATGTTTGATATAAAGAGGAGTAGATATATCGCGTAAGGAAAAGGCAACGCCACACGTAGAACGTGTACGTGGGGCTCTGCTGACAGCACATCATGCATTATTGCCAAGTGTCTTTCAAGATGCACTGCATACTGTACGTGGCAATAAACTGCTGTCTAACTAGCACGCTCGCTGAGGCCCTACTCTTCATTATTCGAATCCACTCACTTTATATGAGTGTTTCGCCAATTTATACGTGCGACGGGGGCAAGGGAAATGTAACTAGACAATTGTAGTGCAGGAAACAGCGTGTGACTACTCTTGCACAAGAAGGTCTTAATAGCAAGCTCAACGAAGAAGACTCGCAATAGAACCTTATGGCGCTCATTTTCCCTTCAGGTTTACGATCTGCCTGATCCAACTTTTAACTTTCAATGCTGTGTGTCATCAATTCGGAGAAAAACATGTCAATATCAGAAAAGTAAGACATGGACGACGAGGATTTTTATGAGGTATGTTCATTAAACTGTTCAACGCAATATCCTCTTGCGATATCTACAGTGCCCTTGCTTGAGCTCTGTACCCTTACTCCACTGGATATTCGTGGCCTAGAAGATATGACCCATCACCAACCGCACAGCCTTCCCAGGTACTGTAATATTAACCTTATCATCGCCTCATCCAAGATTGGCCCTAATGGAGATTGGAGTAGTCTTGTAGACATGGATACGCGAAATGATGATGCTTGAGTAAGAACTCTAATTATATGTACTATGTAAAGATCTATCTGGCGCCTAACATGGGTCATGAGTTTCTAACGCTATATGCCAAAATTCAAAGGATCAAAACAATGTTCGACGAGATACATAAGCAATGATAATGCACCTGTAGCACTCATCACAATGCTTATTCTTTATCAAGGAAGCCAATCTTAACCAGAACATCTTTCAATGAGCCAGGTTCGAAAGGAGGGTAATCCGGTTCGCATTTTGTCCCAACCGCAGGAAGGGTACCATTGGTCCAGTAATCCCGGATGATCCTGGACGTGCATGACGATCCGTGCGCCAAAGAAGCGTGCTATAGTAGCATGTTAGTCCAGCCATAACAGAGACATAGCAAAGAATGAAATGACTTACCCCCCAGCCGCCATGCTCCAGGAGAACGCTACCCTCGAAGCTAGCACTGATATTCCGGGCCGACACAAGTGGAGTGGCGGAGTCGTACGTGTTGCCGATGACCATAATGGGATTCTTTGTCTTCGACTCGAAGTTGCCCTCGTACCGTTCTTTGGCGTGGATCTGCCAATTAGTGCACGTCATGGCGATGGCGTTTCCGGCTTCCCCCAGTAGGTTACTCGTTGGTGGATTGATATCGAGATAAGGCATCATCCCCTCCAAGGTATCTACTCCGGTGCTCTTCTCAGAGCAGGGGATGGCGAATGTCGCGTCATTGCTCGCCGCCGCGGCCACCAGTCCGCCGCCCAATTGGGCTTCGAGTATCTCCATAAACTTCGTCATATTCCCGTCCAATAAGTAGTTAAACGCAGTGGCCAGAGTAGGATAGGATCCAGGGCCGTATAGAGAGAAGCGAATGAAAGTTTTGATGATGCTGTGGTCAATGACGGTGTGTTGATGGACAATCGGTTCTCGTTTAATGTCATCCAGCAACTGGTAGATGCTTTTCTCAAGCTGTTCGGCAGTCTCATTTCGGCTGGCAAGGGCACATCGTTCCGGTGTTAGGAGGCACTGCTGGAAAAAGCTGGTGAAGACCTTGTCTACACCGGCCCACACTTCAGTGTCACTGTCGGTAGGAAGCCGAGTTAGTATCACCTACGCAGAGCCAGGAGACTGTGGAATCATACTATGAATTGAAGTATTGGTGTGGGTTCATAACACCATCAATAATCAGCTTATCCACCCGGTCCGGGAACATCGCGGCAACAGTAGATCCCAACACCGTGCCATATGAGAAACCTGCGACAGAACGAGGGATCCATTAGCCTTTACATGTTCATGCGTCTTACAATGAAATCACTTACCCCAATACTTCAGCAGACCGTCATCGGTAACTGCGTCCACGATCTGCATCAAATCCCTCGCTGTGAATGCCGTGCTCATGTATTGCCCATTTTCTTTCAGCTCTCCTTCGGCGCAAAAATTGGCAAATAGTTCACTGCCGGCCCACAGTCTTCCTAGCGCCATCTCGTCGGAGGCCTTTGCCATGTCGCTAAAGCGAGATTCCATACTAACCGCAAGCCGCTCTGTTTCGTTTGTAGAGCAGTATGCGGTCAGGGTGTTTGCCGTTCCTCTAGAATACAATGTTCTGTTAGTCTGTCCATGACACGCATTACGAGTATGCCGCGCAAACATACCTCGGGTCATGAGCAATCAGGTCATAGTGACCACCGGTCAAACTGGGCATTCGTCAGCATCTTTGATTCCTAGCTATCCTTGCTATTGTGACACTGGTAGCTTACGCTTGAAGAATTTCACCCTGGGCGAACAGGGTAAGTCTTGCCTCCAGGCCCGGCCCACCGAAGTTGAACAAAATGCTTCCCTTCTTCGGTTCACGGGTAGCAGGAACTTTCAGTAGTTGCAGCTGGAGGGTTTTGTCGGACTCGGGCTGGGTGTAGTCCAACGGCACAGTCAAGTTGCCGCATTGAGCTGGCGCAGTGACTGTTTCCTCTTGACAAGCGCCCCAGGTTATCTTTTCGGAGCGAGCGTGTTTCGGAAATGCAAGTGGTGTGGCATAAGAGCCAGCCAGGAGAGAGGACAGAAAAAAGGTTGATTTCCAAGCCATTGTCGATGTGGTTGGAAGTTAGTGCTCGTTGTTGGTTGTTGGTTGTGTGAAGAGACATCTCCTTAGCCAGGGCCTCACCTTCTTATATAGTTCGATCTTTGACTGTGTGGGCAGACTACATCATGGAGATATAGAGCGCTGGATAGGGCCGCTTTGGGTAAGTTAGGGCCAAGAGAGCAATAGATTACATGGCTACCATGGTCTTACCCACTTCGGGCCGGGCTGAGTCCAGCTTCCTCCAATGAGTATATTAGTATATTCCAATAAGGCAACCAGGAGGTGAGGTATCCACCTCGTAGGGCTTTACTCAGCCTCAACCCTACTCAGGCGTTGGTATCGGGCTAAAACACGTCGGCACAGCCTCAGGCACTCAGGTGTCGATACTACCGGATTTGGTGGTACGGAGCGCTGCCAAGAAGAAAAACGGTAAAGAAGGCGTTTGCGAGCCAAGACTTCAACCTCGTATTCTCGTCGCGCTTCATCCGTCCAGCAAGAGTCTCGCTGGGCCATGACGATGATCACCCACCTTGTTGCCATCACAGGTCACATGATGCCACGAAGTTGCCTGTTCGAGTCAATTCCAGGGCTGACGGTGGGGGTTTTCATATTCGACTCTTGCGCTGGCGATCGAAAGCATATCTCTCGTGCTATATATAGTTTAAGGCAAAGTTATGAGGATGCTTCCGTCAATATGGCCCTATAATAAGTTCTCTATAGCACCAAGGTCTCGGTAGCGACTCTGTTATGATTCTCTAAAATATTCGTCAAGGTCATTATATATTTCTGTCTGCCCCGGCGGGCAAACACGTAGGATCCGTACACTAAATGAAGGCAACAAGGGTATATATACTGCAGTACATTATTCCACCGATCGGGCCAATCAATCACGCGAATCAGCCGTGTCCATTCCCCGGATGATTGATATATTCCACCCAAAGATTCGCATATTTTCCGTAAATGTCATATCCTTCTGCGTTTGTCCAATCAAATCAGCGGCATCGACACTTGGTTATCGTAATCGATATTGTCCCTGTAGCATTCGACGCGGTCTCCGCAGGTGCCGAACACACGATCCCACAGACGGGTTTGTTTGCCGTAGTTCGCGCTCTTCTTCCATCCCCGGCGGTGGTGGATGTCATGATCTTCGATGATCAATTCAGCATTGAAGATCCGAAGGAACCAAGTGAGGGTATTGGGCGGTACAGTGTGGAGGCGCAGGCCGCTGTGCCCTGCGATCTCGGCGAAAACAACGTACTGGTGGCAGATCCACCACTCGTAGAAACCCATAGGGAAGCCCATGAGCTTCATGCTGAAGTAAGTCATGAGTGGAATGCCGAGAATATCGAAGAACTCCTGTTCGGTGTCGGCGTACAGCGTCAATAGTGGGTTGGGGTGCTTTGTCAAGTGGTGAGTCCGGTGGTATTTCCAGAGACCATCAACCTCGTGCATCAAGCGGTGATACCAATAAAACCAAAAGTCGAGAATGATTCCGTAGAGCCCGGCTTCGAGGGGGAGCCAAAGCCAATTCATGGACGACGGGGGCTGGCTGGCACGATAGCTGAGGAACACAGTGAACATCGGGCGAAAGGTAGACGTCGAGACCAGGGAGTGGACGACCTTGGCCACGCCGACATCCGGCACCCCATCCCGCTCGTGTTGGTCGCCATCGAGGAATCCGAGGAGATGGCCCAGCCGACGAAGGACGTGTATCTCATGAATGGCGATGATTTTGAAAGCTGCACTATAGAAGATGAAGGCAGCAAGGGGGCTTAGGTTGTGGCCGGTATAGGATGTATAGACGTGATGGATGGCGAGAGGAATGAATGAGTGGATTAGCACCCAGCGGTGCAAATGCCATTCCGGCATGTAAGGCACCTTTTCTTGCTTATCGTGGACGGGCACCTCCTTATCCAAAGCCACCGGATGGATGCCGAGTATCTCATAGAACCAGTGGAAGATGGTCCATTCGGCGCGATCCAGCCGTCGCCAGGTGGACTTCATCGAGTCCTTCGGATTCAGGTGGCCACTCATGATGACTGTTTCTGCGATGTGATGATCCGTTGGAGAGAGCGTTGCACCCCATGGGGAGGGGGACAAGGCCTTGCTATTTAATATCCGCTAGGCCCCGTCTTGCACGCTAGATCTTCGGTAGATCCAGACAGTCGGCATGTGAATGAGATTGTACTTTGGGTTGACAAGGAAATGGGGGGCGTGAACCCACTGCAGATCAGGCGCAAAAAGGGGCCACTGGCTGGCCCCTAACCAGTTCAACGATTTTAGTTCGTGATTAGCGAGCGACTAAGCTACAGAAGGAAAGCAGTTCGCCATGGAATATCTTCCGCTGTAGTCTACTGTAACTGTTTGATACGCCCATTCGTCATCCACATGATGTCAGTCACTATCATTCCCCCGCATCAAGTGCCTCGGACGTTCAGAGTGTTGGGGATGGCCTGATGCTTTTGGCTTCAGACCGCTGCGATCTTCGATTAGGGCCTTCTGGATGATGCCTAGCCGTCCTCTGAGACACACTAGACCCTTGTCAAACGCTCTGTAGTCCGTGATGGATTGCACCATGATCCACGGCGCATGCAGACCCTGTATTGAATTCCCCGCGTCCAAGATTTGAGTGCCATGTAACCGTCAGTCTAACCCCTTATCCGTTCCGTACTTTGTGGTGGGGCTGGGAAACATGGCTTGGGCTATTCCGTAGTTGCGGAACAAGTTGAATAGACATACACAGAGTGCGGCTATGGCGAGCGCAACTTGACTTATCACTTCTGATCACTTATTCCGGTCATGAGTGTTCTCTTGGGCAAGTGTGCTTTGGCAGGGAGCGTCGAGAGACCCTGTTCCTACCCCATGTCTGGTTAAGTGGGCTGCAAGTCTGGAGCCAAATTTCCCAAACCGGGAAACGGGCGACGATCGCGCTCCACCTTTGCTCGTTGCCGAGACGAGTAAAAGTTGCGAATTTGCTAGGCTAATGATCTGGCCCCTGACTATGACGGCTGTCCCTTGTTATTGAAATTACTCGTTTTTTTAATTTTTATTTTTTGGTTTTCGCCGGCAGCCAAGTGTTGTCAACCCCAATCAGCCGGATAACCATTTTGGGTAAGCATTGCGATTTGATATACTCCCGGTTAACCCTCATTATAATGCATCAGTGATACGATCCTCAACATTCTTGTCAGACTTCAGCAAAATATCCGATAATAATAAGCATGTGCCGGAACTGCACGACATAAGCAGTGTATATCGCAGGAAGAAATATTGCGGATGTATATGTTTCATTCCGAGCCTTGTGCAACAACATCTCTCGATATATATATGTAACATTTAGATGGAAAAGAAGAAAACGCCCAAGAATTAAGATTTTGTAACGCTTCCAGATGGAACTCTCCGTTTCTGTCCATGCTAGATAGTAAACCTGTTTGTGTAGTCCCTACCATACGTAGCTTCGTTAGTGAATCACTACATATTGACGCTGTTGCTGTATACTGAACTTATTTCTTATCGTCGCTCTCGACTCCAGGCAAAGTATACGGGGTAAACAATTTCGATATAGTCACCACGCTAAAACTATGATGGGCAGCAAGAATCTCCAACACCCAAGTAGTCCAGTTTCGAACTTGCCACGGGCGAGGCGTTATATTCACATGGCCTTGAAGATAGAATCGCCGCCGATGCCTGTTGTATTAATGTCGATCTGTTATGTCACTACAGCCTCGGCCAAGGTTATGACATGATCACATTGACCATCTAGCAGCCTGGCAGACATCGAGGCACATGAATGCTTACATCAATTCACAACGTGGCGACCAGCACAGGCACACATAATATTACCCAATGAGGATGCAACACGAGCATGGTATTGTCTCCTGGACCGCAGCACTGCAGCGTCCTGTGCTGAAGTATCTATCTGACCTGTTCTCTTCGCGTGTTTCTTTCTCTCCTCCTCTGCTTATACCGCTTCTCTACCATGGAGTTTTGACAGCTTGAAGCTCTGCGGTTACCTTGGGTGGCCTTGATTTCTTCTGACTAAAGTTTGTCGATAGTACGAGCTGTACGCTATCCACCCTTTTCGTGCCGATTATATTTGGCTGAATCACTATCTCAACCGTGTAGGGCTGGTTTTCAGATTGCAAGGTAGAGGACACTATGCATTTTGGGCAAGTTAGACAGTGAAATGTCCACACTCATGTTCTCATCTATGGGTTTATAATGAATGTAAGGGCTGCACGCGCAGTAAATTCTAATATATCGAGCTTAGACCGTAAGTAGACTCTCATGATGGAGGCAGTCACAGCTTATACTCGCTGATTTTGTCCGTCAGTCGACTTCGTCGTGCACCAGAGTACCGAAACACAGGATGATCGTCAGAGGCAACTTGCACCGTCTGTCTCACGCCGTCTTGTATTAACAAGCCTATTATCTCGACAAAGGGAGCAAAGAAAAAAGCCAGAGAAGGACGTGGTCCTCGACAATACGCAGAACATGCGTTCGCGTTGGTATAGCTTGAACACTGCAGGGCCAGTCGAACACGCCTAACACAGACGACAACACCCATGCAAAGTTCCAGAAAGGTATGTTTACCTCTTTCGGTGACTTCGAGGTGATTTCCGTCGAACTGGCAAGCACGGGGCTTGAAGCGAATCCTTACAAAATAGGAAGGAGGGCGTTACACTAAAGGTCAGAGGGGCGGCCATAAAATCCCCATCACCGTCTCTGCCTCTTCCCCTTCGTCTGCCTTCTCCTACACAATTTGGAGTACTAAATCCCATCACTTCCATTACCAAATCCTCTACCCACTGCTCCGTCGACTATACTCACCCATCAACATGCTCCGTCAGGTAGTCTTGCTATTGATTGCTCTCCACTGGTGCCTGATTCCTACGCTTGCCGCTCCGGCATTCAGCGATCAGCCAGCGGTATCTGATACCTTGGTCCGCGATGGCCGATTTGACTATGTTGTGGTCGGGGGTGGTACCGCGGGTATCGTCGTGGCCACTCGCCTCGCACAAAAGTCCTATACCGTTGCGTTGATCGAAGCTGGGGGGTTCTACGAGTACCAGTCACTTAACGCCATTCCCTTGGCAGATTTCATTCCCGTGGGATCAGATCCGCAGAACAAGTTCACCATTGACTGGGGATTTGTAACCCGAAACCAGCCTGGGGTAAACAATCGATCTATCCACTATGCCCGAGGAAAATGCCTCGGTGGATCGTACGTCCTCTGGTGTACTTGTTACCCTGCTAAGCAGCTAAACAGAGGGCAGGTCGGCGTTAAACTTCATGATTTATCAACGGTATGTTTCACTTTCGCTGGTGACGACAACACGCATGGGAAGTTCAAATAGGCTAATCGTTTGGTCGATACATAGACCCACTCGAGATAGCATGAAGCAATGGGCAGCTGCTGTAGGCGATAGCAGCTACACCTTCGACCGCGTTTTGCCGTATTTCAAACGGAGTGTCCACTTTACGCCTCCCAACCAGCTGACCCGATTTCCCAATTCGACTCCGTCCTTCGATCCAGCCGCTTACGATCCCCAAGGAGGGCCACTGCACGCGTCGTACTCTAACTACGCGATGACATTCTCCTCGTGGATGAGACTCGCAATGAACAGTATCGGAATCCAGGACCGGGATGAGTTTAACCTTGGGTCTTTGATGGGGGCACAGTATTGCACAAGCACTATCCGACCGCGGGACCAAAAAAGGAGCAGTTCCGAAAGCTCGTTCCTCGAAACGAAGCCTCCTCTGCTGACTACTTATACGTATGTGTTGGCAAAGAAGATCTTATTCAACTCTCAGAAACGCGCCACGGGCGTCTAGCTAGGGGTAAACTCGGCGAGTTCACGCTGCATGCCAACAAGGAGGTCCTCGTGTCCGCGGGCGTCTTCCAATCACCGCAACTGCTCATGGTGTCTGGCATTGGCCCGGCAAAGACCCTCGATGATCATGGAATCCCTGTTCTGGCTGACCGTCCGGGAGTCGGTCAGAATATGTGGGATCATCCATTCTTCGGCCCTTCCTACCGGGTTCGTATGCCAACGGCATCAACAGTAGTGACGAATCTTCCATATCTTCTCACGCAAGCGGCCAATGCTGCTATCTTCCGACAAGGGCCCTTCACTAACCCTCTCGCAGATTATCTAGCATGGGAAAAGATCCCCAATAGCCTGCGGGCAAATTTCTCCAAGAAAACGATGGAGGATCTCGCACGCTTTCCCAGGGACTGGCCAGAAGCGGAGGTATGTAGTTTCTTTCCTTCCCTCTCCTGTACCGCACAGACGACCTTGTGTGAAGGATACTGAACTAACTAGCACCCATACAGTATGTATCTGCAGCAGCATATGTCGGTGATGTTTCCAAACCTGTCTTGCTTCAACCTAGGGATGGCTATGACTATGCATCCATAGTAGGTGTCCTGGTCGCTCCAACATCCCGGGGCAACGTAACGATCCGGTCGGCAGACACCGCCGACCTTCCGACTATCAATCCAAACTGGCTATCCACTGAAACGGATGAGGAGGTAGCCATCGCGACATTCAAGCGAATACGGCAGGCCTTTGAGAGCGATGTCATGGCACCCGTACTGATCGGAGATGAATACTATCCAGGTAATCGCGTACAGTCCAATACCGAAATCCTGGAGTATGTCAAGGATAATATGATGACCATCTGGCATGCCGCTTGCACTTGCAAGATGGGGACAGCCCAGGATCCAATGGCAGTTGTGGACTCTCAGGCAAGGGTGTTTGGGGTTGATGGCTTGCGTGTTGTTGATGCGAGTGCATTTCCGCTGCTTCCTCCGGGACACCCGCAGTCAGTTGTTTGTAAGTACCCGTGTAGCATTGCTTGCTACCTGAGTTAATCGAGTATTCGCAGACATGCTGGCCGAAAAGATTTCCGACGCCATCTTGTCGGCAAACGGGACAGCTAGAAGGCGTTAGTGCTGGGAGGCATCCACTTACGATATTGCGTGTTGTGGGATTCAAAATATATTAACATGAGTGCGGCAGTCAGTAAAGTAATGTCGTTCGTGATACTTTGTGGTATTGATGATAATGAAAAGTATACAAAGTACGGCGACGAAGCAAGATTGGGGATAGCCCAGCTTACATCGTCTTTCTTTCAGTTTTTCATTTAGTACACCACTTGTAATCTTTACCAAGTAAATAATCTTATGAAAATAGCCATTATACTATTAGATCATTATGGGCAGATGTGACAGGCAGCTGGGAATCAACAACATGGTTCAAACTCAAACATTCTATGTCTCCTGCCGTGGCCGTGACTATAATCAGTAAATAGCATTAGCAAGATATGCATATCCAGGATCCACGATGGACTGACATCGATTTTCGTACAAGATTATAAAGCCAGGGTAGGATTTGATGTTTTTGAAATCGACTAAACCCAGCCACAGAAAGTGAAATTGTAACCAGCGGAGATCTGATCGGACATCGAACCGACATAACCGAGGCAGTGAGTGAGCTTATCTTATCGGATCATCTTATCGGCTATCAGCCACCGCGCATCAAGAGGAATACCGAAGAGAACAACCAATTCAACGAGGTCTATGTACAACCCCCCCCCAAAGACTCCCAAAATGTACAACCAACCAGTATACGCCGAGACCACAACAGAAACCCTCTACGACTTCATCCGGGCCAATCCCCTCGGCGTCCTCACAACCGCCATCCCCTCCGACCTCTACCCCCTCCTACAATCCACCCACATCCCCTGGATCCTCGACCCCCCCAACGCAACCAATGGAACCACCAAAGCAAGACTCCGGGGCCACATCGCCCGCCAAAACCCGCAATCCAAAGCCATAACCGCCTCTCTCACAGCCTCCAACTCCCCTTCCGGCTCGTGCTTATCCCAAGAAGTCATGATCCTCTTCACCTCCCCGCATCACCACTACGTGACGCCCAAGTTCTACACGGAGACGAAACCGGCCACGGGGAAAGTAGCCCCCACGTGGAATTATAGTACAGTGCAGGTGTATGGGACCGCGACTGTGTATTTTGATCCTGAGCGGCCGCGACGGGGGCGTTTCTGGATGCGCAGTTGCGGGGTTTGTCGGCTCATTGTGAGGAAGAGGTTATGGGGTTCTCGGGGGAGGAGGCCTGGAGGGTCGATGAGGCGCCTGAGGGGTATTTAAGGGTTTTGAAGAGGAATATTGTCGGGCTGAGTGTGGAGGTGGACAGGATTGAGGGCAAGGTGAAGATGAGTCAGGAGAGGAAACCCGGGGATAGGCAGGGTGTTGTAAAGGGGTTTGAGGCTTTGGGGACTGATACGGCGAAGGAGGTTGCGAGGTTGGTGAAGCTGAGGGGGGACGGGGTTGGGGGGTGATTGTGTTTTGTTTCTGAGTGGTGTAGAGAGGTGGATTATGGTATCGTGGTGCTTCGAATGGATTAGATTATTATGTGAGTAAGGAAGGGGTAGAAATCTCCTTGAGTAGTGTTGGAATATACTGTAGGTAAAGACCTACTACTCCCACCAGGGCTGGGATATCGTCAGTAGAGAGGATACTAAGTTCGGTCTTCTCTCTTCACCTCCTCTGGTGCTGTGTCACTGATCGAAGGAGATGATGAGGTCTCATTTCCGACAGTTTTGTTCGTCTCATTGCCCGCACGCAACCCTCGATAGACTTGTGTGATCTGCTGGATGCCGCCGTCGAAGATAGGATAAAAGATAGCCACCAGCATAGTCAACCAAAGCCAGATGATAGCGACGACAACCCAGGCAGAAAAGAACTACAAAGTCAGCTTAGACATGAAGCCAGAGTTTCCAGAATAAGATACATACCCCCTTCCCAAAGACATACTTCGACCCATACATGGGCAACGGCCAGATAACCCAGTGGCCGAGGAAGGTCGCGATAGACCAAAACGCCGCAATGCGACCCCATCGCTTCAATTCCTGTGGATCAAACGCGGAGGACTGTCGATGGCCTTCCTCTAGTCTGCCTTCCGGTTGGGGGCCTTTCTCATGGCTGTGCACGGTTGTCAAGTCACTCTCCAGCCGTTCTAGGGCAAGTTTCTCCTTTTTAAAGTCATTCCAATCGTAGTTCTGTGGGCGAACTAGCGTGATCGCGACGGAATACAGAATGGGCGAGAATGCAGATGCGACGGTCCCATACACGCATGGGAGTATCTGTCCTGTCGCGGAAACAGAAACAGAGCCGTAGAAATGCTGGGCGGTTCCAAGCCAGACACCGATCCCAGTTGCCATTCCAAGAACGGGCGAGAGAATAGCAGCGGCCGTGCTCTGGCGGCGCCAGAGAATGGTGAATGCCATTGGGAAGATGCCGGGGCAAGTGACGACGCCTGGACATTAATCAGCGTATGTCATATATGCCATTGTAAGATAGTATGTATGGTGTTTTAAAGCCTACCAAGCATGTATAGAGTCCAACCAAGATCAATCCCGACATAGTTGAGCATGGTACTAAACCCGGCCGAGAATGCGGCGAAGAAAATCACACCGAAGTGACTGGCACGAATGATGTCGCGATCGGATGCATTTCGGTTGAAATACTCGCGATATACGTCGAAACTAAGTATGGAGCTGACTGCGATTACCTGGGCCGAAAGGGTGGACGTCACGGCCATGAATGTAATCAGGAGAATCGCGGCTGCTCCGCCTTTGCCTGCAATTGTCATGGCGGCATATGGCAGCACGAGTCCTCCACTAACCTCACTTGAGGTCATTCTCTATATGTGATGGTTATTACTGGGCAGTATGTTACTGTGGGGTATACTCACCCTAGGATATGTGGGGAAGGATGGTTGGTTTTCGAGTCCGATGGCGACGGAGCTCATGACGGTTCCCAGTGCCCACGGGATGGCGAAGTACGCGATGCCTCCGATTGTATACCCAGGGACTACCGAGGAAGGGGCAGCGGAAAATGCCTTGATGAAATAGCTTGTATCCATCTGGAGGAGTTAGAAGCACCTAGAAAAGAGAAGGGTGATTGCACCTACAATCACAAGGCCAAAGTTGGAGCAAATGTGCAGGATCCCGAAGAGCATCGCCTCGAGATAGTGTCAGCGTCGCTGGTGTTGCAATATACGGATGACCTACCCCTTTCGATGTCATCGTCAAGTAGGTCCCATCATGATTTCCTGAGACAGGGTGTCTTTGTGCAGCAGCTTGAACAAGGTCGTACAACCTGCCGATCGAGCCGACCTCGTCGATGGTGAACGCTTTGATAGAAAAGTAGCATGCAATGATAAGGATGATGGCGGTGTGGAAGTAGTCGGTGAGGAACCTGCGTGGCTATGTAAGTCTCGATCCTCTGACGGGGTTAATCTTCTACTCACGTCGCCTTGATACCACCTACGAAAGTATACACAGTCACACCAACGGGCAGGAGGAATGTGGCAGCGACGATGTGCATACCAGTCCTTGTCCAAGTGTTAGTGTTAGACCATGCGGACACTGTAATGGACAGCACTTACACAGCAGATATGACAGCAGCTGCTCCGAGGAGCATGTTCGCACAGGCGAAAATATTGTTGACGAGGCAGAGCGTCATGAAGACAATATGGGCGGTCCGACCTGACAGAGTGAGCATAGCTAGGAGCCACATAGGTGAAATGAACCCACCATATCGGATTCTCACCACCTCAAGGGAAGTGTGTGCCTCGGGAATTTTGCGCTTGCAGGATATTCCAATGAGGGCAAAAAACACAATCATCGGACTGCATCCAGCGGCAAACCAGAATGGGCCTGCTACGCCATAGTCGTATCCGACAAATGATGAGCCCAGCATGGCTGTTGTCCAAAGCCATGACTGTGTGCTTTGGTTAGGGTTCCATGATTCGACTTTGAGTCGGGGAGGAGACATACAGAAATCACGGCGGATGCTGTTAGGCCGGTCCGAACAGTTCGATTCGCGGTCATGAACCTGAATGCCGTCAGCAAGATAGGATAGAATCCATACTAAGTGAACCCTACATTTCTGTCTTCTTATTGTCTTCTCCTGTTGTCTTCTTCAGGACTTTTGTGATAAGCATCATCACTAAGACGAAGTTAGCAACGCCAGAAAATACGCAGTCGGAAGGTGTATAGGAGTGAGTATACCCAAAGCGATGATTAGGCCAATGACCACCACGACCACATATCCAACGGCCTGCGACAACGGTGGTTGTACAGAGCCATTGCCACTCCTGGCGGTCAGGTTTGCCATGGTCGCTGTTAGATGGAGCTAACAAAGGCACGCTCTTTCTATCCGTTACAGAGCAGGAGTTCTAAAGCGGGCACAGTTTCACAGGCAGTCTCTAGCCAAAGAGAAGTTTAGTGCGGTGAGCGCTGCGCGCAATAAGTATTTCCATATCCTTTACGGACTCGTAGCCGGCTGAACTTCGCACGCATGGACATGTTCGCCAAACCCCAGGGTGGTGCATGATCGGCGCCCTTGCAGAGATCAGGGACTATGAGAGGGTTGATGATATGATACGGTTGGTGTATGAGGTGATTTGGCTTTACAGCTGATGGGATTGGCCCATCCATTTATCAGATGGGCTCTGGACAGCGTGCATGACTCAATAAATGGTCCAAGAAACCGATAGTCTGGTAGCCATGGAAAAGTTAAAATAATTCTAATTGCACATATCCCGGTTCGATACTTATGGCTTGGGTATAGAGCACGGGGAAATCACAATCACTTTTCCACCCGCCATAACTTGAATAATGTATTAGTCTGAAAGGATTGAGGCCACTTCAAACGCGATGCTAACAACATTCTATCCTGAGAATATTAAGTCTTAATTTCCCCTTTTTTCTCATTTTCTACTTCATGTTTACGATCATTTTCATATTGGCATATGATCGGGTACTGGATTGCGTGATGCTTGTTTTTGATGACGAGTAGCGGCGGATCTTCTCTTTAGAGAAAGGCCCGGCGACTGAATTTTGGATCTTCCATTGATGGCCAAAGCCCGGCTATTATCAGGAACAGGGTATGGACAGGGAAACTGTGTCCTAAGCTTAAAACGACGTGATGGTTAATTTGTATGGGTGTCCTCTCACATCCCACATGGTGTCATCGCGACCCACTTTGATGCTATGCAGCACAAGAGCAACCCCTCAATCCCACTGAATAGCAACAAGGATGAGGGGAAGTCCTGGGTGAACTCTGCTGGCAGATATTAATATTTGCTGAGTGACGGCTCGTCATATTGACTTTCATTTCTTGTTGCTTTGTCGCTTTGCACACAGCCGGGCGACTGAAATTCAATTGATATAGGGCTCTTACCCCTCCAAAAATTGGACTTCTCTCACATATCAGTTTATCCTTGCAGTTGAAAGGCCGTGCACTTCTTTCAAGATGACTGCGACTGACAATCTATCCGCAACAAATCCCCGGCGCAAGTCACTTATCCTCAATGCCTTCGTTGAAATGTGTACGCCCAACTTCGACATAGCCAATTCATGCCAGACGGACCGCTAACCTCCAGTATAGGCAGTGGCCACCAATCGCCGGGTCTATGGCGCCACCCCGAAGATGAATCCCATCGTTTCAATGACATCGACCACTGGATCGAGTTAGCAAAACTGCTCGAATCGGCCAAATTCCACGGCATCTTCATCGCAGATGTTCTCGGTATGTCGCTCACAAACCTCGAGGTGAACGATACACTGAGAAACTTTCAGGGGGCTATGATGTATACAAAGGGCCAAGAAACCTGGAGCCGGCGATTATTTCAGGCGCCCAGTGGCCGGTTAATGAGCCCTTGGCTGTGGTGCCTGCCATGGCGGCTGCCACTCAGAATATCGGGTTCGGGGTGACGGTCACGACGACATATGAGCAGCCATATCACTTGGCTAGACGGCTGTCGACTATTGATCATCTGACTAAGGGGCGGTGAGTTACCAGAAGGCTTTAGGTTGTTGGCGTCACTAATTCAATATTTGCGTTTTCATAGTGTCGGCTGGAATGTGAGTGGGACTTGTTTAATTGAGCTGCGTTATTTCTAATATAAATTAACCCATAGATCGTGACCGGATACCTTGACTCTGCGGCCCGAAACCTCGGTCATACTCAGCAACCACAGGTAGACACATCTGTCTCCCCATCTGCGAAAGAGAGTTCATTCTAACCATGGATAGCACGACGACCGCTACGAAATCGCCGAAGAATACATCAAAGTAACATACAAACTATGGGAATCATCCTGGCGATCCGACGCTGTCGTCCTCGACCGAGAGCGAGGAGTCTACACCGATCCATCCCGAGTCCGAGAAATCAACCATGTCGGAAAATACTTCAGCGTCCCCGGACCACATATTTGCCAACCCAGCCCGCAGCGGACCCCTGTCATTCTGCAAGCCGGCACCTCAAAGTCAGGAAAGGCCTTCGCGGCCCAACATGCCGAAGCGATCTTTGTGGCCGGACATAGCCCCGTAGTTGTAGCGAAGAACGTTGCGGAAATCCGCGAGCTGGCGAAGACGCAGTTCGGGCGCGATCCGCAGAGTATCAAATTCTTGGCTCTTCTGTGTCCCGTCCTTGGTCAGACAGAGGAGGAGGCCCAGGAGAAATTCAAGTATTATCGCAGTTTGGGGTCGATCGATGGGGCATTGGCTCTGTTTGGTGGGTGGACTGGCATCAACCTGGATACGTATGGTGATGATGAGGAGTTGCGACATGTGGAGAGTAATGCTATTCGGTATGTACACAGTCATAAAAATAGCTTCCCGATCGTAGTATGTCTAATTATTTTACAGTTCCGCTGTCGAAGGGTGGTCCAAGGCCACGCCTGGCGTCGATAAATGGACTAAATCTACCGTCGGACAGCATATCACCGTGGGCGGCTTAGGGGCAACCCCAGTTGGTACACCCCAGCAGGTAGCGGACGAGATGGAGCGATGGGTGGAAGAAGCGGATGTCGATGGATTTAACCTTGTCAGTTCGGAGCATATCGGGTTCCAATATTCATGTACGAAGTATATCCTACTAACTGTCACTAGGCATACGCCATCAAGCCCGGCTCGTTCAAGGATATCATCGAACTGCTCATTCCGGAACTTCGCCGTCGTGGGCTGTTCTGGGATGAGTATGCGGTCAATAAGGGCACATATCGGGAGAACCTCTACGGCACGCCGGGCCAAAGTGGGCCACCAACCGATCACCCGGCTGCGAAATACCGTTGGAATGCGGGCGTTGATGCACATGATCATAAGATTCCCGAGAATTAATCTTCCTTCAGTTAGACTGGCAGCTAAGAATATTCTTCATGAGGCGTTAGCAATCAAATGAATACATTCCAAGATGCAAAAGAGGATGGGATCATCAGCGTGGCAAAATGAATCCATTCGCTTGATTCCCCAATGCTATGAGTAGTCATGTACGCAGCTGTAGCGACAGAATAAAGGGCCTACCACCACACTGCCCCTGGATCTAATGTGCCCGGCGGATATGATCCAGCAGATTATCCGACCGATTACAGACCTTCCTACATCCCGGCACCGGGCAGTCGTACGAATGCGGCGACACGTGCAAGAGAGCGATATGTCGCATTAACTCGGCCTTCCGTCCGAACGTACCGTTGTACGTGCAGTCCTTCCAGCCACACCGGAGGGGGGTGGTACTGTTATCCCTGAGTCGAGAATCTTGTTAGATTATGAAAACGAATTCCCCGTAGAGAAATATAACTATGGGATGGGACTCACTGTGGTGGAAGGGACTTTTGAGGGGTTCGGGCTTTCCGAACCTTGGGGGTTGCTCCAGGGTTCGCCAATGGTTCGGACGGCTGCACAGCAGGAGAAGCCGGCATCACAGGGTTGTGTCGGCCTGTGGCGGATGGATTGCAAAGTGCTGGGTTGTGATTGGGCGATGGAGCAATTAAGCTACTAGCACTACTAGGATGTGGATCCGGGGGTGCGGCATCCGTCGTCGGGAGATCGCACTGGGGGTAACTGGGCATTGCATGTTGTTGGCTGGAGAGTTGCGGTATGTCACGGAGGACGTTCTCGAGATCTTCCAGCTCTTGTTCGGTCCCTGGGGGGAGGTAGAAGTCAGTCCAGTCAGGATCCGCGGGAAACCATGCCATCCTGAAGGGATGCTGTCTGCAGTAAAAAGAGAAGGAAAAAGGGAACCAAAAGAATAACAAGGAGAGTAGTCTCGCAGAGGCTCCGTCAGGGTTTGCAGAAAGACAATGAATCTTCCGAGATCCCTGGGTGCGTTTCGCCACGACATTTATAAATTTATATCATTGCGTGTAGGGTAGGCTACGGACCGTACTGCCTCCGGCCACGTCTACCGACCTTTGTTTTGTGGTACGGGCTAACAATGATCATTTCGATAGGAAAGTCCATAGCCTTGCCAAGGCCCCTTATCATTGGCTATCAGCAAGAAATTTCAGCTTATTCATACCTGATAGGAGCAGCCACCTGGTGGTGCACCAATGATAGTGATCACTGGCTGTGCAAAATGCAGTGGACTTAGCGAGGATGATTGGATACCTAGGTCAGAGAATGGACAATTTGAAAGCTCATTTTCCTTCCAAGGTTCTCTACCGTACTAGTAGTGTCCACTGAGGCGTTGCGCAGGGTGATTGGTCGCTGGCACACGGCACGCATGAACAAACCATTAAGCTCTGCGATCGAGTAGATCGGGGTATACCCAGACTCCTGTGGCTGATGATCGGGCAGCCAATGCCAGCCATTCTCCATTCTGGAAACCACGCACAGAGACTGGGTTCGCTGTAACAAGTCAGGGTATTTATTGCCTCTGCAGGCAGCGATGACGTAGTAAGAGCTTGTCCTTTTTAAAATAACCAATGATGGTAATAAAGATAATAAATAAAATGTAACAATATGACCTATTGACTTGAATACAAGCTCGATGTTGCCTTACGCACGTGATGAAGACATTGTCCCCCACTAGATGCTTACATACGATGAGTATCCCAGCTGCTCTTGTCTGGTTGGTTATATTACCTGAAAAAGTCTTCTCAATTACATTATAAGCAGTATTCTGTATCAAGAAAAAGACTCCTTCCGACACTCGGTCTATTGTAATAAATACCAGGATAACCGAAACAGGACAACATTATCAATAATCGCGGTGTTGTGCCATTCCTCAGCCCGCGGAGAGAGACTTTATGTGCCTCAATACTTAGACCACATCCCCTTGCCTGACAGAACCTTCACAAACAGGACCATGAAGCTACCGACTGTAGTCATCACCCCACTAAATATCGACGCTGTCTCGAAACCGCCAGATCGAGACACAAGGACGCCGCTGATGGGTGTTCCGATCAAAGCCCCAAAGGCTACACAGAACATGCCCATCCCAATGTATGTTCCAATGTCGCCAGGATCCTTCGGAATCTGGGCAAAACAAGCCGACAGCATGGAGACGACCGCACCTGACGTGAAGCCGTAGATGGTGGAAAACACGATAATCGCCCCAACCGATTGGGCCCGTGGCCAGCAGAAGCACATAATACCAGTGGCCAGGCTAGAGATTCCAAGTACATTGAGACGACCCAGGACTCGATCAGCAGCCATACCCAAGATGATACGACCAAAAAATGAGCCACCATTTAACATGGCGACAAGATAGAGAGAGAGTTGTTGCGGCATGCCGTGTGCATGCTTAGCGTAGGTGGGGAGGTAGAACATGGGAATGAAGAGTCCCATGACCAGGAAGAAGTTGGAGAGGACTGTGCTGAGAAACAGAGGGCTTCGGAAGGCTGACCAGAGAACAATGGCTTTTTTGCGTGGTGGTAGACGGGGCCGTACAGCTACACATGAGGGCAGTAGTATACCGAGCATCAGGAATGCACAAATGCGAACGCTCCAGCCAAATCCCAGGCTAGGCTGATTCAGCATTTTCGTCAACGCAATGGGGAAAATCACCCCACCCAGAGACGACCCTCCCACTGCGAGTCCCAGCGCGGCGCCACGGTTGTGGAAGAAGTAGTGGCTCACGGCTGCCAGACCGGGCGCCATGATCATGCCGGACGTGATGCCCTCCAGGATGCCCTGGGCTAGCAGAAATTGATAATACTCTTTGCAGAGACTGGTCATCATAACAGAGAACACAAAGAGAAGGGCACTTGGCCAAAGTACCTAGTTCAATGATCGACCTAGTCAGTATGTAGATCCATGCGCTTTCCTTTAGCCTAGCAGAACAAGGGATGAAGAGAAGGGGAAGGGAGGGAGTGCACCAACCACAGATCCATAGCGATCAAATAACGGCCCACCAATTAAGGTGCCTGAGAATAGGAAAAACACCTGTAGTGACCCTATCCATGAGATATCGTCGGGCGGCCGCGTCGAGAGTTGATTTAACAAATAATATTCCTGGTATACGCCAAAGCTATTCACATATCCAAAGGCGCAGAACATCAGTCCTGCAGCTCCTGCAGCGACTGACCAGGCTCGTGAACCCCCATCTGGGAATTCAGGCTTCCAAACAGTGGGGGGCATGCTCGATGTCAACTTGGCATCCTGCTGGTCGCTTGGATTGTCCGACATGCTGAGAACCTGGAGATGATGAGACTCGGTGAATTGAATCTGGTTGCAAGAGTGAGTAAAAAAAGAAAGGGAAGAAGAAAAGAAAGAAAGGAAAGTTGAAAGCAGAGTCGTCAAATTGATACAGAGTTTCAAATTATTGTAAAATCTAGATCCTTAAGTAGTTTATACCTTGTTTACGCTGCCTCGCCTCAGCGGCGGTCGGTGCGGAGATCTCGGGCGAGGAGCGGCGATAATGAGGTTAGGGCTGGTGGCTCGGCAGATCCTAAATGAAGATATCCCTCACCTTCGAGGACTCTCTCTCCGTAAAAAATATGGAATTCTCGAACCAGCATAACTACAGTAAGTTTGGGTAGATGTAGCTATATTCTATGTTTCTATGTATTTTTTGTTGTCCACCTTGATATTCTCTCTCGCTATATCGGGCATCATGCAAATGACTGTGGTATAGTATACGGCTCCAGCTTTCAAAGTACTCTTCTTCAGCTTCTGTTCCACCAAGATACAAAAGTCACCTGTAGCTTTTCCAATAATACAGCTCAGACTTTAAGGTAGCAAATTCACACCAAGCCTGTACTACGCATGACCGTGACCAAGTATTGAGGGCTTTATGCTACTGAAAACATACAACATCGGATACTAGCGACTAAATCCACCTATGAGCCTCCAATCATGCTGGTATTCCAGCAAGGTATGTTGGCAGTATACGAACCCATTAAATATATCTCCTCGTTTAGCTACACAGCTCATGTGCGTCGGAAAATCTTCTAATTCTATTCCTGCCAGGCCCTTCAACTATATTATGGGTTCCTCAAGAGGAATGTATTCACAAAGTGGGAACGATAGCCCGCAGAATATCAGTGCTTTCTTTGCAAAATCTATTTATTCCTCAACAGGACGGGAAGCGAGAGGAGGAGATGTCCATTAGTTTACAATGCACTGACTAGAGCGGATATTCATCCATGGAGTCTGAAAATATCCAAGAAGCCATATCCCCAAAGCTCAGGCCTGCATTGCTGAGTTCTGTTAGTGTGAGTGGTACGGAATCGTCCTGAAGCATGGTATCAAATTCCGACCCCAAATAACGGGCTGTATAGCCAAGATCTTGCGTTTCAGTGCCGCTCTGCTGTTGCAGAATGTCTAGCGCCTCCCGTGCGGCCATTGTGGCTGCCTTTAAGACATGCGCGGCAACATCCATGCCTTGCTCCATGGCTTCAATCTGTGCGATGGCCATGTGTAGAAAGACATAGCTCTTCACGTTGGTTTCACCCTCGTGAAGACGTTTCTCTGTCATGTTCAAAACCCTCCGGATCCTGCTCAGGAGTTGTCCTCTAGCGTCCTGACGCAGTTGTAAAAGTTGCTTCTCCGATTGATCTTCTTTGATTTGGCCTACTACCTCGACACAGAGCACAATTGCAGCATGATGCATAATGTGCCGAAAGAGTATGATAGACACTAGGAGCATCTGATTGAAATCCCAATCTGGTTCAGGAGTAAGTAGAAGGAGAGCGTTATCGAGGCAGACCTTCCGAGAATAGTAATACCGTGGATCTTGGAGAGCCTTGGTTGCAAACGGCCGGTGTAAGGCTAGCAGGAAACGGCGCGTGAGAAAATTTATTAGGTTGCGGTGGACTACAGTAAACAAATGCAAGCTTGCTTCGCTCGCGGTAATAATCCTTGCTAAATTGTTAGTCTCTTTCAAGACATCATCGTATGAAGGCTCAGTGAAAGTATCGTTCATAAGTCGAGCTATCGTTATCCGAGCCGCTAGAGAGCGTCGTAGGTGGATTTGTAGCGAGCTTTGAGTTTGTGTTGATGTGGGTGCCTGCTTGGGGCAGGTCGTAGTTGTCTCCTCAAATGCCTCATCGTCGAGATTTGAAGGGGGGGTGGTATCAAACTCGATTGTGTTGGGTAACATTCCAAGGTCCATTGATACCTGCACCTCAAACTCCATAATGGTGCTCCATAACCGTCGTCGCATCTCTGCATGGTAAAGAGGCATTTCAGGAAAGTGGGTTGGGTCGCGATGTAAGCCCATATAGTTCGCTATGCGCTGTAGTACCCCCTGTGCGAGCCATATGCGATCAGGCTTGCTACCGTTGAATTGCAGCGAGAGTACAACCAAGCAATGGGCCTGTATCCCAGATATGGTGGCGAAGTCTTTGCATCGGATGTCTGAAAGCCAGGCTTGGGCTGCTCGAATCCATTGACGAGCATACTGACGTTGAAGGGGGTCTGTCTCTTTTTCATCAGAGAATTGGACACCAATGGACAAGATTAGAAGCACAATGACAACAAACAACGGTCGTCGCTTGCTCGACTCGTCCCAAAAGGCAGAGTACTCCCGCCGAAAATTTGGAATATGCAGAATGCGGAATGGAAGCTCGACGATGCGTAGATAATGCTCAACAAGTTTATCACACACGTCCCGAGCCGGTAAAGATCTGACGGCCGCTTCCATTGCTAAGCCTGCCGGCGTTTGGTGGTTCTTTACACATCGCGCCGTAGCTTTAGAGGAGGCAATTAACCCCTGCACCTCAGACAGTAGCGAAGAGGGAATCGTCTCTGTGGCCCGCCGACACTCTGGGTTGAAGTCGATGGGATACATCTCATCGCACTGATATTGACCCATGAGTTACGCCGCAACGTGCCCGGGCGGGGTAGACGTACCTGACGATAAGTTGCGATAGGATGAGTGGTCCCCAGAAGGCGAGCTTTGGACATGACCCCGTGAATAGTTCTCTGATCCACAGACTCATTTCCATCGCGCTGTACTTCGCTGACACGGCCTCGTAAATAGGTGACGCCTCTTTGACTATCATCACGTTGTTTGGTGGCAGGTGAAGAGAATGGTTGCTGGTGAGAAGGGGGCAACGATCTTGCACTGTTTGTTATTGGAGCGGTGCGGCGAACACCACTTTTGGTTGCAGCGTTGTCTCTTGCTTCCACCTCGGTGAGGTAGTGAGCTTCTTCATCTCGGTCGGCGGCGTAGACACAGCGGATCTCCGCCGCGGAACACCGACCGCATGGGTCATTTCGGTCGCAACGGACTTTGCGCCGATGGCATTCCGCACATGAGAACTGTACCCTTCTTCGCTTGCGATGTGCTCGTGACTCCATTGTGTACCTGTTTATATATCTGTTCCCCGTGGCCTGGAAGAAAAGAGAGTGAGGAATTGTCCCAGACCGATGCCGGGAACGGGCGGGTTTATGATCGGCATATCGGTGTTTCGGCGTTAAGTTAACCTAGTCGAAGTTTTCCACCGTTGGTTATAATTAGTAACCTTCGACGAGGGTCGTCGAGGTCCCCATCTTGACCTGTCGTAATGGCTTTCCTATACGACCGCCAGGTTCCTTTTGTCCATCATCGACTTCGTTGCTATAGGTCTCACTCCCCAAAGGATCTAGGATCTCGCCGATAAGTCACATGACCCATACATTCGAAGAGGCGCTCGGGGACGTGCAAACAAAACATACGGCCAGGAATGATCCGAACCCAAAGAACCCCAACGTGATCACGCAAGTTTGCTTTGAACGCACTGTTCCAATTCAAGTCGCTATTTTCGTCAAATACTGTTTGCCATGGCTATTCCCTGAAATATTCACGGGTCAGCATCCCAGCTCTTTTTGCAGGACATAAAGTCATCTTAATACGAAGCCTTGCTTGCAATCGCAGACGTGCCTCATCCAGATCGGTCTATACTTGGCGATTTCGTCAACGACGCGCTTGATCCTCAAGAAGCAGCGCGATACTTTCTTCGCATGACATCTACGGAAAACGGATCCAAAGCACCAGAGAAATCAGTATCGCAGTTTCTGTCAGAATGGAAAATCCTTATCGACAAGTGTATGTAAACATCTTCAGTGGGAATGTCCGACTAGATTAAGTAGTTATTGATCTTCTAATCCGAGGTTTAGTGCGACCGACATTAGCAACCTCACTTTCCACTGAGACGAAGAAGCTTCTCTATGAAATGGATGGAGGACAGTGTTGTCTGACGTGTACACCGTTCAAGTCGCACTTGGATCACGACATAAAATATGTTCACATGATCTCGCCTCATCTGTTCGCAGATCCAGATTTGTCAGAAGTAGTACGTGTTATATTAATACAATATCCACCTAGCTAATCGATACGCGAGGCTGCTCTATCTGGAATGTTGAGCGCGTTTTTATCTCTAGAGCGATTGGAGATAATTCGTTCGTCTTTTGAGGGCCACTATAAGCAATCAGAGAGACTTGATAACATCTGGATGTTGTCTGCACAGGCCTTTGATGCCCTGAAGGAAGGGGAGGTGTTTTTAATGGTCCAAAGCTGGGCAAACCATCCCGATACGAGTCAAAAGCAGACTGTAAGTTATCATTCCCCGGGGAATGGAATTTACATTAATGTTAACTTACCCGAGTATAACGTCAATACCAACTGGTTTAAACCCCAACACTGCGCTCGCCTGTCTTTGTCAACGGACGAGATACACCTAGAGAATAGGTCCCCTTAGCTAACCCCAATTCTCAACGAAGAACTCATTGGTGTTCACGCATGTTTTTTAAAGGCATTAGCCTGGATGGAGACAGAAAAGTACATGAACACATCACTCAATTATGCTAGCGGTAAGACCAATACCTTTATAGTCAACTGGGTTTTAATAGTATATAGGAAGAGAATCAACTCTCCCTTCATTGGCGCCGCCTTTTTTCCCGCTTTTCTGAAAGCTCTGGGTAGCATTACCATCTTTTTTTCGAGCATCTGTTTACGACGGATTACTCTGGATTGGTTCTGGTATTTATGGCCCTTCCCTTTCTATGACCGTATTTAAACTCCCATTTGGCTTGATTTGCGAAGAGGATCCCCAGTCTTGGCACCACCATATCATGTTGAAGCTCACAGTCTCCACATAGTACAACAATCGACTCATATTCCCGCACCACGAGCAATCGACGTCTTGGAAACTCCCCATTCTTCCTACTTGCTCATGACCGGTGTTCCTGGATGCCCAATCGGTCAAATGCTGAACACTATGACTGATGAACAAGTGAAGCAAGCCGTGACTGACTTGAAACGATATGTTTCTGAACTTCGGAAAATCCCGAAGATGACTGACTTTCAAATTTGTAGTTCGCAAGGTGGCAGTATCTTGGACTGGCAAATTCCCGATAGTCAGCGAGAAGACCTACGGTTCAAGACGGAAGCCGATTTTAACAAGTATTTAACTGATCCTTTTTGGGAGGAAATTCGGAGACGTGCGGCCAAATCGCATGATATTCATCACGAAATTGTGTTTACGCATGGCGACCTTAACCCAAGGAATATTCTCGCAGAAAATGGAAGAACAACGGGTATTGTCGATGGGAGAATGCAGGTCGATTTCCTGAATATTGGGAGTATACTAAGGCGCATTACAGCGTCCGAAGCTTGATGCGTTAGCATGCTGATGTCGTCGACGAGGTATTTGAGGGCTGTCGCGATGAATTGGAGGTGGAAAATATGCTGTCCGATCTTTTGAGCCCTTTTTAGTTCACATTTTTCTTTCATTTGGTCTCTTGAGGTAGTAGGTAAGTACATTCCTTGACGCTTGTTTCGGTTCTTGGGCCAGACCTTTTTTATTATACTGAATCTTGCCGCCCACGCTGCATAGACAGAAAGGCCACAGGACCTTTTCAACAGCGACATACGTTCAAGACTAAGGGATTGACAAGTCGGAGGCTGGTCAATAGCCAGAGACCGCCATAGTACGACCCCCAATACCTACCTGATCAACAAAGGTCGCCCAGTCGTGGTTGCCGAAGGATTGAGAAGTCCCACCGGTAAATAGGGGAAGCTGATCCTCGGTATTAGCGACCGGAATGCTCAAGCTTCCAGGACTGACATTAGATCTAGTCCGATGTCAACAGGAAGCAACCATATCTTCAACCAAGGCACGCATATTTGCTATACTAGTAAAAGGCAAGCAGGAACAAAGACGAGGTTCCAAATCAGCTTTTACAAGAGCTTAGATTCCTCCAGCTGTACTGACACAGAAAGCTCCTTGATACTCAGTATAAGGATCCGTGGGACTACCACCGAGGCAACAAGGCGAATCGGAGCGCACACTTTATACGAGCAGGATATCTTATTTGTAAGGATAAAGCCCCGTAGCTAATGATCTGATGTCATGAACTCGCTTTGAAGCTTTCACAGAGGATTTGACCCTCTATCCCTCTATGAGGTGATCCAGTGTCATACAATCACTACGCTTCCTTTTTCCTAGCGAAAGCCACTCAGGGCGACGATACCTAAAGCATGATAATTAGCGGTCTAGTGCCTTTAGGCACATATATATACGGTCAAACTGCCATTGGTCACGCACTTCCAGCCACCTGGACATAAGCACTACTGTGTGGGGGGCCAGGGGGCTCGTAATTCTGCGTCTGCGACTGGTTGGAGTTTGTCTGACCATTGATAGTGAGCCTAAGCCTATTGGTTGCGACGTTTAATGCCATGTGAAATTAGTTAAACTACCGGATTGAGGCTACTATGCTTAACAATGCTACACGACTATATAAACTTGACATTCCCAGCCTTACAACCAGCGAATGTCGTCAACACTTCCACTACCCTGTCCAGCTACGCCAGTATCTCAACTACAAAAGAATGGACCCCTCCAAACCAACACTGCTTCTAATCTCTGGAGCATGGCATACCCCAAAGTCCTACTCCAAATTCACACAAGCACTCAGGAATAACGGCTACGAAGTCCACGTGCCGCGCCTCCCAAGCATGAACGGCGCAAACCCACCCAACGCAGATCTCACAACCGATACAGATCTAATTCACGGATATGTCGAAAGCCTTGTCTTCGCCGGCCGAACAGTGGTAGTGATTATGCACTCCTACGGCGGACAAGTCGGGACCAACGCCGTCCTTGACCTCGGACTGAACGGTCGTAAGAAGCGAGGTCTTACCGGCGGAGTCAGCCATCTGGTCTACATGTGTGCTTCTCTTTTCACCGAAGGCGCTTGTATACTTGACATTGCCAAAGAATTCGGTACCGCCGACCAGATCGCTAATGCATCTGATATTCTTGAGTTGTTTCCGAGAGAAGACTTGAAAGCTCTCATGGCTGGTCCCGGGGTGGATGATGTGGATGCTGAGAATCTCGTTTCGACGTTGACGAAGTGGAATGGAGATGCGATGTTGCAGCCGCTGGAGAGGTGTGCTTGGAGGGAGATCCCGGCGACGTATATTCATACGACGAAAGATGCTGCTGTACCGTTTGAATTTCAGAAGGTTATGGTGGAGAAGGCCAGGGCTCAGGGTGGGGTTTTTGACACGGTGGAGTTGGATGCTGGGCATGGTGTTCATTTAAGTATGACTACGGAAGTGGCCAAGATTATTGATAGGGTGGTCGCCCGAGAGGTATAGTGCAGATACTTGGCTGATTCTTTAATGTGATGTAGGTTGACTTATCTTTCGTTTGGCAATGGGTTTGCTTGTTGACCCTTTAAATCAATGAATTACAGTTGGGTAAATCTTTATATCTTAGCAATGAACGCATGGCGTCTAAGATATCGAATGTTTGATTATATACATCCATATGTCATTCAGTCTCGTATCGGTATGTCCCAGAGACCGTCTCTAGTCTAGAAATCCTCCATAGACGGAAACTCGTCCCATTGCACCTCCTCCTGAGGAGGTTCCTCCGAGACACATCTATTGCACTTGCAAACAAAGCGGAACGACCCTTGAAGATGCTCCCTTCGATCTTGGAGCTCGACCTTCTTCGACAGATCGAAGTACGATATACAGCACTCCTCGCCGGTGGCTATGTCCTTTGAAGCGACAAAGACCATTCGACTTTGATTATCCGGCTTATGCATTATCTACACCAAACGTTAGTAAATGAGCAAACATAGGATTGGATGATAAATAGATCAGACATTCGGAGAGCAAGAGTGATTCGCCAGAGCTGCAGTCGGGTATACTCCAGCCCCGAACTGCTCTCCGCGATCGACTGCAGGCTCCGGGAGTGGAAACGCTCCGGTCTCCCTCGGATACAGGCCAAATGAATTGGCCTCTTCTTGACAGATTAGGTCCAGCACCTCGCCGGAGGTCATGCCATGTGGTAGGGACGGGCTGTTTCCCAGATACTTTTTGACCAACAGGGCCCAATGTCGCACTTGGGAGTGAGCCCAGGTCTCTTGCGACCCGCAGAACGATTGGATCGCATTCCAACCCGTCTCGAAAGAACTGGGGTCGGGACCAGTTTTGTCGCTTGAGGGTGTGTTGTGAAATTCCACATGCCGGTTGGCAAGGATGCGCACGATGAGCCACAGCATGCCGAAGTCATACTCGCCCCATTTCGAGCGTATGGAGGTCGCGTATTTCTTTAACCAGGTGCATTCAACCCCATGGCGGAGATTGTCGGCTTCCCGACACGATGCGTTGCACCAGACCGCATCGGCCGAGCATCGGGTCGGGCAAGATACGCGCTCTACGGTCCGAGCAACACGTCTATGACAAGCAGGATTGCTACAGCGGATGTCTTCACTTTGGTCCGGGTGATCCACGACCGGGATGAGCGCATAGGGCAGGTCCACAAGCAATAATTCTCCCTTTCGCACGGGTTGGGACACTCGGAGCTGGCGGCCCTTGATCGGGTCCACGCTCTGGATTAATCGAGGGTGGATCCATGGCTGTTGACGATCGCTTAGGTTCTGCTGCGATCTGATAAGGTGATCTGTCGTCGCCAGTAATCGTTCCGTGGCTATAGGGGATTGCATCTTATCTTAGCTTAACTTGGGTGGTATGTTGATGACGGGGGGCTGCTGGACGTCCCCCATTTTTAATTTTTTTTTTTTTCGCTGCGGATCTGTCTCAACTCTCATGGGGCTTTCTCTTATCCCCTGATGGGTTCCACTGCGTTCCAGAGCTATGCGAGGTTATCTGTGGGTGGTTAGCGAGTTTATTCGCCATAGTGGGGATTGCAGCGAAGAGCCAATTATTCGAGGTTATCCTGAAGAAAAGAAAAACTTGGCTTTCCAATTTAGGGTTCCGAGGTTTCCGCGTATCACAGTGAGGATCCCGGCACGTGGCTAGACTCTACGCAACAGAGGATAGAAAACATACACACAGAGGCAGAGAGAGAGAGAGAGAGAAATGAACAAAATAAACAAATAATCCATTGAAAGACTAGTGAAACCGAGGTACTCATACCTGGCAAGATGGTCGAGCCAACCTTCAACTGATCACCGCAGTACTTCATAGCTAGAAAATATATATCCATATCCAGAACTAACCATTATAAGACACAATGTTTCCCCCCACGCTTAACATCAACTTACAGATAACCCTATTAGGCTGAGAATAGTGAGTAAATCTATTTGTACAAATGTTTCCATCAGTTTAAAACAATTATGCAGCAAACGTAATTCATACGGAGAGGCACGGGTGAAGGGAAGGGACATGGAAGGCGCCATTGGAATCCATCGAATCCTTGAACTTCAGCTAGTTATGCACTGGGACAAGAGCAGGGCGACGAAATAACTAGGCCGACCCCGAAATCCACTATTTGAGGGTTGCCAGAACAGCTGGCAATGGTGATACTCATATTTGGAACACTTGACTCCGCAAGATTATTGGGCATTTACACAATATGACACAGGAACGTGGAAAAACGGCATTTGTAACATTATAAACATTTCATCGTGTAGCCAAAACTGATATACAGGGGGTATAAGAAAATTAAGAGACGCGCTAAACATTAACACCGACAACGTGAGCATTTATACAACGGGGGTTAGCTCGCGGTGACTATCATAGGAATTAAGTTGGAGATCGGAGCTTCCTTCCGAGCGGGTGCGAACACGCTGGAACCCCGGCTTAGCATCCACGGCTGGGTACTCAGCCTGAAAACGTCCTGGATACGCGGAAGTGCGGTTCTTGTCCTGTTTCACAAACAACTGGCGGAAGGAGCCAACGCATGCGATGATGTTGGCTGGTAGGGGTTTTCGTTAGTACACACATGGTGATTGCACGATCGGGAATCCTCAAGAGATACATACCGACAGTGGCTTCGATAAAGCTCCACATCCACAGCCAGGACATATCGGAATTCTTCTCCTTTGTGGCAACGACAGCGACTCGGACGATCGCCACAATGATGATGAGCACCGCCAACGATAGGATACTCATCAGGATCATCTTGTGGCGGAGGGGAAGTCGGACGTTCCATAACAGGGTGATTGGGAGGCTGATAACTACATTGGGAATTCAGGGTCAGTAAGCCAGTCGATACGGGTGACGAGGGGTAGACTATACTGGTGAGATCAGTGAGGACGTCCAACACCAGGTTGATGATGAATGTATTGTATTGAAACAGAACAGCTGCTTTTTTCGGGCAATTTTCTATCGAAGGAAAAGTCCACCAGTTAGCCTAGTCCATGGAAGAAGCAGGATGCGATCCTCCTCGTGAACATACCTAGGATATACGCTTGGTCTCTCAGAAGGCAAGGGTACTGAATGTCCCCCAAGCAGACGAAATACGTCGCAGCAACGAAGCCAACGACACACCAGAACCAGATGAGCCACGAGCGATCCGTCCCTCCGATACGGCGGAAGAAGATCAGGAACGAGGCTTTGATAGACCATAAGGACGAGTAAAACAGGATCAGAATGGCGCACTCGGCCCGCTCCAGTTGTGCCAGGCGATTCAGGATCTCGGGCGTTGGCATGAGGTTGCCGGCATCTAGCTGAAAGAGAAGGTACATGGAATCCACCTGAGTCTGCCAAGTGATCGCCTGGACTAGAAGCATCAGCCATGCGCCGATGGCGAAGGCATCGTCAAGCCAGAGACGTCGGAAGGTATAGATACGAGCGAGTGTGCGCGCTAAAACGAAGAGAAACGAGAGCCCGGTTGCACCCCAAAGGACGCCCTACAGCTCAGTACAGTAGTAGGTTAGCCAGATGGAAGCGTACATGAGCCGGTCACTCTGACTTACAATGAAGACCGGCCCTGTCACCTTGGCAGGCGTGTCTGTCTGGTAGTTTGTCATGATGGAACGTGGACAACAGTGGTGTTGCAACACTGCACAGTCTAATGTGTTATTCACATAAAAAAGAATGACGAGCAGCCTATGCAGCCCCGCAGCCTTAGAGGGTATGTCGCTTGGACGGTCGAGGTCCACGAAGTGGGCGGGGCCAGGTTAGATATGTCTGGTCTGTGGAACACCATTAGGGGGCTGACAGCGTGAAGGAGAAAGATCCAATCCCCCCCAGGGAATCACATCGGGACGGAGGGGGCTGTACGCTGTGCAGTGCTATTGACAGGCATTATGTACGACCTGATTACACGGACAGTGCCTTGGAAGCGATGTTTGGGGGCGATTGCCAACGTGAATCCGATCTGACCAACCTTTCCGAGTAACATCGCCGCGCGACCCCGCTCGTGCGGTTGCAACAGTGCTATTTTAAAATGCATGGAGTAAGCACTAGGCGATGAGTGGGTAACTCATTATAACCGAGAAATTCGTCAGGCTGACAGTTTGCCATGGGGCGGGGTTGCAGATGCGCTACTTTAGGGCTAAGTGTCGCCATTCTTCCTTCTTTCCGGTCAGGATCGGCGGCCCGGTCCTAATCTAATCCATCCTGCGCTGAGCAAGCACTCGCTTGGCGCGCTCACTTGCTCTTGCTATCAAGGTGGGACGCCATGGCTCTGGATATACCCTACAAGGGAAAGCCTGGTTTCTTCAAGCGACGACCCACTAGGCACGCAGGGATAAGAAATCATCACTCTCTACTCAGACAGGCCAGACGATCAGACCACTCGCGATCATTGCTCGATAGTCGATTAACTGCATATGCCTGATTGGTGGGATGTGGGTTCCCTCGTGTATAGCTAGACTATTCTGGAGACATGCAGACAGACTGCATCTTCGCTTACTATACTACAGGACTATTATGCCAGGCCAACACCAACCTGGACGCCCTCCCCGCCGGCCTCCCGCCGTTGATTTGCGACCTCCTTTGCATTCAGTCGCTCCATCCCAGCGGTAAAGAGCACAGAGGCACAAATGCAGGCTAGTGCAAAAATCATGACATGCGAAACGGATGTGCACCAGATGCTGCGAAGCTCGACTAACGCGTCGGCAGTGGGGGCGAGTGCCTGAAGATTAGACGCGCCCCAGGACATGACTCGCTCAGGCGAAAGTTCGGGGATCTCCCGGGGCACCTCTCGCAGGATGTTGTTTAACGAAATTGTTTGCGAGATGGCGATTGCTAGGGCCCTAGTCCGAGTTATGAGCGACTATATAATCATGGGGTGACTAAAAAAAATACACTTACCCTCCCAGTTGCCAGACAAACACGGCGATGGCTGGATGGAGCGGTTAGTGGCAGACGGGCAGCAGAATATTGGGAAATACATACCATTTCCGGTCGGGACGTCGTCCTCGCTGCGACTATGGTCAGCGTTAGGTGTTTGATTAGGTGCTTATATACTTACTGTAGGACTACGTTCACAGCGGTATAAGGCAGCTGCATGGCCAACCCCATGCCCAGCCCATGAACAACCAAAGCGGCTGCCCAATATACAGTGGACGAGTCAACCTTCAACCTCGTAAGCATTACAGTTCCAGCGATACAAATCAACTCGCCGACGATCATGTACGGGACCTATGCATATCTCTTTGTAAGCTGGAATCGGCTCCACGGCTGGAGCAAGGTCATCAACATACATAATACCCCCATTGGGTGACAAGGGCGGATGTCAGAATCACTGCAAGCATCTGAGGGATGAATACAGCGATGAGGTCTACTCCGCTGTGGACTGCGTCCGCACCCTGCACGGCTTGAAAGTAATACGGCATGTAGTATGTGACCTGAAGGACGATGAGCGGCGTCCCCACGAGTTGGCATAGAACTCACAGTATAGGTGGCCGAGCCCAGGCAAAAGAGCACCCCCCCGCTCGTCCATATTGACCGCTGACGCAGGACGCGTAGTGGAATCAAAGCCCGCTCTTTCCTCCAGACTTGAATGCCGACAAACACGATCGACAGGAGGCCAAACCCGACAAAAAGCCCTATAATCGTTGCAGAGTGCCAGGGCTTCGTCTGGCCTCCCCATTGAAGGGCTAAAAGAAGACAACAAACCGCACCGATGAAGACGATGCAACCGATAGGATCCAGATGCTGCAATTTCTCCTTCAGTGGGAGAGATCGGTTGTCATTCTCGGCATTACGGATCCGGAGGACGAATAAAAGCAGAATCAGCGTCACTCCACCGATGGGAACGTTACTGGTAGCCGTCAGTGCAGCCCTCGGTGCGCGGTTTGTAGCGTAAGATGTAAAGGAAGACATGAATGTACATACATCCAGAAACACCAGCGCCAGATCCCATGGGTGGTAAACGCCCCACCCAAGACCGGTCCAACGCAGACGGAAATGACAAAGACGCTGATCACGATGCCCTGATACAGCGGGCGCTTCTCCAAGACCACCGTGATGGCGATGATACTCAGGGCGCCTTGGAGAATGCCAGCAGCTCCAGTACCGGCAACGGCCCGACCGACGATGAACATGGGCGAGTTTGTGGCGGCCGCGCACAGAATGGAGCCCACTAGATCGTGATAACGTTAAATGAGCACTGACCCCATAATCGCCCATGCTTCACGAACCTTCAAACACCACCAGGCAAATCTGGAAGACGAGTTCCACTTTGAAGAACTTGTACATGCTGCCCATGAGCGGCTGGAAGGCCGTAATCGTAAGCAGATACGCACTGCCATACCAGGCAGCGTCGTCCAGAGCATGGAAATGAGACGAGATGGACGGAATCACGACTCCGATGATGCTCGTATCCAAGGAGACCACAAACACCCCCAGAAAGAGCGAAAAAATAACCGCAGCAAGCTGCCAACCAGAGAGATAGCTATCGGGCGATTTTGCTGACACGGCGGATGTCTCTACCACCGCTGACTTTTCTGCATCCATCATAGGAGGTGTTGTCCGTGGCTAGCGAGAGAGGTAAATGAGAACATAGTCGCGACGATGGCGACAGCGGCCGCATTTTGTTTCACCTGGTGAAAGACTCTGATCCTAGCTACAATACACACGTTCCATTGGGCATTTACCCCCTTTGGTAGTATTCCAGAGTCGGGTTTCCTGCCTTGGGAACCCCTGCTGTTTCCTATACCCATGTTCCTAAACGATGATATTATTGGAGTTATATCAATAGCCCCCACCTGCTGCTGCTTACCGTGAGCCATGTCCATGTCACGGAAATTAGACTACCAGGGGGATGTCCAATAATCGTTGCCAAGTGATCATGCACGGACTCGTCTAGCGTTCGTGGCCTGGATCCATTCGGGGAAAAGGACCGATCCACTATTTCTTAGCGTCGAGCCGGGCTGAAAATCATGGCAGTGACGGCACATCGGCTTGAGTCTGATGCGACACAAGGCGCACTCTGGCGCAAATCTCTGGGCTAATTATGGCCTGAGGTCAGCAAACTCTCGGACCAGCCAACCCTGCCAATGCAGAGTCTTGCTGACCCCCGTTCTCCGACGGGCTCACCTCAATTAACGTCTTTGCCGATGTCCCTTATCCAGGCACATGTCAGTGGCAGATGTGCAAGGCTAAGAGCGTTGTATTCTGTATAAAATTAGCGTGCCATTCCCCACCCGCCTATGGTTGCCTGTGGATCCTCTTACCCTATATCTCTGGCGAATGGGATGGTGTCGCATGAATTCCCTCGCTCTCCCCGACATGCTACGCCTACGGCTTCTGACACTTCTGACATGCTACAGCTGTCATAGATGCCAGTATGCCTTTTAGCGCTTACTCCACCTGGCCCCTCTATTCTGTGAAGTTAATCAATTGGGGGCCGCTGCAACCCCTCTTCTTTAGAATGCCTACCTGGACTACGTGGGAGGCGTGGCCAGCATGTGCCTTACGGATGAGGGTATAAACAAGACCGGCCCCCCTCGTGGGAGCTGGGGTCCGCAGCACAAGGGCACACAGCAAGTCAAAACATAAACCCTGCGACGATGCTTCAGGAATTGATAGCCACACTCGCTTCCGGGGCCCAGATGTACTGGGCCTCCAGCACGATCTGGATGCGCGTGGGGTTCACGGTGCTAGCGACCTGGATTTTCTGGCGGATCTGGAGATTTACAATCTTGCCACTTTTCCGGCCAAACGAGCCAGTCGAGCTCCCCTACTGGATTCCCTGTAAGGCCCCTGTGGGAAAGAATTTGGAGAGCTATCGCTAATGTCCAGCAGACTTTGGTAAATTATGGAAGCAATTGGCTTCTCGGAGAGAAGTTGCTGACGTGCATAATGATTAGGGCATGCCGGTGCGTTTTTCAAGGACTCGCACCAACTTATCAGAATGGCCCTGTGCGTGCATAAGCCCCCCACCTATGAATGCCCCAATTGATGCACAAAACTAATCGCTTTCGTAGAAAGCGCTTCGGGACACTGCAACCGTTCAGCATGATCATCGCCGGAGATCGATATTACGTTATTACCTCGCCGGTAGACACTCGTCCATTCTTCGCCGACGTGCAAGCGATGACTACCGACGGATTCCTCGACCGAGCACTGTTAGCCTTCGGATGCGCTCCGGAACGTCTGCATACCTTATGGCAGCGCAACACACCCACCCGAGTGAACCCGAAGGGGAAGAATCTCATCCATTTGACGCAAGACCTGTTCAAGCACGACCTGGTTCCGGGACCGACGCTAAATATGCTACTGGAGAGATACCAAGGGGCACTCGATGAACTACTCTCGTGGGACCGCCTCGTGGGCGCCTATCCCTCCCTGGTCAGTTCGGAGACCGAGGCCATCTCACTGTACGACATCTGCGCAGACTTTATCGCCAACGCCAACCAGGTCGTCCTGTTTGACCGGGCGCTTCTGGACATCGACCCCGACATGGCGGTCGACATGCGGACCTTCACGGATGAACTCTGGAAGCTCGTCCACCGGTCTCGATTGGTCGACACCACGGAGGTCACTCGTCTGCTACGCCAGTACGCCTCCGCGTTCAAGACCTACCTGCAGCTGCCACCCGAGGCGCGACCGGACGAGATGCCAGTCATCCGAACTTTGCTGGAGACATATGCCGAGCTGGGAATTCATGAAGATGACCGGGCCGCCATGCTGGTCATGATCTGCTGGGCGTAAGTACTTCCGTCGCTCCCATCGGGTGGTAAATGGCGCTAACAACTGGGCCAATAGTGGTGATGCCAATGCCTACAAAGCGGCGTACTGGGTTCTTGCATACATTCTGTACGATCCACAGCTGCGAGAATTAGTGCGTCAGGAGACAGCGCCGGCGGTCGGACCAGACGGGAAGCTGGACTGGACCTATCTGGCCAAGCGATGCCCACAACTCTCGTCGATCTACCACGAGGTCCTCCGGCTGACCAAACGCGATGTTATCGTGCGACAGGTCGTCCGTGACACTGCCATCGCCGGTAAAAGATTGCGAAAAGACAGTATCGCGGTGATCCCAACCTGTCAGCTGCATGACAATCCGGAGACCTATGGGTCAGATGCAGCATCGTTCAATCCCGATCGCTTTCTGAAAAAGCCCGGCCTGGCTCAAACCACATTTTTCCCGTACGGCGGGGGACGCCACTACTGTCCGGGACGATACTTTGTGGAGCTGGAGATCTTTGGGTTGGCGGCGCTGATGCTCAATCGATACGACATGCAGCTGGCTTGGCAGGCGCCGTTCCCCCGGCGCGACGAAAGTCTGGTCACTTTGGGCATTTCCCGACCGGTTCCGGGAGATGATCTCCATGTGACGTTGAATTGGAAGGAGGGGAACAAGAATTAGACCATGAATAATGAGAAATGAGAATTGTACATACATTGATTAACGACGTTGTGCTATGATTACTAGTAATTGTGTAAAGGAGTGGCAGTGGCGGTCGATTCCTCCTCTAGGGCCGGCCCGCATCCCATGATCCCCCGAGCCCCAACTGGACCGTCTGTGTTGTGAGTTGTCTGCCTTGGGGATGATTTGGCGTTTGCTTAGTTATTCTTCGTGGGCATTCATTCGTGCTTGGCGGTTCGAAGGAGGAACAAAAGGCTCTGCCGCTGCTGCTGATATTCTTGTCCTCTGACTCGTCGACTGATACGCCGATCGTTGCTGGAAGTTGTCAAGGGCTCCAGCTTCGCCTCCGCTGGCTCCCCCGACTAAGCAGGGATTCGATGTTAGGGCTGCATTAGTGCTGACAGGCTTCATTGAAGCGTTTCACCTCCAATTCTCGTACCACTGGAGTTGGTGAAATTAGCAACTGGGCAACTCCCGACTTCCGTGCCTGTCAATCTCCTGGTCGTCGCCTTGGCGCATTGTTTTTCTCTTTCTGCTTGCTCCTTCGCTCCAGCATTTCTTCCCTTCTTTCTCTCCTTCGCTTCTCTCCCTGCTACTCTCCCGCCTCTGCCACCCCAATTGTCCGGCCATGTTGTTGCTTGTCATCGCGGTGGCCCTCGTGGGCTGGACCCTGTACAGCGTCGTCTGTCTGGTGGGCAACATCCGCCGCATCCAGAAAATCGGCATTCCTTACCACGTCATTCCTTGCAGTCCAGTCAATCCGCTCTGGATCCTGCTCGAGCCCATCATCTTCTTTATTCTCGGTCTCCTCCCGTTTGAATTCGGTCGCATCACTCACTATGGTCGGCGCACCTGGCAGTTTACCGACAAGGCCCAGTCGCATATGCGAATGGGCGATGCGTGGGCGATCGCAACCCCCAACGAGGTGTTTGTCTACATCTGCGACGCGGACGCTATTACAGACATCATCGCGCGTCGCGCAGATTTCGTGCGCCCGATTGAGCTCTTCAGTATGGTCTGATCCTGACGGTTTTGGAAGCTGTTTCGCTGACTTCACCAGCACTGCTAAATGTGTTCGGTCCCAATGTGGCCACGGTGCGTCGACTATCCTCTGTTACTGAATGTAGAATCTAATCTGTTGGCAGACCGAGGGCGCCGACTGGCAGCGCCACCGCAAGATCGTCGCCGCTCCTTTTAACGAAAGCCTGAACAGCTTCGTCTGGCGCGAAGCCCTCACCCAGGCGCAGAGCATGCTCGCCACGCGGACCACAGCTGGAGCCTCTGGAGGCCTGGGAACGGACACACGCACTCTGGCCCTCAATGTCCTCGCAGCAACCGGTTTCAAGCGGTCCACGCGCTTCCAGAGCGCCCAAGAAGCGCAGTCGGAGGATCCCCGCTCCTACGCCCAGTCGCTGAAGACCGTCATGCTCAACACGTTTGTCATCATGCTGGTTCCCCCGACCGTGCTCAAACTGCCCTTCTTTCCCAGCTGGTGCCGTAGCGCCGGCCAGGCCGTCGAGGATTTCAAGCAACACATGCTCAACATGTTCAACACGGAGAAAGCGCTCCTCGATCAAGGCCAGCCAGGCACCGGCACGCTGATGTCTTCCTTCGTTCGCGAATCCACCGTCGATCCCAAGAGCAATAAGACCGTCCTGACCATCGACGAGATCCTGGGCAATATCTATGTGATCAACTTCGCCGGCCACGACACGACTGCCGGCTCCCTGACCTACGTCCTATTCTTGCTTGCCGCCTACCCCAATATCCAGGACTGGATCGCGGAGGAGATCCGGACCGTCTTCCCCAACCCCGACCGCGACACATGGGATTATAAGGAGGCTTTCCCCCGGCTCAAGCGGTGTCTAGCAGTGGTGGTGAGTACGCCCCGGACCAAACTCTGTTCTGGAGACCCCTGTATTAACTCACCCCCCCCCCCCCCCCCCCACCAGCTCGAAACCGTCCGTCTCTACCCACCTATCCTCGCCCTACCCAAATCCGTCGCACCCCCAACCACCAGCCTCCGCCTCCCCGAAAGCAACCGCACCATCGTCCTCCCCAAGGGCACCGTGGTACTCCCCAGCCTCCTCGCCGCCCAGACACACCCGAAGTACTGGCCCGATGAGCCCACCACATGGAATCCCCGCCGATGGGTCGAGACCGCCCCGCCGAGCAGCGACGTGACCACACGGGAGGAGCAGCTGGCGCGCGAAGAGATCATGGAGGCCCGCGCGGGGGCATACTTCCCCTGGTCAGCGGGCGTGCAGAACTGTGCGGGCCGCAAGTTCGCGCAGGTGGAGATCGTGGCGGCCATGGCGGCGCTGTTCCGCGAGTATCGTCTGCGGCCGGTGCTGCTGGACGGCGAGGACTTTGAGAAGGCGCAGGCGCGGATCTTGAAGTCGACCAATGATAGCTATCAGTTGCTGGTTATGCAGATGCGCGATCCAGATAGTACTCAGTTTGTTTGGGAGCGGGTGGAGTGAGTGCGATACGTGGTAATGGTGTGATTGTAACTGAGAGTGCCCCGTTGTTTCGCAGGGCTGGGGTTGCATGAAGATGCGATGCAGTCGGTTGTGAGTGGTGGGCTTGTCCAGCGTACGATACTTTAGTTCCCTCTAATCTCTCCTCGTCATTACTACTCAATGAGATACGATTCTTATTTGAAAGACTCTGAAATGTAGGCTTTTTGAGCTGGTTGAATCGCACTGGATGTCCAGTTTTGGGAGATGTTGAGATCGGCGACCATGTCGCATTGAACTAGCAATGCAGTAGCCTTCTCATGTCTACCGGGCCAGACCTACGCTACCTCGGGGCGATCAAGGTACAGGTTGCATAAAGGCTATATCGAACAGGTAGACATGGTACAGGAGGCCCATATGAGGGGCGAAGTCTGTTGTGAGGGGAAAACCGCAACCTCGGTCCGGGGTTATTGGCTGAGATCCCCTCACCATCGACCAGACTACAACTTCAGTGACATATATAGTATCGCCCATTGCCACATCATTGGCACCAGGTCAATCAGACACTATACAGCAAGCCCGAATAACCAACATGAGTTCCACCAACACAAACAACGCCTACGTGCTAGGCGTCGGAATGACCCAATTCCTCAAACCACGGCGCACGCGCGAATACCCCGAGCTTCCAGATGAGCAAGAAAGCGGCCGAACGCGCCATGGCAGAAGCCGGTGTCACTCCGAAGGATGTCAAGGTGTGCGAACTGCACGACTGCTTTTCGACAAACGAGCTTCTACTTCTTGATGCGCTTGGTTTCTCGGAGCCAGGTAAGGCCCACGAGATGGTTCGCCGCGGGGATATCACATACGGTGGTCGCGGCCCGGTCATCAACCTTCTGGTGGACTCATTTCAAAGGGACACCCCCTCGGAGCGACTGGTGTGGCGCAATGTGCAGAGCTTACGTGGCAGTTACGGGGCTGGGCTACCAACCGGTTGGTTAAGGGCACTGACGTTGCTTTGCAACATAATCTGGGTCTTGGTGGTGCGGTAGTCGTGACCGTGTACAAGCGGGCGGATGGACAGAGTAACCCAGCTCTTTCCGATGCAGAGGTCCGACAAAAGTCTGCGCTTGGCTATAATCCCGCGGTGGAGGCACGCTATGTTAGACCTCAGGATGGGGAGAAGGTTCGGAGTCGGACGCGACATGACCATCCTCTGAAGGAGACGGTGGGCACCCTGGCCGCACGCATTTAGTAGTAGGCTTGAATTATTTTTACTGATATGGAGCGTGGACATTGTTAAAGTATTCATTGGGAGAATAGCTCTTTACCCTACACTGAAAGGTACAAAATCAGTGATCATTGACGTGTAGTCATAGATAATGTATCACACGCAAAAGAATTATCAACATATCGCAAAGCAGACATGCAAAAGCCATTACATCACGCATGTTTGGTTGTGCCGATAGGTGCCCCTTGCAGGCCAGTTTTACTTTCTCCAACAGAAGAATACACCGCAACCAAGGTATTAGCCGACCACACCAGGCCCGATCGGCCCCGATAAGATGGCCTTGAGGAGCGTAACTATCTCCTGGCCCAAAGCTAGAAGAGCTCTCGGGTCAGCAAGACCTGTAATCACAGTAGAGGTCGTGCATCCTTGTTGGACAGGCTTGTTGTTCATACGATCCATAAGCCAGAGCATGCCATCAGCAGACCCTGTAATCTCAAGGGATGCATGTTCCGAGAGTTCATCACGCTTGTACTCGACGCTGGCTCCACCCTGGCAATAGGTTTCGACCAGAGAGTCGGTGTCATTGACGGGACTTATCTCATCTCCGACCGACTTGTAAACGAGAAGAGGAATCTTGGGGACGTGCTGTCCCATCGCGTTGGCCTGCATGACTTTCACGGCCGCAGGCTGATCGAAGATGTTCCGGTCGTTAGTGTATTCGTAAATATCCTTACCGAAGTACTCAATTATGTCTCCCGAAAGACACAAGTTCTGGGTTTTGTTAAACTCAGCCCTCTTTGCCGGTTTAAGGCCGTCGTCAATAAGTTTCTGGATGTCGGGGTACTCATTCGCCAGGCCCTGGATACCGGACGGGACGAGTCCCACGAACGGTCCCTTATTTACCGCGTCAATGACTGGTCGTATCTTGGGCACGGTACCGCCCAGTGCGGCTCCCACGATATTCAGCTCGGGGGCATAGGTGGGATGAAGTTCGGCGGCGAATCCACTGGCCAGGCTGCCACCGGAGTAGCCCCATAGCGCAATGGTAGGATCCGAAGTAATGTTTGTAAAGCTCGAGGATGCCAAGGCAGCACGCAGATTGTCCAAGACGGCTTGACCCGAGAGATTGTTGGCCAGGAAAGCGGCCTTGGGTCCTAGATGGTCTGGGACGGTCACCACCCAGCCTTTATCGAGGGCGGCGCCGAAGAACAACAATTCCACCTGTGGAATCACCAAGCCCAGAATACCATCGTGGGCTGCTTCGAGCTGTAGAGCGTAGGAGGGGGCACAGTTTGGATCGGCCGCATCTTCAGCAACCTGGTAAGAGAGCAGCTTGGAGTAGTCGGCGTTATGAGGAATCAGGATGGTCGAGACTGTTGCAATGGCATTGCCAGAAGAGTCGCTTGTTCGGTAAAGAATCTGATGTGCTGCTTGGATGTTGACCTTGGCGAAGCCGAGCGCTGCAATTGGGTTTGGAGGGGTTCTATGGCGGAGGATTGTCCCCGGTGCTGAGGACTCAAAGCCTTCAGGGGGGATATAGAAAGGGTCGTCCGTCGGCAGTGCAGGTGCTGAGCTCCGTGCAGGCAGTTGGGCTGGGAAGGCCGAAACAAGCGGAAGCACGGCGAGGATTGGCGCCAACAAAAGGCTTAGCTTGGTCATGTTGTGTTATGTGGGATGTGCATTGACACCGAAGTGGAGGACATACCGTCTATATATATGAGTTCATCCTCAGTTGTCAATCCTACGAGTCAAGGCAGGCTACCATCCTATCACGAGGAATACCATTGGATGGACAGAGATACAGGAAGTCATTTCTCAATTCTGGGCGTGATGTCCTTACAACAGTGTGACACATGAATGGCAACACAGCACAGTGTAGAGCACCGACAAGTGTCAGCAGCCGAGGTTTGTCCTGGCTAGTTTAATGAAGTGCATTAGGGTCCCCAACTAGCAATCCTGCAGCCAGATTAATAGGCACTCAAAATGCGGGGCTGGTAGTATAGGGCTCAAATATGGGATCTACATCCCCTGATCACGAATGCAATCGCCTCTCCGAAAACAACCCGATCCATGCAGCTAGTCGATCCTGTCACGAGGAGGTATTATTTTCCTCTTATATAATATTAAGGATCGCTCAACAGTTTCAACGACAGACGGTACCTGTATCTTAGTAGCCTCGGTATTGACCATGGTCAATGTTTTGTTGGGAACGTATCTATATGGTTTCCCCCTTCTACAAGGATTAATTTGAAATCCCACATGCTACTGACGCAGATAGCACTCTATAATATCGAATCAGGTAGAGATTTCGGCGAGAACGTGTTAGATCACCACCTCAGTCCAGACAACACAAGAAACCCAGGTGCATCCGTACAGCTGATCCTTTCCTGTTCCGAGTAGAGATACGGAACTCCCACCGGTGCCTTTGCGTCGATCTCCTCGTGAAGAATATGGGGTAGATGCCTTCCCCTCGTATTCATCGTATTCACACATGTATTTCCTTTCGTTCCCTAATGATGTGAACATGTGGGCCATGGAACACACTGACTACAGCGCACGATGTTGACAATGTTCAGGGATTTGAAATGCTCGGCGATCCCAGGGATTAAGGTCCGCGGACGATACCCAAATTTTGGGTCCACCCTATTGCTTAGCAAGTATCCGAAACAACCCAGATTTTAGATCCGGAGTTGTCGTTCCAAAAGATGCCTCAACTATACTAGCACCAGAGGGGCTCAGTCGAGCCTTACCTTTTCCATAACAATGTTGCAGACCCTTTGTTGGCACACAACGGGGAATTGATAAATTATTCGCTTATGAGAGTCAAAGGCGGCCGCGACTCCTCCACCTAGCCTACCAGAGTATATTACAAGTATAGGAACTATAACAGGAGAATAGCTATACTCTAGCATCTGTCAAGAGTTACTCGGAGTTTATGCTGAAACATAAAGACAAGTAGTTAGGGCTGTGCCTTGCGCGGCCTGTTAACAGTCAAACTCGGTTTCTACAAACTCGGTTAATAGCTTATCCAAGGCTTTATAGCTTGTCTTGAGTTTTTTAATTTCTTCAATTTCTAGATCTATTAGATTCGATATTCTGTTTAGAACGATATCCAGATACTCTTGACAGGCGGTAATATTATCTGCTAATATCCTAGTAGTATCTGTATTGACTCTATTAATATTAAGATGTACTTTAAAAAGTATATCCAGGCTCAGTGCTATTATATCGGACTGTGTACTGTAGATGGATTCGGTATTAATCTATTTTTTTTAAAGTCTTCGACACGTTTCTCGTCGATTCGGCCTAAACTGCCTCATGTGGTTTCTTATAGAATATACACGCGGGCAACTTCCAGTGATATTACCAATCGGCCTCTTCTATCTGCAACCTATCAGTCCGCTATGCTAAGATAATATTATAAAGCTCGACACAAAAGAAGAGAATGGCATCGCGAATTCTATGCAGTAGCTAGGTTTTTACCGAAGACATTTATTTCTTTTCTTAATTATGTTAGTAACTAACCTGTGTTCCTTTCGGGGAAGATCATACCTTGAGCGGGGTGTACTATCACAGTTGACAAGATCTATTTGTCGACTTTCTTTCAAAGATTTGTATAGGGTTTGGTTAGAGTGGATGAATCCTTAAGTCATTGTAGAGCGGGGGTAGCAATGGTAATGATGATAACATTCACTGGGCCGAGACACTCAACCTTGATGTGTTACTTTTTTGCTTCCCGTCCTCTTTCTCCCTTTCCATTTCTTTCTCTACCTCTCTCTCTCTTGTCCTCCCTATCCAAGTCCAAGATGTTTCCATCTCTGTCACGCATGACAGGTAGCCTGGCTCACCTTCGTCTACGAGATGACCGAGAGGCCCAGAGAGAAAAAGCCTTTGGCGTACTGTGTGACATGTTTACACTGTTGAATACGATGCCCAGTGTTTATATTCAACCCGGTGATTTTCAATCCCTGCCAGTAAACATCGACATGAAGGTTCTGCCGTTAAATGATGACAATATCGAGGAGACTCCCCGTGCGACGGTACATACGGAGTTGGACTTCTTTCTTCCTCTGTCCCACGAAAGCATCTCATCCAAGTACAAAATGAACTTGGAGGCTCCCGAGATCAGAGAACGTTTCTCCCAGGTTAACCAATTGACGGATGGCAATTGTCCCGTGCTAATGGAGTTGGGATGCTGGAATAAGCAAGAGCACCTGGAATATTTAGCTTATAGACTCATGTGGGAAGCGGACGTTGTTCCCAGAGTGGGGACTGAAGGAAACTCGAGACCCCTGAGGGTAGTTACGGGCTGGAAGTCCCCTGGGTGAGCGAACGTGATGGTTTAGATATATCAATGCGCAGGACTAATCACGACTTACTTAGATTTGCCTTTGCAGCGAGATTCGAACCTTACCTCCATACCTACGACTCCCCCTACAGTGAGGCGGCTAATTGTTGGGTTAAGAGCGGCATACCACATATCAAGATCGCCGTGTACAATACTAGTCAAGGGGATCCAAAGCTTCTACTCTGTTCTGAGATTCTTACCATAATTGCTGCAATCTCTACCCGTCTTATGGACAAAGGGCTCGAAAAACATCTTATCATTCCTGTACGCAAATCTTTCTTAAGTGATGCCCTCTCACTACGTCTTTTGTATCTTTGTTGCTGACTTTATTCTCTTTGAGGTTATGCTTATCTCTTTCATGGCTCCTGCACATGGGAGGGTCCTCATTGCACATTACGATAGCCATGGACTTCGCATCAAAATGTCCGATCTTTTGCCGTGTAGCTCAAACGATCGAGCCTCTTGGGACTTCTTTGCAAGATACCTCGGAAGTGATGCCAACCCAACGGCGGATACATCCATGTTTGTTGATCAGTGACGGGGACAACCGGGTACCAGGGGTCCATAGTGGTTTACAGCTAGAAGGCATAGACTAGTTGCAAGGTCCGTAACAAATAGCAGAATAATAGAAATAATAAAATAAAAAAATAGATACTATAACAGAAAAACGGTAGAATATGATAGAATAGAGAACAGTGAAATAGCTATAAATAGTAAAATAAATTGACTAATTAGATAACATAAGAATAACAACAGAAGTGGATTCAACATAAGTTTCAATATATATATAGTAGATACCTTTCATGTAGCAGTCTGACAAGCTATGTACGCCCAGAATCACAAATTCATATTCAGTTTTCCGTTTTCTAACTATTGACCAAAAGTTTTATTCACTACGTTCCAGGTATCTTTAGGATGGTGTCTGGGTAGCAGCTACCTGAATTTCTCATGCAGCAGTATACTTGTACAAAAGATCACCCACAATTCCTTCCACGTCCTCCTGGCCCACTTCGCCCCCATCATTCAATTGGAATTCCAACGGGACTGCAATAGGTTTCTCGTCTTTCATCGAAGCACATATACCCTCTCCATTTCGAGTCCTTTCAGGAAAACTTCTGCGACGTTCCTCGAAGACACGAGAATCGAGTACAGAGATTCGACTATCGTCCCGTTCAAGATTCGAGATACTATCAAAATTGTCCTCTCCTTCTACCCCTTCCGGACAGGTGCTCGTGTCGGACTCTCCGTCTTCCTCATCAATTCGCTTCCGGTAGAGCCGGTAGAGACCCGCAACTTCCAACCCCCTTTTAATCCGTGATAGAAATCGGGATCCGAACTTTCGATCTCTCTTCCTATCATCAACCTTTAGCTTAGTTGAAGCTGAGGATTTCCGTTCGATAAATATTCCGTCTCGTAAATTCCGGGTGTGGGCGAATAATTCCTCTTGAAAGTCTTCCGGTATCCACTGCTTGATAATAATATATCCGGGATCCTCCTAACAAGTCGCACATTAGATCTTATATCCTACTAAATGATCGACTTGTTGGATAGATACCTCGTCAAATTCAAAGGGTAAACGATAGGCAATAAGAGTGTCGGGCACGATGTGCCTGCGATGAACCTGAATAACCACATCAGAAACAATCACTGGAATGGAGATAAATATTGCAAAATACTTTGACCCAGGTGTTAGATTTCTTCCCATACTGTGCATCCTCCTTTTCCTCGATTGGCTCTAGCTTTTCTTTTGCTGTTGTTGGGGACTGGCCTTCCAAACTCATTATAATGGTGATGCTTCTCGCCTTGATATGATCCATGCCATTAACAGGTAAGTACTCGCCAAATTGTATCCACTCAAGTTTACCAGCTGCCAACAGATTTTTGGGGGCATTATGGCCGCAATTGATCGCATCCAATGCCTGTTGTTCATTGGTTGTTAGAGCATGGAGCTGATCAAGCACGGTCATGTGGGAAGAATCTTTCCACTGCTGGATCTGGGAGTCAATCTCTGTGCGTGAGACTCTCAACAAGCGAGTTTGGTAATCGACATAAACTTTCCCATAAGCAATTTGTAACTTGGGGGAAGCCAAATATACATTGAGTGGGGCCATCAAAGGTTCATTGGCGGGTAGAATTGGGGATCTATTGGTGTTAGTATAATAGACATGTATCAGTACTGATTCTGTGACTCATGCTCAGACCGATTGTTGGTTGTTGATGCGCCTTGGTGGTTGATATTGCCATCAGGACCGCTCGGCATGTTCAACATACTTTACCTGAATTAGCGCATGGCATTAACAGAGCGCAGGTGAGTAAACGTTACTTGCAGTGCGGGTGTTTCTTCTTGTCTCTCCTGGAAAATCGTCTGGTTTGTGAGTTTAACGTCTGATGTACTACTCATCTATACTTAGCTGTCCCGTGGAGCTTAAGAAGTGGCTAGTGATTCAGAGAAACATACCGCAAAATCCCACGACCGACCACCTGTTCTGGTTCACAATTTGTTACGGAGGTATTCTTTTGTCGTGCTGTCTCACCTATGTGGTCCATACTACCAAGTTGGCTTCTATCCCCTAATGGTCCCCGATCTGTTGCAAAAGAGGACACGTCATGAGTAAATGAAGGGCCTTGTTTGCTTGAGAGATATTGCCGAGCTTTCTTAGCGGTCACGATAGATCTCTTCAATAAGTTCTGCTCTTCTTCTGAATATGGGCTTGGTGCTGCCCCACGTATGTGCCTACATTGTCCACCAACATTAGACCGGTGTCTCATAATCTAGAACAACAGCCTTACCCCTCCATCGCCTTTTCTGAATCGCGTAGCATAGCAACCTGGAGCATGAGCATCAATGTCCCTTTTGCATCTCTTAGTCGAACCCTCATGCTTTCTATTTGCGGCATGGTAAACGGCCATTTTACCATTCCCGCCCGAGTCGATTTGATCCGTATTTGACCTTCGGTATTCCCGCTGAGTTCTTTACTAGTCTCTCGTACGACTTCATTCAGCGTGCTGAAAATATCATTGCATTCTGTAACTAGCTCCAGGATTACTGCTAGCCCAGCTGCATTGAAGATTCCCTGTTGGGGCTCAGTGCTCCCTTCGGCATCGCCTCCAGTCGCTGGATGTGGTATCTTCGATTTGTCATTGTTGCCATTGGTGTACAGCGGGGTTTGTTCGTGAGATATCCCAATCTTCGCGAGCTCTCCCAATTGCTGTAAAATACTAGCATTCAACAGCACGCCTTCTGCAATGTCTGTAATATCACCTTGTGCAGACTTGACCAGGCCAGCAAGAGCTATAAGCTTGATGGAGCATTGAATTCCAGCTGCCGCAATTCCACAAATTGCTGATGCAGATCCAACTGCTTCCATTGACGCAGGTTGTTGAGGCACTCTGCTCCTGATATCCGGAAGAAATTATTGACACGATGACCTGTTCAAATGGCGGGGCGATGCAGGGCTCAGCGCCATTCATTGGCCTCGGTCATGTGATGCATCTCCTCATCTCCATGTTGATGGTTAACCGGAATCAGACTAGTTAAAGGATTCGAATATCTTAAATACCCCGGAATACGTTTGGCATTTCGGATTGATTGTGATCTCTGGGTTCAACTCATTTGAAATCTTTGGCTTATACGGTAATAACTAAATCCACTAGTAATATTGAATAAAGATCAATTTCAAATGCTTTGACGGATATATTTAATAGTGGAGCGTTGTATATTGATATGCTGCTACTTCCTGGATCCTACTCAACCAAGCTCATTTATAAGGTAAATTTGGCAGGAACAATCATCCATTAAATCAGTGCACGAAAATAGTCCCGCAGAATCGTTCACTGTACTTTGTGTATAGCTTTTCATGTCAAGACACGTCGTTATTTTCAAAATCCAAATGAAAGACGGTCTAACAATCTGGATTAATCAGCATAGGCAGTGACTGCCTTAAAGGGTATAGTGCACAGCCTCGTCAAGCGAAACGCGTGAAGCTATTCAAAACACGTCTCTCGGCTTGCTGACCTACCTGGCGAGGTGCGACCGACTGACTCACGATGGCCGAATCTGCTCGACCTACTACTCCTGACCGTCAGAACTCGACGCGTCTCGACCGAGACAATAGAATACGTATCTTGACTCTACGGGACGTTGGATTTACCTATCAACAAATCGTCGACCACCTGCCCGGTATAACATATCGGCAGGTGCAGTATACATGTCAAGCCCAAACATATTCGCCCAAAAAGGCTCGTGGTCAAACGCCCAAACTGACCGCTTCCCAAGTAGACGATATAATTGCTTTTTTATCGTCATCTGAGCGGACGAAACGCTTACCATACACGAAGGTCATTCAAGAGCTTGATCTAAAGGTCTCTCCGAGTGCTTTGTCTAACGCTCTGCGGAAACGAGGTTATTCACGCGGGGGTAGTAGGAAATCTTCGCTGCGCTAAGATGTCTTGTCCAAGTCCTGTCTCTGCTATGAAGCGGTACCTGGCCGTTTTTGCCTCCGGCTCTGTGTTGTCTACAGAGTACACGCGGAGCCGCATACTCCGGAGTCCGGACTCCAGTATTTATGCAGTCCTCGCGAAGATCTTCCCCACTTCATCACTGCAAAGCAGTGTCTCCATAGTCAAATTAAGATACTACACCATATTTGATTAGGGCAGATGGAAGGCAATTGATGATTGGTGGACCCCCCGAGTCTTATCGCCGCGCCCGCATCCCGTGATCTGGCGCTGAGTTGCCTCGCCGGCCACGGTCTCTCTCCTTGTATTGCAACCACATCCATTACAAGACTCAACTGTACTTCTTGGCGTTTCTTGGGAATAAGACCAACCCGCCTGCGTGAGAATAAAGCAATGTCAACCGATAAAAAGCGTGCAGCACGAGCGTAAGTTTGCGGCATGCAGCTACGAAGTATGGCTTTAAATAACCGGTACTAACGTTCGACCATGCAGCTGCGACGAATGCCGGCGTTTGAAGGAGAAGTGTGAAGGTGGTATTCCATGCAGTAGATGCTCCCATTTTCATCGCTCATGCGAGTTTAAGAGTCGCGTATCAAGAGTGCGCGAGTTCCGTGCCTACATACCTAGGTGTGTATTCTAGCTCATCCACGCTACTTAAACGTCCCCTAATGAGTTATTAGAAGTAGATCCCCTGCTGTACGAGCAGATGTTCGGGAGTTAGCTGAGCGCTCAAGGTATATGGAGCGTATATTAAGGCACACGATGCAGGGAATCTCCCTTGATACGGATAATCTGTCCCAGATGGCAAATGCCCTCGCGTCGTCCAAAGAGCACCCCAGGGAGCCCCCTCTGGAACCCGAAGAGGTCGATGCTCTTTCTATAGATGATGAAGCCTGTACAATCGACCCAGTTGAAGATACCACTACTCGTTCGTACCCTTCTACGAGGGCTTGGCTTGGCAACAACGCTAAGGCGGAGCAGATTATTCTGGAGAATTCTCATACTGGAATTTTTCTATGCGCATTAAACAGCAGATTGAACATCAAACCCGGCGATCAGTTGCTCAGGTACTCACTATCCACGCTGCCCGGGACGAAAGCTAACTAAAACAGCACATTCATAATGCTGATCAACGGGTCTTTGAGTATTGGCGAGCGCAACAACTGCGTTCTGGCCATAGTCACTTATCTGCCGCCATCTCCTCTTGTCCCCCACGACAAATAGCCAGGTTTCTGGCTAACATCTTTTTCAAGTATGCTGAAACACATTACTTTTTCATCCGGAAGAGGTGGTTCTTCGAAAATCTCAACGTGCTTTATAACGACCCTAGCAGCTTTGGTAGGAAGGGTGCTGCTGTCATAACCATTATGCTTACAGTGTTCGCCATTGGGACACAGTATGCATACCTGGACTCGCCCGCTCACAGTGCAACGAACGATGGAGATTTCTCGGAAGATGACATTGGTACCACCTTCTATCAGAATGCGGTTCGACTGTTGCCAGAGATTATTGAGTCGTCTTGCTTAGAAAGCGTCCAGGCATGCCTACTCTTCGGGTTTTACTCATTGCCAATCGATGCGTCCGGCCTCGGCTACATCTATGTCAACCTCGCTGTGCGACTGGCTATGCAGAATGGTATGCACCGGAAATGTAACAGTGACGTGTTCAGTCCAGATATGATTGAGACACGAAATCGTGTTTGGTGGACTGCCTATTCGCTTGAGAGGTAAGCCGTAATGCTTATATGGAATGATTGCAAAGCCAATCACGAGTTCACAGAAAAATCTCCATTTTTCACGGGCGCCCTTTGTCCATCCTGCGATCAGACGTCGACACAGATATACCCGAGTATCGCGAGGGGATGCACGCCGAAGATCCCCTGTGGAGTGTTCCACGCGCTGTGACATCCATCCAACTTATCCACTTTCTCGAAGACTTCTTCCACGAGTTGTAAGCGCGGAAAACAACTATTCGATCTGGTACTGCAAGACACTGACGTTGTGCCTAGGTCACTTCTGCGGCATTGTGAAAAGAAAAACATACCAAGTATCTTGGCGCGTTTACGGGACAAGAAAAGCACTATGACAGATTGGTGGCAGTCAATACCAAAAGACGTACTAGGTGACTCGAATCTGCCACAGAATCTAAGCCGTGCTGCAATGCATCTGCGACTCGAGTATTGTTTGGTCAATATGTTTATCGGACGGCCGTTCCTACTCAGAGACCAGAGCTCACAATCGCCCCAAAGCTCCCCGGCAGGACCAGAGTTCGCAAGTGCAGGACGCGACAACGGCGAGGGCTCCAGTCCAAAGCAGACATCCAGTACACAAAGTCTCGTCATGGACTGCACACAAGCAGCAACGGAGGTGATTCGACTTTGCCAAACACTGCGAGACCATGGTCCAGGTCTTGCCAGAGCTTCCTACATTGAATACAGTTCATGCCGGGCGTCTTTGTTAGTGTTGATTGCCTACTCCATCCAGAACCGCTCGGGAGAGTACCGCAAGACATTACAAGACGGGCTGGACATGATCCAGGAAATGGCTGCCTCCGGGGACTCAGCTCGATCGGAGGTGGCGTTGATTGAGGCGCTGGAACGAGCGCTTGCTCGTTTGAACTCCGAGGCGCAAGCTACACAGCCGAGTGATGGTCCTTCAGGGACAATACCAACGATGTCAGACTATGATGCATTCAAGCAATGGGGATCATCCTGGAGGAGCGGTGGAGCTGTCAACACAGGCGACAATGTTGCTCTCCCTGCAAACACTGCTGTGGCGTCAGCTGGCTCTGCAATGCCGCCTGTGAACTTCGATCCCAACCCAGTCAGTTATCTGGAGCCTCTGAATTTCAGTACACTGTCCAATGAGTCTCGTCGAGATGTGCAGATGGATACCCTCAATGCCTGGGATCCAGTCAATGAGTTGTCCATTTTCGGCACTGGAAATCTGGCGCTGCCATCGGCATGGCCGACACAGACGGAAACGCAAGTGCTTGAGCAATTTCTTGCCGTGCCCGAGGCTGGCATAGTGTCTCGTGAAGCCGATGGCGACGGTGGCTTCGCACAAATGTTTCCCTACCGTGTGTCCCACGACGCCAGGATGTCTCGACGTTGAGCAAAAGAACTTGGCTATACATCCTGCATTGTATATTCATGTATCTAATACGTAATGACGACTCAATGAGCTTTGAACTTGCCCCTATGGGCCAATTTCTTTTTATTAATATTAACACCTCAAGTACTACCCTGAAGCTGCAATAATCTTGTCCGCCATGTCGGGCAAAGAATCAGCCAACACCTCCATCTGTGTATCAAAAATCTCCGCGCACGACTCCTTCTCATACACGGTACAATAAGCCCCTCTGAATCCGACCTTAACCGCCGCCGAAACATCCCACATATGCGCCGCCGCAAACCACTTCACATCCTCCTCCGCAAATCTCTCCATCGCAGGCCTATACGCCGCCAGTGCCGGCTTAGCCACGCCATGCGAATCACAACTAATGAAGTTCTCCAACGGCATATCCACCCCAGCACGCTCAAAATACCCTCTCACACGTCTCGTGTCCCCAGTCGTCAGACACCAGACCGTGAAACCCGCCTCTCTTAACTTAGCAAAACACTCTCGGGTACCAGGTCTCAGCTCCAACTCCGAATACCCCTGCACACACTGATCCCTCTCAGCCTCCGTCGCAAACGACCTCGGGTCCTCCACGCCCGCCATATGTAACGTCCGATAGAACAGCGCCGTGATGACCTCTTTGTAAGGCTTATAGCGTTCCGAAATGGATAAGAAGGTGAATTCCAGCTCGGCAGCGGTCATCCAGCTGAACCCGAAGAAACGGGGTGTGATACATTGCGCGCGCAGTTTGTCGCCGATGACGCGGTCAATGCAGCTGTAGAAGGCGTCGAAGGAGACGCAGGTGCCGACGACGTCGAAGACGACGTGTTTTTGGGGAGACATTGTTTGTTCTTGTGATTCCAGTGACTTGGGGTGTAGAATGTGGGGGTGGCTATGATGCTACCACTGCTGTCTGTGCGTAGTTCTCGCGCTTGCTCCGTCCTGTTGTTCTCCTTCGTATGTTATTTATACTCAATTGGCTTTTGGATTAATCGCCTCACCGTCGGGAAGCACTGTCCACGTGGTATATACCGTGGATCAACGCCGCGTTTAACAATGGAACCGATAACGGAGGAAACTGTTTACCGTGATTGAGCTTATCGAGAGCTTTCCCCGCTATCACTTGATTCTCTCTCGTTATCGTCGCCGGCTTTTGTCGCTGCGCCGGATCTCGCTTACCTGTTCGGGCAGGTCCGGTCCGGTAGGTTGTGATTGGTTTGTTGTGCCAGGCGGGGATATCATGTGATGGATCTGATAAGACCAGATAAGATAATTGATAAGGATCGCATAACAAAAACAATACACAAGACAAGACAAGATCTGGATAATGGGATTGGTTGTGGCACTGGTCCCATTATTGTGATTATGAGAATCCCTATGGTATGTCCGTGGCTGTATAACGTGATAAATCTACGTCAATGATCGTACGATGTCAATCTCATGAAGACGTCGGCAAGTTGCATATAAATTAACATTTCATTGAGTATACGAGTATCTTCCAATATATATATGAACATTCACAAAACAAGCCATAGCAAATCAAGACCACAAAATATTCAACCCCCTTATGCCCTTCTTCGGCTTTGGCTCTGGCTCCGGATTATTCTGATAATTCTCAATAAACGGGCGAATAGGAATCTCCTCCAGGGGAATAATCTTCGTCTTCTTCACGAACTTATACCCGAGGTAAATACCCAAAATCAGCGGCCCGTTCAGGTACGACGAGATAAACGTCTCGGTATCCCAGTGTCCATGCATGAATGTCTTATAGCCCCCCGTAAAGAACAGGACGACGAGTAGGATCAAAGAGCACCATGTACTCCAGGGCTGAAAGGGTGCCGCCCAGGGGAGTTCCTTATGGCGGTCGATGCCTTGCTTCTTGCATCCGTAGTAGAAGCGGAGGTACACAATGCAGATGCAGACCCAATTGACGAGTGTCGAGATGGCGACGATATCCTGCAGCCAGGTGAAGACTGTACTGGCCGAGTCGGAGAGCGTCATGTAGCCGAGTCCCATGAAGAGCCCGTATAACGCCACGGAGATGTATGGCACCCCAAAACGGTTCATACGCTTGAAGATCTTCGGGGCGTGGCCGTTGCAGGCCATGCCGTAGAGGATCCGGGAGCCGCCGAGCATGTTCGAGTTACCGGATGACCAGGCGGAGGTGAGCACGACAGCGTTGATGATGGATGGTACTGCTGAGATTCCTGCGTTCCGGGCGGCGATGACGAAGGGCGAATGCGCGGCTGTGCTTGTTGAGCCGAGCAGACTGGGGTCGTTAGATGGTACGACTAGGCCGACCATGAATATCGTCAGGATGTAGAAGAGGAAGATTCGAACGAAGATGCGTCGCGCGGCTTGAGGGATCGCCTGCCGAGGGTTACGCGTCTCGGCCGCAGCGACGGTGATGTTGTCAATGCCGGAGTATGCGTAGAGGGCATTGTCGAACGTAGTCCAGAATCCCATGAACCGGCCCAATGAGCCCCCAACGCCCAGGTATTGGACGAAAGGGCCGGGATTCTTCCAGTAACTGAATCCGATGGCTTTGTGGTCGGGACCTCCTCCACAGGTGATGACCAGAGCCATGATGTTGATCCCAATGACCAGCATGATTTTCAACATGGAGAAGCCGAACTCTAGCTCTCCATAAATACGGACGAAGAGGAGCGCCGTGATAAGCATGAGGGCACCGAACACGGTTATCCATATCGCGTTGTTGATCGTAACCCAGAACTGAACAATAACAGCCGCCGCCACGATCTCAGATGGGATTGACACCACGTAGGAGTACACATGGTTCCACCCAATGGCAAATGATAACGCCGGATCGCAGAAGAGTTCCAGGTATCGAATGGCACCGCCGGTAAGGGGGGCCAGGGCGCCCATTTCTCCAACACCGAACACAACGCTCGACACCGTGAGACCAATGATGGAGTACCCGAGAAAGGCTCCAAGAGGCCCAGCTGTGGCGATGGCTCGGCCAGAGCCCAGGAAAAGACCAGTTCCGATGGTACCAGCCAACGCGATCATCTGAATATGTCGCTGGTGGAGGCCTTGCTTGAAGTCGTGCACCTCCTCCAGCTGGCCGGCCGTGTGCTCCACATCGTACGATCCCACATTGTCGTGAAAGCCTTTTTTCTCTGCAATTGTTGCCGGACCAGCTTCGTCAAACGAAGGGTATTCTGGGGTATGAGGGGGCATCTTGCTTGAAAGCGCAATCTAGTTGCCAATCGTGAGGTGAAGATGGTGTGCTCGACCGGGGGTGACCTCTTCCCATTTTTGTACAATTTTTCGTATATCTATGTGCAGTTTAGGTTCTTCATGGGGCTATTTCCCCCGCTTATCAGAAGCTAATGCAAAGCCAATATCAAATCCCATTTCCTTCATTGGCGGGACTTGTGCCCATAGGTGTTTAAGATAAGAACTAAGGGAGCCGGATGGATGCCGGCAAGTTGACCACGCTTGACATGTATAGGGATAGCTTGATGACCAGATACAGAAGTAAATTAATTGATATACTGATAAAACCGGAGATTCTCTACCGGCGCGCCATCAGTGGAGCCGTACCGAGCATGAGAGATCCGCCGGTGTAATTTAGGCAATTCCGGTCCGGTAGCGAGCTTTTAGTGATCCAGAGATATCGTACGCCGTACCGAGGCGGATTAGCGATAAGATAAGACGGACGCATCACTCGTTTTATAACTTTAACTCCGTGTCAACTTTGCCATAGCGAATCCAAGTCATAGAGGCCATAACTTCACAGCGCACAAGCGAATATGCAACTACCTGCTTCGAATGGGACTGTCACTGCTTCTGCAGCTCAACCACAGACTGCAGGATGCTTTCCCGGTCCCAATCCTGGGGAATGCTTCTGGCAAGCCCAGCCACATCCGAAGAGTAACCATCGTTCGACGGAACAACTGCCGGAACACAGTGACATTGTTATAATTGGCGCGGGCTACGCTGGCATCGGCACAGCCTACCATATGGTCCAGGACCATACGGATATCAACAAGTCAATCACAATCCTGGAAGCCAGGGGGGTATGCTCGGGCGCAACCGGTCGCAATGGAGGTCATCTCCGGCCAGACTTCTACGGTCATATTCCCACATACATCGATCGCGCTGGTGCACGTGCAGGGGCTGAGATAGCAGAGTTCGAGATTGCGCATCTTCCCGCGCTCAAGAAACTGATTGAAGAGGAGAAAATCGATTGTGATTTTACCTTGACAAGGACCATTGACGTCTGGTGCAACGAGGAAGCCGCAGCCAAGGCCAAGGCAACTTTCGAAAACGTGGTTGCGCAGAATTTCGAATACATGAATGATGCGATCTTTTATACAGGCAAGGAAGTCGAAGGTGTAAGTATTTGCTATATCTGAGTCAGATGGGCGAGGCTAACATGGGACAGATTTGCGGCGTCAAAGGCGCTGTCGCGTGCGCTTCGTACACGGCTGGCACAGTGTGGCCATATAAATTTATCATGCACCTCACCGAGTCCCTTTTGGCAACGGGCAAGGTTAACCTTCAGACATATACCCCCGCGACCTCAATCACACCTGATCCCAGTGGCGGGTATGTGATTGAGACCCCACGGGGGACAATGCACGCGGGCACCATTATCCATGCCAATAATGCGTACGTCGCGGGCCTTTTACCAGAGTACGAGAAAAACATTATTCCATGCAAGGGAATCTGCTGTCGCATTACAGTGCCAGAGGGAACCACAGCACCGCTTCTGAACAACTCCTACATTAACCGAACAGAAGACAACACTCTTTCATATCTCATCCCGCGAGCTGATGGCAGTATCATTGTCGGTGGCGCCGCCGCCAAGTTCCGGTCTTTCCGTGAGCAATGGTATAACAATGTGGACGACAGTGTTCTCATTGATTCGGCAAAGGACTATTATACAGACTACATGCAACGGACGTATCGCGGGTGGGAAAACTCCGGGGCCAAAGTGGACAAGATTTGGACTGGAGTCATGGGCTACTCCTATGACTCGAACCCCCACATCGGCGAAGTGCCTGCCAAGAATGGCCAGTTTATTATCGCTGGGTTCAATGGCCATGGCATGCCGGTCATCTGGTTAGCGGCCAAGGAACTGGCAAAGATGGTTGCGCGGGGAATACCGTTCGAGGAAACGACTATGCCGAGATTGTTCAAGACGACTCAGTTCCGAATTGACCGGGCAAGGGATGGGAAGGAAGAGGATGGCGATATTCTAGGAACTGGTAACTTCCCGGCGACGAAGCAGTAGTGCCTTTGCTATGGACATGAGAATGAATGCCCTGTACGATTTTGGCAGTTGACGTTGGTTCAGAATACTGATTTACACACGGACAGAATGTAAATAATTTCTTTGACATCTTAAGCAGGATGTACCGCACAGCTTGCTGTCATTTTGCTGTTTTTCTTTCTTCTTTTCCTTTCGTTGGGTACTTGCCGATAGCCCTACCAGATCTAATAGACGAAGCAAGATCCCTACACGTACTTCTGAGCATTGCATGACCCACAAATAAATTGATTGCATTGTACACTTGGATAGATAGTCGCTCAACACATATACAATACTCCAGTCAACATATTTCCAAAAAGCTGACTGCAGAACATCAAATCCTCAACCCACAAATGCCATACTCCAAGGCACTACCAAACTCGTGGTCCCGGCCCAACCCGGTCCGCTTAAACGGACTCACAGCACTTGAAACAGCCCTATAGTCATTGTCAGAAGAATTGTCTACCTATTATACCACACTGTCTGGGCCTTGATGAGAAGGGAACAGGTATACATACAGGGCCTTCACGGTAAAGAGCCTATATGCATTGTTAGCGGTCAGGTATTCGTATGTGTGGTCGACATGAGAAGCATACCGGGTGTGCAGCATCACAGTACTCATCGGACCCAGCACTGTAGGGATGACATTTTTCAAGACAGTTGTTGGGGTTCTGGCCCTGTGCCATCACGGCGGGAGTGAGGGCGGCGATGGCGGCGAAGATGCTAAGGAAACGCATTGTGATTGCTGAGAGGGTTGGTTGAGAGGTTGTTTGAATGATAATGTAAGAATTGCTTGGTGTTGTGTTTGGCTGAATAGTCTCTTGTTCGATGGAATGTCGACTTCTTATATATCCTTCTGTTATGATCTCAATGTAACCTCATGGTACCTCGTGTTTTACTCTGCTGCGGTGGCAAATCCCATATGTGGAGTATAGCCTCGGTCGGCGAACAATAAGCATTGTCTTCAACTCGTTACATCATACCACAGGTGCATGGTGCTGGCTACTATCAATGGATCCGGTTCAATGATCGTCGTGATGGGCGATATAGTGCGTGGACCCGTGACCCGTTCAAACCCAAGTTTGCGACTACTACGGGGACCCCCCAGTCCCATTCTTGGTGAGATGCGAATGCAAAACCCATGATTTGGAAGGGGTCAGATCTCCTATTGCCCCGTAAACCCCGTTGTATTGCTTCTCCCCACAATGGTCCCATGGATTCTTCCGCTTCACCGGTCCGCGATAACCGAACGTAGCCGTTGACGATTGAGGCTGAACTCAATAGTTTCAGTAACCCATTTTGAGTTCTTTACTGATAGAGTAATAGTGGAGAGTTCCTTTAGGGTCTACGGAGTATTCTCGTCCCCCAAAGCCGTTATTGTTAGACGTTGAGACGGGCCTTCCACCCTGCTTTGGTTGATAACTTTCCTAACTGGCGCATATGAGCATCCCCTAGCATAGATATACGGATATTTATCACTCATTATTGATCGAGAGTCCTAATCCGAAGGCAAACGGGGGTGTGGCTGAGGGAATGTTGCCGCTGTCAAGGGATGGCTTGGTGGGTCGAACCGAACCACAACCCCGACCATGCATGACGCCTCGACAAGAGGGACGGAGAAGCCCGATACCAAAGGGGCTGGAAAAGAGGAATAACGAGAAAATAAGTCGCCGTGAGACATTTCAATGCTACCTAAACTGCCTATGTCCTTCCCCCCACTCGATCATCCCAGAAACATCGATCACAGGGTATATTTGAACAGGGGACTTTTTTCTCCCATTTCGTTCAACTCCTCATCCGTGTATCGTTCCCGGATCTCAGTCTCGCTTAGCTGGGCCTTCTTTTGATTGAGCGTATAGAGGCAGAACTCCAGTGCTAGACATGCGACCACACCCGCCGACGCGAAGGCAAAGGAGTTACCGTAGCCGGTGGGATAACGGGGCGCTTCCTTCTCCTGATAGATAAAGCTGCCGATAATGCCTCCCGCATTACCCATACAAACAAGATAGCCGATGCCAATTGCCCGCTTCGTGGGGTTGGGAAGATTGGACACGTTCCAGGCGTTCACACCCGGCAGAATGGGATACATGCTAAACGACACTAAGCTACCAGATCTGTGATCCAAAGACTGGGTACTTACCCAAAGCAGGCCAGACAGACCCCAAAATAGCACAATGCTATGTTATCGCTTATGGCGGCTGCCTTGGTGAATAGGATGCTAAATGCGACGACCTGCAATAGTTGTGGGATAATGATGAAGGGCATGCGCCAGGTATACCGATCAGCAAATACCGAGAAAATATAAGCTGAGAAGGCACCCACGGCGTAGGGTGGAATGGTTAATAGCTGTGCTTTGGCGGAAGTAAACCCCATGCTTTGGATGATCTGGGGCATGGTGAATTTGAGGGCGTAATTGGGCACGGCGTTCGACCAGTTGGCCAGGATTAGTAGGTAAAGCTTCCAATCCGTCAGAACGCTGATCAGCGCGCCCCAAGCGACTCCTTTTTTCTGGCTTCCTTGTGTGCTATTCGCTAGTTGCCGAACCTCCAGAAAGCGAATCTCATCGGGCGTTAGCCAAGCCGAGGAACGTTGAGGCGAGTCAACAAGCAAGAAGAAAGTAAGGACAGCCAGGCAGATGGTAGCAAGACCTTCAATAATGAATATCTGAAGTGACGAAGCGTGCATTAGCTCGAATGCGTGGGAGTGTACAGTCAATAACTGGTTTTGGTGACGCACCCATCGCCAGCCTTCATAGCCAGCAGTACCATCCATCTTCGCAATGACAAAAGCGAGGAGACCGGAGAATGCGCCCCCCGAAGCAGCCGATGTGTATAAAATAGCGATACGAGTCTGAGTTTCGTTGGGAAGATACCATTTGGAAATGATCAATACGGCACCCGGAAGAAACCCTGCCCTGTCATTTGTTAGGACCTAAGGTAATAATTTTCTAGCAGAGATAAACCCACTCGAATAGGCCAAGGAGAAACCGGATGCCGACCAGGGAGCCAAAGTTCTGAACAAACCCCGTACAGGTCATGATTATGCCCCAAATCAAGATGAGGGATCCCAGGTAGACAGACGGTCGTCTGAAGTGGTTGAGGATTATGTTACTAGGAACCTCTTATATATCATGTTAGGAGTTGTACTTCTTTTTTCGAACGGGAATAAACACACCTGCCAGGACATAAGGAATAAAGAAGACAGACAAGGCAATGTTGTATTGATTGCCATTCATCCCCAAGTCGGGAAGAAGTCCTTCTATTTTAGCATTGCCTAGCCAAGTCAACGACTTGCCGAAGACACGCACACCGGGGGATATCATATACCGATATTTGTTTTATCAATGTATGCAATTAGATATAGTAGAACAAGCATTGGAATCAGCCGCCACTGCGTAGTTTAGTACTTCACTGCAGAGTGTGATCATGGAGAGACAAAGCTGCGCACATCGACCTGGAAACATAACGTGCTGTCAGCATTTTGCTGCATGTAATATAAGAAAGCACACCAGACCTTTTTCAGTACTTGGGCCTTAGCCTCATCAGAGAAGTTGGCAAGGAATTCTTCATCGGCAGAAGATAGGCCGCGAGGCTGATGCTCAAGATGCATAACAGCCTCCTTCTCCGAGGATAGATTTTCCTCGTCCAAAGTCCGAGTTGTAGTCATGGTGAATATACAGTACGAAGCCAAGAAAAATGATCGACAATGCCTCAGAGCTAGGCTAGTACCGCATTTCTGGGGAATGAACCCCGTGGGGAGAGGAGATATAAGAAGTCGAAGCGTAAAATACTTCGAACAATGGAGCTGGACCTTGGCGGCCCGGAAATGGCACAGCAGAAGAATTACCTTGCAACGCGCATGATGGACAAAGAAAAGCCGTGTGATCCAGTTAGTGTCTGTCGGATTATGGAAGTGATTTCTTCTCCCGTGGAATCCGGAGGTTCATTCTGGCGGGCATCGAGTCTCGGCTGTTAATCCGACATCTCCGAGCCAAGAACGGGATATCTCAAGCTATGATTTGGGACCCGCGCGATATGGGGCCCGAATATCCGTCCATTGTTATGTATGCAAAAGGTGGAGTACTAAGTTTAATGCTGGAGGCTATGGCGCGAAATCAGGGCAGCTATATGTACATAGGTTGCTATGGATGCAAATGTAAATGGCAATAACTCCAAGTTTACGTTTGAATAGATCATGACACAGAGGTAAATTACCATGTTGGTGAGATTCCTAGATCATCTAGAGCCGAGTAAAAAGCCTACTTGTTTGTTAGCACAGATTAATCGTCTCTGACCGATTATGGAGCACATACAGAGGCGTCTAGGTCCAGCCAATCGACAGCTTGCCATGTCTCAAGCATGCTAGGAACGGCATTCACAGGCTTATCAGTAGAGGTTATGCATTCAAAGGGTGCTTCAGCCAGGCCCGAAGCATCGAAGACGTTGAGTTGGGAATTGGAAGTGTGTTCTACCCTCCCTGTCATTCTTTGTCCGGAATCCGTAATAGTGTTGTTGATGGTCTCACGTTGGGCCTCCAGGCGCAGTTCATCCAAGATGGCTGCGTATCTTCGCCCGGGTGATGCTGCCGACCCAGTCCAAGCCAAATGAGCCCGGCACTTCTCTGCGAGGTCAAATAGCTTCACGTACGATGATTCATTCTCCAGGAATTGGTCATTGTGTGACTTGCACTGTATATTCCAGATATATACCACCGCGAGTGCGCAAAAGCTCACATAATGGGTCCACCAAAAGGAATGAAGCAAATTTGCATCTTTCGCCATTGTGTTGACTAGTTCTAATACCGTTTTCGCAGCGGAGATACATTCAGCGATTCGGTCTTTTACCTCGGATTCGTCATCAGAACTAACTACATCTCCCAGGAGAAACGGGCGATTAACATGGATAAGTGCATGTGAGTAGGCAAGCTGAAGTGCTGTCGCTTCTCTCCGGAAGCTAGGTATGAGCGTAGACGGCTTGATCGTGCCTAGGTGTAAGGGGAGGTTGGCCCGCCAAACATGGAGTTCGTGCACGATATGATATGCAGCCGCCTTTCGGCCCTCACCAACTGAACTACCAACCGAGTACACTTGACGTGATATCCGTCCGATGATATGCGCGATCCTGAAGGAACGTGAGAAGACGACAAACAAACCCAGTGGGAACCTCGATCCAACTAGCAACACGTACTTGGCATGAAAGATAAGGGCATCAACGTGACAATCCTCGGCAGCCTCCACGGTTACAAGACCATCAGGCCCAATGTCCTCATCATTAACACTGTCCGGAAAGTCTTGGTCAATGTCATCATCATGTAGAAGTTGTGGTCGCCCCATAACCACGCTCAGATACTTGTCAATGGTATATGTGACCCAGAAGACACGTTTGGCGCATTGCGCCTTAGCATAATTCGAAAGACCATTCGAGAGAGGGTTCTGCTTCCTTGAGCGCCGCCGGTGCAGACCTAGCGAAGAGACAATTTGATAAACGTTACCGAATACGTACCAAGCCCTATTTACGCGAGATGTCTGGAGGAGATATAGCACTTGGATCAGTCTGGCCTGGGCTGACTCCAACCGCGGAAATCCCCTCTCTGTATCGGTAAGGTCCATTGCCGCACAGAATAAGGGGTCTGTTGACCGTAGGGCTGATACCTCGTCATTGCTGGCTTCGCTCTTTGAAATGCGAAACCGCGCGATTGCCAAAATCGTCAAGATAACGCTATATTTAGCAATTCCGATGGTGTGTGTGCTTGGCCGATTTGTTCGCCGATTATTCAAGACAGCCTCCAGCCAACTCTCGACGGTCTGTCGGTGAAATATTCTATAGGTAACCACACAAGAGTCGAAGTAAAAACACAGTAAATCACGCGCCGTGGAGGCATCGGGAAATGGGTCAGAATTATGTGCGTCTTGGTAAAACGGCCTGTCTCCTGCGGAAACTAAGGGCTGATTCATCTCCGCCTCACTCGTTCTTGGGGATGCAATGTCTCTCTGTTGCATAGAGATCTTGCGCCATGCATGATGAAACGAAGTGAGGCCGGATGTTGGATCGACATACTGTCCCTCGATAACTAGCTCTGGTGATGCACGCGAGGGAGCACCATCTCCGACGTTCACCGAAGCGCCACTGGTCCCTTCCGCGATGTTCACCTGAGGCTGCTCATTGACCTGTACATCTCCACTGGTAGTGGAGGTACTTCTCGAACTTGTATGTTGCACATCTGGTATTCGGCCTGCGCACGCAGTTGCCGGCTCTCTGCATGTCGATAGGGGTGGAGGTGTAGGAGGTCGGCCCCGCAAATATTTGCTGGCATAGGTGCATGTTAAGCGTCTCCTGTTGCAGTGTTGACATGGAGCTGTTCCTGAGCATCGAATCTTCTTCACCTTGCACGAGTCGCAGGCGCGGCTGACCTTGGGATCTTTCCGGCGATTGTCCGAGGCATCGTAAGCATCCTCAAGGCGGTGTTTACGGGTAGAGGGGATAGGCGTCACGCTTCTAGTGGGGTTTGCGTCATGATTTGGGGTTCCTGGAGTCATCATGTGAACCCAGCAAGGATAAGAGATTGAGGTGCGGCGTACAGTGGGCACGGAAATCGCGGATTCATATAGACAGGGGTGGCAATGCGGAGATTCTGGGGATATCACGTCCCCCACGTTTGACACGCCGTCCCTTTTTATGTGGGGTCTTCGGAGGATAGGCCTCGCCTATTATTCGTCATCCCAGTCTCCTCTGTGGCTTTTTCTTCCCAACAATACGATGTAGAGGATCACTGCGATTGGTTAGAATAATGAGGTCCGTTTGTACTGGCCCAGACATCCGGAACCGATCACGCCACTGAGTTAGGGTTAATGTACGGCTATGCGCTTTGCCGTGCAATCTCACCTCCGTCGAATGAAACTCTCGAGCATACATACTGCAGATCTATGCCTTTTCGATAAGGGGATGGAAGGTGACAACCCTCAGTATCATATCCTTGTAAGACACCGGGACAATAAGCTGCACACGGGGCAGTTGCCTTGCTAGGGGCATAGTCTTGGAATTAAAGTTCTTTTTCTAGGTTCCTCTTACTGTAAATGGCTTTAGAAAGCATATGTTTATCTCTGAAAATACGATTAACAATGAGCACTATCATATGTCCTACTTGGGCCGAGAACACCTCTTGTCTACATTTCTCAAATGGTAAACCTCTGGTCACGGATCATCCTACGAAAATATAAATATCTGTAACATTCGGTAGAGCACATTTGTGACGAGTTTCTGAAACAGGCGTGATGTTGGGTAAGTAGTTCGATCTTTGGAACTTAAGCTTTCTTTGATAGTGGCCTACAGCAGTCCTTACAGCCCAGCTGCCCAATCGAGAGAAATGGTTGAAAAGGTCAAACTGTGTATTGCAATCTCTAAACATGTAGGTACATTGTTCTCACTTTCGCATCCCTTCGTTAATACTCTCGCCCTCCTTATTTATGCAACTCTGCTTAGACTGGCAGCACTCACGGCCGCATGAATCTCCTGTTCTGCGCCTGGCTCAAGAGGCAAAAGAGGCGATCGAACGGTTGCATGCTTGAGTATACCACGAGCAACCAGAGCGTGTTTGAGGGCGACCGTGCCCTCCATATGAGATCCCCGGTGATAGACACTCTTCGTGACTGGCAGAAGCTGATCATGAATTTCGCGAGCCTTCCTGTAATCCTTGGCCTTCCCAGCTTTGATCAACTCAATCAGTGGCTCCGGAGCGATATTGCCATAGCCAACAAGGAAACCGTCCACATCAAATGACGTATGCAAGAGATACTCGTCGTGACAACTCAAGATCTGGAGTTCGGGGCGCTCGCGGCGAATCACAGGAATCTCTGTATCCCAGCGGCGCATATTGCGGACGCCGTTCTTCATGGCAAAGACCCCGGGCTGAGCTGAGATATCAAGCATTGTTTTCAGGCTGTATGTGGCCTTGGTGTTGTCTGGGTACTGGAAGAGGATCAAAGGAAGCCCACTGACTTCGTAAACTCGGCGATAGCGGTCCTGGGGGGCGCCGTCTTGGTATCCGAAGCGCAACCATCCATGAGATGGGTAGAGAAGACCAGCCTGCGCACCAGCGTCCTTTGCGCGCTTCGCTTCGAGGGCAGCCACCTCGGTGCCCTCTCCAGTGATTCCTGCAATGATGGGGATCTTATTGTCGACGGACTGGACGAATGCTTTGATCACCGATACTTGCTCCTCGGGTGTCAGGAAGGTTCCTTCTCCTGCATGACCTAGCACGACCAGGCCCTTCACACCGTCGATGCTCCCAAGCCAGCTACCCAGACGGTGGATGGCCTCGTAATCGACGTCACCCGATTCAGTGAACGGTGTCACCGGAGCAGGTGTCAAACCTCGCATGTCAAAGCCGACCATTTTGGATGAGATATTGTCGTGTCGTAAGATAATCTAAGTAAAGGAAAGATGTTGATACGATCAGTTGCACAAGAAGGAATTCTTGGACCTGTTGTTCTTTGGAGTGAGCGATCTGAGAAGGACATTTTGAGAGATTGCCATCAGTAATATATATTCTTGAGTCGAGTATATCGCAGACCTCACCTAGGAGGCGGATAGAAACCCAGGGATACCCATCGGAGGTTTTCTCATACGGATTATCGGATATCTGAACTACCTACAAGCATGCCTTCTACACTACAATCTAGGATCATACCCTATATCGCAAGAATCCGGCGTATGTAGAGCAATGTCAACGGAATCCGCGGTATCCGCAACGCAAGCCCGGATTATACGGGTCGAGTGGGTCCACGCACGGAACACTGTGTAAAATGTGCCAATCACTAGTAATTTTCTGTCATGGAATTGATAAATAAGTATTGTTTTTTGTGTTTTTCTTCTTCTTGGGGAAACCGTCCAATGAGGGCTCTTTTCGGTGCGCCGTACCTTGGTCAACGCTGGCGATGTACTAACTCCCAAATTCTAACATCAGAGGCTTGCCCCGATGCTCGCATAAAAATACATGATGAATTCATCGTTAGCAGCTGTACATGCAGCTTGCTTCTTCAACTATGAAAACCTATCATATGCTCAGTGACAGGCCTTCCCATATTTCTTCAGCCGCAGGTAATTATACGGCAATGGAGCCAGATAGCCAGCGGTCATGGAGACAGCAGCTGCCATCCAAAAACTCGGGTCACCCAAAGCCACGACGCCGCCAGTAAGGTGATAGTCAACAACATTCTCTGCCGCCTCCATTGCGACCATGGACACCATACTCATCCCCATCGCAGTGCGAAGTGCCATCGGCCAGGAGAGCTGGTCGGCTCCGCGCCGGAGGAGGACCGTTTCCAGAACAATCGATGTGCTGATTCCAGACGCCACTGCATTTCGTCAGCCGCCATGGATATGGCTTCTCTCTTACAAAGAATAAGGGAACGAGAACTTACTAGACGCGGCCATGATAGTTCCCATCCCTAGCCCTGGGTAGAACGTCTGAAGCATCCATAGCGCGGAGAAGTCACCTAGCGTACAGCCGACCAGGCAGCGTAGCGTGTTGATCCCTGCGCGTTTCCATGTATGGCGGCATTTCCAAAAGCTGAGCTGCCACGGTGATAGTGGCTGCTTGTTTGCCGTGGCTGAGACAGTTGTTGAGCGACAGGGTCCATTCTGAGGTTTGATAGTGTCTTTGTCCGGACTGGAATGACAGGCCTGCGCAGGAGAGAAGCTAGAAAGGAACTTCTGGCAGTGACGGGTCGGCCGGAACGCACGGACTGGCTGCATGGTAAGAGGATTCTACCTGATAATTTATTCATTTTCCAGATACGCTTTGAAAAGTTCAGGAATCGAAAATTCAGTCATCAGGGCGGCCCAGGGGTTTCTTAAACTGTTGTTGCCGCTTCCCGGGGAATAACGCAAAAAACGCGCAGGGGCGGGGAATCGTTTAGGGAACGGCTCCACACGTGTTCTGAAAGGCGAGAAGCACGCAGTTTTGAATTGGCAGAAATCCTTCATTCTATCAATCATTTTCTAAAATATTAACTCTTTCATTGAATTAGTAATTCACATAGAATCTTGATTTTCACCCTCAGCACAAGTTTAAGGTTTAATAGGGCTGCTCCGGCTGCTCCGATTCCACCCCGAAGATCCTCGCATAACACTACTCGGCCATCACGTAGGCGCCTGCATGGTATAAAACATCCTAGGGATGTATACTGACTTTGTCCTTAAGTCGCTAGATACCACACCGAAACGTGCAAACCCTTTGCGTCGTGAGTGGACCTTTGCTTTCACATAGTCCAGTCTTAAGCGCGGTTCATAAGAACACAAAGGATGCTCGGAACGGTGAAGTTGATGGAAACTCTCGACCAAGTTGGACGCGATAATAGGTCCATTGCGGTGGATGATGTACTGTCATGATAGAACCCTGTAATGTAGACTGAGTGCATGAGGCCAGTTGAACATGTTCAGTAGCCAGAGCCAGGGAACGAGCATCAATCTGTCATGCAGTTAGCGACCGTCTCAGTATGAAGATATTTCTCATCATCTCCCTCCAGTAACATTAGTTACAGATTAATTAGAGCCTGACGAGGCAGAATAGACGAATCGAGTTGCGACATGGGCTTAGAAAATCATGCCGTTATTGCCCTTCGTGTATTCACCATCGCCAGGAGGTTCGTGCAACTGATTCATATATATTGCCAAGACGGTCTTCTGCTCCATCTCGTCATGTTTAACGTGACATGTTTCCCGTCGGCACGTAATCGTAAAACAAAGAAACAACTGGAGTGATGAAAGGATATGTGCCTTCGCGATACCATGCCCTGGCGAATGGAGGCCACCATGTGGTAAGACGTTGGCGATATTGTTATATTCGATCACCTTCCCGAGCAATGAATAACACAAAAATCAATTGAGTGCTCCGTCCAAGTAAAGGGCTATGCGCAGGTACGTTGAATGTGATACTGCAAGCCCGCTGCGAGCGTTAATTTGGCAACGGCGGTACGTAGCCTAAATAAACTACATGGCTAGCCGTATCTTGCAGACTGACGCTCGAGATTATGTACTCCATTGTGCAAGTCGAGGTACGCATCAATGACATCGACTCCTAAGAAGCGTTGCACGAAGCTTGGGGGGAAGTGGTAATTCCGCATAATGTCGGGGTAATGGGGACGCCGAAGATTGGCACATGCGGAGTGCCAAGAGTGGCTTCGTTTATCGCGAGATATTAGGCGCAGGATCCTCGGACGATCTGACCAGCTCATTGTTTGGAAGCAAGGCTAATTTCGTGATCAATTGGGGAGGTGAGGCATACACCGGAAGAAAGGGGACAAACAATGATAGGGCAATCCGGGAGGCCATTTCCGAAATGGCAGTAAGGCCGAAAGGCTGGTAGATAGGGCGCAGATAAATCTCGTATTCGTCGCGGGATGAGCCCGAGGGTGGGACAATATCCTCCGGTCTGCGCCACTCAGAATAAACAGCACCCCTTGATCCGATGCAACGCTAGGCATCTATGATGTGAGCAACCACTTCCAGCTGGGTGGGGCTCTTTGGGAACCTGAGATCTCCTGTCCTCATCTGGAGAACTTAAACGATGACTATCTCCAGATTGGTCCGGGAGAGGTATGCCAAGGCATTTGGGTTGTTGGGATTGGGACTAGTACAACAGGCTAATGCAGAGTCCCTTTGCGAACCCTGGGATCTTTGAGAGAGCCTTGCGGCTGTATCCGATCCTGCTTTTATGCAGTTTCATAAAATGGGGTTTATTAGCCGCCGAGCCCCAAGGTATATCGTTCAATGCACATGTACGCCGGCACACATCCTCTCCTCACCATGAAGCCATCGACCACTCTCAACGTTTATTTAGCCTCCTTCGCGACTCTGGCTGCTGCCAAGCAAGTCGGGTATTTCCAGTCGTCGGACTGCGTTGACTCATCGGGATTCGAATCATGTTACCAGAATGCCGATCAGGCCTTTGCCAGTTGCGTCAATAACAATTGCGCGGGTGGAAACAAAGCTTGTACGGAGTCCTGCAATGGGGACCCTGCATGCGTGCAATCGAAGTGTCCGGACTTGGGAATAGATTGTATCAATGCCTGCGAGTGTGTAAAGAACACGGACTACATCGAATGTACCGCAACCAGTTGTTGGAATCAGGTACGCAAACTATGATTATCACAGCAAGCAGGGCAATCCATTGGCTAACCTGCCGACTGCCAGGTGTATTCTTGCGAGTATCAAAAGACTGCCTACGACCTGCTTGACTCCTGCGTGAACACGACTATCGACGCAGTCCCTTTCTTCCCGCCTCCTGATAATGCCCCCGCTGGCTGCTCCTGTAATCTAGGCAGAGTCGCCGAGGTACAAAAGGTGGCGGAAAATGCGATGCAAACGTGCGCTGACAATATAACGCCGGATTCCGATAGCGAGCAGGTCATCGTCTATGGGTTCACCTGTGGGTGTTGCGGCCAAAGTTCTTATCTCTCCTCGTGCGTGCGACCAACACATTCAGCCATTATCTACAGCCCCCATTGCTAATATTTCTAATCAAGGATCTGGGACGTATGCCCAAACACAATACCCGCCCTACTAGGCGCAGATTTCGTCTATCAGGCTCTCGTGGAGAACAGTGACTGGAACCAGTGCGGGCCGTACCTTGATTATGACACTTGTACAGCGGATCTGGGCTTTAGCAACCAGACAAAGTTCCACGGCCCAGGGAAGCTGCCTGCGAATGGGACGGAAACACTGTATAATACGGGTGGTGTGATTTCGACCCCAGTGAGCGGAAACACCTTCACCTGGACGATCCACGACAGTCCACGCCCTATCACAGCTGCGGCCACAAACAAGGCTGTACCGACAAAAACAGAATCCAGTGGTAACAGTGCGACAGCCACTGCGGAGTCAGGGGCAGGCCATAAATATAGACTCTCCTTGTGGACTCTGGTTGGCACAATTGGTGCTGGATATATGCTTATGGGATAGACACCGTATGCGAGTTAAGGTCTAATAACTGTACCATTTCTACGGAGTCCCAGCAACAGGAGATTAAGGGTGAGAAGAATGGTTTTCAGAAGAGCGAGAGGGCAGAGCGAGCAATGCGGACGGGACCAGTCTGGGAACATAATCAGTTCAAGACTGATAAGAAATTGGGGCAGACTCAGCCTGAGGCATCGGTCGTGTGGCTATCCCGGAATCGGACTTTTATTCCCACCGAAACCACAGCCAGGATCCTATCAGGTGACCATTAGTGCCTCAGGCACAACTGTATTTGTTTGCTCCGTGGCAGCAAGTCCTTTCAAAAAAGAAGCAATCCTTGTGCCTCGAGCCTCTTGACGAGGACGACAGCTGGATCAATGTAGAACATGATGAGGATAGTAACCAATATCGTTTCTTCACAAATACCACGGGTGAATATAAGTCCACACTTTGTCCAGGCTAACCCGCACTAAGAAATTCCACTCCGGTCTTCGGACCATCTCGGATGCCATTTTCACCTTGACGCATATCACACCCTGTACCGCTGTATCATGTTGTGTGCACTTCCCCGGGAGCTCATCCTGCATGTAGCTGGCTTTCTCCCCAGTGGCAGTCTAGCCGCGTTAGTTCGGACGCAGACGGGAATCGCACGACTAGTGACGCCATGTCTGTACAACCAAGTGGTCCATGAACCTCTGCCCCTTGAACCGGATGACGAACCTGATTCCGATGTGGATGATTTTCGCACTATATCGGATACCTCAGAGGTTGAAGTGCCATCTCTCCACTGGACCGAATGCGTCTCCCGATGGCACTCGAAAGTCATCCTAGATTACCTGCAGTCGCAATCTCAAAACGTGCTATCGGCTTGTGGAACGCCTAGGTCGAGTCTTATCCATCTAGCTGCCCAGGGTGGAAATATTGACGTGGTCAAGGTACTCATGTCCAAGGGCGTGGAGATTGACAGGTACCATGACGGATACAGCCCTCTTGCCACGGCTATACAATTCAGCCAGGAGGAAATGGCCCTGTGGCTGATCAGCCAAGGAGCCGATGTCACGGAATGGCTCATGGGAACGGGTTTAACCATTCTCAACCTAGCTGCTGGATTCTGTTCTGCAAGTGTCGTCCGCAAGGTTGTCGAAATTATTCGGGAAAAGGTTGGTAAAGCTGGAGATATATTCTCCCCTTCCGATAATGTTATGGTCCTTCACCGTGCAATCTCCAGAGGAGATGTTGAATCCGTCCGTATTCTGCTTGAAAACGGAGCTGACCCATCCGGTTGGGATATACACGGTGTATCGGCTTTGACACTCGCCACGGCGAACGGCAACGAGGAGATAGTCACGATGCTTCTGGATCGTGATGCGAACCCTTTACCCCATGACGCTATGGGAAGGTCTGCGTTAGTATGCGCTGCCGGGTCACCGAAGCTGAGCTGGACGACCGTGGAGCGTATTTTCCACGCATATCGAAATGCAGGCGGGGATATCAACTGCACCTATGTTACCATTCCGGAATTTGTTGGTGGGGCGCCTAGACCTCTGGAGAGACTGCCACTTCATCAGTTTGCTCTTGTCGGGTCCGCACCCGGGGTAGAGTTACTCCTCCGTTATGGTGCGCAGGTCTCCATCAAGGGGCGAGATGGGATGACGGCACTGCACGCCGCTTTGTTCAGCTATCGGCATAGTCGGGACACATACCAAAGCATTGGTGAGATCTGTCAGATGCTAGTTGACGCTGCTGTTCGGTCGGGAGAAGACTTGAATAACAAAATGACTCCCTATAATTCATTCGCGCGGATGAGAGGTGCCACGGCACTACACTTGGCCGTGGTTTGTGGATTAGAGGAAGTTGTTCGCTTACTACTGGATCATGGAGCAGATGGGAAGATCGTTGATGAGGAGGGAAAGACCGCTTTGGATCTCGCTCAAGGATTGAGCAACCAGGTAGTGATTGATTTGTTAACAGCGAAAGATGTATAAAAGTGTACATGACGGTACTATATCACCCTTGGTATTTTCCACGCATAGGTTCTTTGAGCGAGTCGACCTGGATCGCCATGTCCTCCGGACTCCGGAGCTCCAGGCCGCCCAAAGCACAGCCGTCTCCTTCCAAAACGCAGTAGCATGTCCTGGCGGACCAATCATGGGCCTCCTGCCAACGTTGCTTTCTCATTCAGTGGGCATTAGTGCACTTCTGATATTCCTAGATCATGTACTACGGAGGATAGCGACGGATGGTCAGTTGGGGGCGGTGAAAATGTCGGCTCCGTCCGAATCCTGCCATAACATCAGGTACCAAGCGTTAGTCATATTTTTACCTGGCAGGGCTGAGTGTGGGTTCACCCGATGGCTTAGCCATTCATATTTCATCTATCTGTGCGTTCCCATTGGTTACGTCGTTTATAGATTCCTTTAGTGCGATGAAGATTGCTTGGATGCTGTTGGGGGCGAAAAAGAGCCTCAACCGGACGCATGAACGTGGCTCGGTCGAGGATAGACCGACCACTCAATCCTAGTGGATAGTTGCATGTCATGACCACACAGCTTTCACCAGCTCAGCCACGGCGGTGAACCGACGCTGCCGAGGGGAATCTGGCCGAGCAACTGGTATATAAACCCCAGTCGTCCTCCTGAGTTTCTCCATCCACCATCCTATCTCTATTCAATTGTCTCTATAGTCTAGCATACGACCTCTACCTCATACCCAAAATGCGTTTCACACTCCCCGGTCTTGCCCTGTTGGCCACAGCTATGACCGTTGCTGCTGACAATGTTGTCACACTGGCCGTGCCAGGCGACGATGACGATGGCAGTGGGATGGACGCTCTTGCGGACATTAGGTTCCGAGTGGTTGGCATTGTATGCTTTTCTCGCAGCTCTCCATATGTACAGTCCTGTCTCTACCAGCGGTATACTAACGACACAAAAACATAGAATGGCTCCACGACATCGTTCTCACCAAATTGCCCCGCAAGTGCTACCACGACCGCCCGCGCCAGCACGAGCACGGCCGCCGATAACCGCCTCATGAATTGTGACATGACCTTTGTTTCGGGCCCAAAGACGTTCCGGATGGACTATGAAGGGTAAGTACATGCGATCCTTGGCCTTCTGCGCCATGGAGAGCTAGTCTAAGTGTGTTAAAACCTTCCAGTGAAACTTTTGAGCGCTGTGATATGGGCTCCAAGAGCGCCACCTGCTATGTAACGTGGACGACAACCCGTGGAACATCCACCGTTGGAACGGATGTCGACTCCTCGACGGTCCCTGTCACCTCGGTTGCATTCACCGTCACAGCAACGGATGCATCTGGTACACCCTCCGCTTCGGCCTCGGCCTCTGCTTCTGCGAAGGCCACTGCTACTGGATCTGCCGATGCGTCATCTGCCAGTGCCAGTGCGAGTGCCAGTGCGTCAAACACTGAGAATGCTGCTCTGGGCCTGCCCACAGGGCACGCCTACTTGGCTGCGGGTGGTGCAGCAATGGCGCTTGCTGTCGCCATCGCCTAGGGCTGGAATTTATCCTCACGATAATATGGTCAGCGATGACTTGAAAAAGGGAGTCACGCGGGTAGGGGTGATGCTGTTGGTTTTCCGTCAAGGTGTGGCTTAATCGAGTTGCATCCATGTATTGTTATAGAGGTCGAGTTGTGCGATAGAATATCCGTTTCTTTATTGTCATTATGCATAATCATCTTGGATTTAGAATGTATAGCCTTGTTTCCGTTCGCATGAGATCCTGTCTGTGAGTTGTTACTGCGGTCTTTCTTCGTATCCCCAGTGATAGATGAATTCAAAGCAAGATATGCTTACCCTTCAGTATGATGTTCAGAGCTTTTCAAATCAGCAGAACCCACTTCTGGATTGTAAACTGAGCTATTATATGTTCAGGTTTGGGTGCTGCACCGAAGAGTAATAGTGGTAATTACTCTCCGGGAGATTCCATTTAGTAAGTTTAGTTCGCCTTTACTGTAAGGAATCTGGTGGTGTTAACATATATATTTGTTGTTAAAAGAAGAGTAAAATTCGATACTAATAGTCTTCAAAGATTCAACTAAAAAAAGGATCGATATTGTCATATTTAGCTACGGTAAAGAGTTGTTATTATGACGATCAGGAAATACTGCGCTACCATGTAGAAACCCTAGGAAATAAACGATCTACGCGATGGTCTGATTGAAGGATGGTGTGCCCTCTCTTTAGATTTCTCATACTTCAACGCATGGATAACTACCGTGAACGAAATCATAAGCGTTAGCTATAATATCTACTACGTATTATAATCTCGCACTATTCAGTATAGGAGATATCGGGAAACATAGGATCAATAGATTCAGAGAATGGACATGGTAGACACGGTAAGAGTGGACCGACGTGAACGTCACACATGGTCGAGGGTTCATATGACTATAATCGGCTGTTCAAGGCATAAACGACTCAATGGAAAGCAGGAATGATTCTGGCAGCTGCCATCCGATCAAATGCCACTTGATAACCCTCAACGGTGTCAATACGTTCGGTGAATCCAATCGCGCGGGCCGCGTCAAGTGAGTACTCGCGATCAAAGTCGAAGTCAACAAGCATGAACTGAATGAATGGCCAGTTCTGCGCCTCCAGCAAACCCCCCCGTAATCCATGTGTTTCAACCAAACCATCCCAGGCGCCCTGATTCTCACGGACGAATTCTTCGATTTTCTTCTGATGTTCCTGAGGCTGAACTCCCACCAACCCGAAATACGAACAGAGACCCGGCCAGACTTGTTCCCAGCTGACAACGTCACCGTCTGCAATATTGAACGCTGACCCGTTTGGACACTTATCGCGATTCAGCGCAGTGTAAATTTCCATCTTAGAGAGAATGTCCTGGAAAGTATCGCTATGCGTAGATCGGTAGCCGTGAAGGCTCCCAGGGAAGGGGACCTCGGCTCCTTGACCGTAGACTTCGCGGTACAGGGTCAGGTACAACGCGATACCTTGGGCTATGTTCATTACATTTGTACCGGGAACAAAGCCAACGATTCCGTCCGGTCGAATCTCTGAGAATGACCAGTTCTGACTCTTTGATAGCTCGGAAAGTATGTCATATTGATCATAGTAGAAGACACTGCTCCTCCAGGGCTCCGGGATCCGGGGCATTGACTCGCGAAGTGGGTGCGGGATCTCGAGCTCATTCGAGAATTCCAACCCGTAACCTTTACCACCTGTTTGCAGGATGACCGCTTCTAAGTTGGCAGCAATGCCACTAATTGCTTCAATAGCAGTGCGGAGGAGTGCGGCGTTGACCTTTCGCCTGGCTTGGAAATCACCAGCCTCAATGTAGGCTAGCAGTGTGATAATTTAGAAACCATGGCCATATAAAATAGACAGGCGAGGCTTACCGCAATAAAAGACAACCTCAACTGATTCTACATTATGAACCCTGGCCTTCAGTTGATCAGTGACCGAGGACACTGATTGCGTGAGATCGATTCCCGAAACAATGTCCAGTCGAGAATCCACAGGAAGATATGCGTCTTCCGTTTTGAGAGGTCGATTACAAAGACCAACGACGCGTCGAAAAGAAGAGGATGTGGGGTAGCTAAGACACTGGTTCAAGAGGGACCATCCTGAAATCCCCGATGCCCCAAAGACGAGAGCGTATTTCCCATTCTGCGACATGACGGCGGCAGTATTATCTATCGGAATGAAGCCAGTAGAAGATGAGACAAAAATTGATAGCCAAACTGGCCGTGATTTATAGAAGGATTCGCTCCTCCTTCTACGTCACTGCAGGTTGATATGGATTTGTAATCTCATCCTCGGACATCATTCCGGATGGGCGTACGTGTCGACTAAGGGTGCAACATCATTCATAATTTACCGGCCTCTTTTTGGCATGGAACATTCATATGCCTTAGCTACCACCCAGCCTTCCTAGTAATAGTCTACAGTATGTCTCATATGGAGGCTTATGGACACTCATAAACCCTCAGTCTCAAATATTGGCTACCAAACCAGTCATAGCATCTCAGCTACCGTATGCTGAAATACGGAATACGAACTTATGTATCCGACGGATGATCTAACTCGCGGGACAAGGCCACATTAAGGAACTGCAGGCAAGACTTTTCCCTGATATATGCACATCACTCTTTCGAAGCAAGTACGGCAGACCTTTTATGACGGCGAAGTATGGATATTTGCTTTTAGTTGGAGCATGGAGAAAATTCTCCTAAATTGTGGGACTTATACGGCTATTTATATCTACCGACTGTCCGGCTATTATTACCGCTTTATTGACTACACTTATAACTCGACCGGAAAAAGTGAAATAAACTATACGTAGCCACACGGATAAAGTTCTAGGATTGCCCTAAATGGAGCTACTATAGGCTCTAGATGTCATTATTTCTATAGGTTTAACACTTGGTCGTTGATCTCCAGTGAAAGCTAACTTTCCTTCTCTTTTTCTCTTCCCGTTTCGCGCAAGTCGGAGGTCGGGTGCAAACGTAGACAATATATTCTTATGATAGCTGGTCATATAGGAAAATGCTCTGTAGCATATACGTGAATCCGAACAATGTAGCCTTCGTGTTTTGCTGGGTAATAATGGAAATTTGCTTTAGCAACGTCTTGGTCGCTTATGTTAGGTGGCTTCAGTCTCTTTCTAGGCTGACCGCCTAAAATGGCAGATAGATATGTTCCCTTATTGCATTTTATTCGTCCTGGTTTATACGGTATGGTAACCTGCGTTAAGATGTTTCAATTAATTACTATGGGCTGTTTATCTTCTGCATTGCCGTACACCAGCTCTGCTTGGCCCTGGTCGCAAACCTGTCTGGGACCTTCGGGTCGTCGTGAAACAGCTCATTTGAAAATGTCTCCACTGTAACAATTCCTTCAAATTTTAAAGACATGAAAATGGCATGAACAATAGGTTCAAGGGGCAAGGATCCGTTTTGGGCTTTCTCCCAGGGAAACAGACGAGCATTTCTCGACCAAGACATCCGTGGCGGTTGCTCCATGTTGTAAAAAGGGTGGTCCTCAATAAGAGGTTGGTCCAGCAGCTTAGCATCTGATAGTTGTACGTAGAAGATCTTGTGGACGTCAACCGTCGTGGCCAGCTCTTCCATCGACCTCCTGAGGGCTTCGTCTCCGTCGGAGCGTTTACAGCCTGGGGCTGTTGGATCTCCCCAGACACGTGCAGCGATGTGATAGGTATCCAAGCAAAGCCCAAAGTTGGGCTTGTTCACACGCTTCACAATCTCCCAAGTTCCTTGCCACGTGTCGATATGTGTGCCCCACGCCACGCCCTCATACGCGAAGCACACAGGCGGGTCTTGCTCAAGCCCAATCGAGGCCATCTCCCTGAAGTCCTTGACAATGGCATCAATATCACCCGTCGTGCCGTTCTTCATCCAGTTGGTAGGAACCTGAACAATTCGTATACCGAGAATCTTGACTAGTTGCATCCATAAGCGTAACTTGGAAATCCGAACCGCATGCTGCTGCGGGTCAAGTAGGCCCTCGTAGAACCAAAATGGTTGAAGAACGCAGGGCTTGATATTGAGTCTGTCGCAGATGATCTTGATGTCGATGGCAGCCTGAATGGTGGTGCTCTCGCTGACTTCCCCCAATTGGTCCCTGGCATAGAAGGCCAGATCATCCTCAACCAACTCAATAAGCTTGAAGCCATGCGATGCCGCTGCTTCCAATCTTGAAGTAATCGGATGTACTGTCTGGTGGCCGAGTGAGGGTGAGGCGATAGCCGGCTGGAACGACATCGTTGTCTGTAGCAAACGATAACACATTGAAGTGAACTTGAACGAATACAGATTCATCTCGCGATGGTCTCTTATAATTGTTGTTCCTGTGACTACAACCAGATCGGGTAAATCCACTGACCATTTCAATTCGCATAAACGTCATCGTCAGGCGGTTGATGCATTTCCCGTGCTTGCCGAGGTTGAAGGCAGACAGTCATGTTCTCTGGGTCGAGCTTATATTCAACACCAGGATGACTCGCCTCTTGAGCAATAGCTAGATAAAATACATTTTTCCTTGGACAGCCTCCCAAGCCTTCTACAAACACAACGATTCCCCTGATGCCATCTGTCATGCCTGCTAAATCGGGTCGAGATCGCCTGTATATCGCCGGTGGTCCCGGCGGCAGTTCCATTGGCCCCAAAGTTCACGAATACATAGCTCAGTCGCTGAGACTTTCATGGACATGTGAATTCTTGCAGCTATCCTCCGTCGACGAGGTTATGCGATACTTTCGAGCGCCTGACTTTGCTGGTGGGATCGTAACAATGCCTCATAAAAGAACCATCATTCCTCTGCTCGATCACTGTGATCACTTGGTAAAGATACTGGGGGCATGCAATTTTGTGTATCTTGCAGAAAATGGGCAATTGTGCGGCACCAATACGGACTGGGTGGGCATCTACGATTCTATCCTCGCACACAGTCCCAGCCATGCTCCGGGTATGACAGGCATGGTGTACGGAGCGGGCGGCGCCAGTCGAGCGGCAATCTACGCCTTGTGGGCGAAATTGAAATGCGACAAGATCTATGTGGTTAATCGAGAGAGCCAGGAAGTTGCAGAGTTATTCGATGACATAAAGCGACAAGCTGACTTGTATCGCCCGGAGTTGGTTCATGTGCGGAGCGTGGCAGAGTGCAAAGCCCTCCCTACGCCTTATTTCATTGTGTCTACTATCCCAGACTTCGAGGCAGTCAGCCCAGAGGAACTACAAGCACGGGATATCTTGGTCGAATTTCTATCGCGTAGCTCGTCACCGAGAGGTATCTTACTGGATATGTGCTATCATCCACCCATGACAAGGAACTTAAGGCTCGCAATCCAACACGGCTACAGGGTCATACAAGGCTACACGGTCGTTGCTTCTCAGTTTCCATGCCAATGGAAATTCTGGACAGGGGAGACCATTGAGACGGGGAGGGTGTTTGAAATGACGGAACGATTAGTTCAGGAAGAGGAGGCGGCAGCAGTGGCCCGGACAGTTATCAAATAGGTAAATCAAAAGGGCAGTTTTACTGGGATCATACCACGCATCGTGGATCTCAGATGCGGTGAGGTGGTGTGGGCTGTTTTGCGAGTATTGATTTGACTCTTAGGCTTCTCATGTTCCCTTGAGTTTGTCGTTTTATGTTAACTTTATTAAAGTTCTCATCATCCTTCTCCTGTACACGTAGAATGAAATAGCCTATACGCTCGATGATGATAATGTGCCCGTTCTACTGTGAAGTATAGGACCTCAACCACGTACGGCATTAACCAGCAACAGGTGTTGTTTGTTCACACAAAAGTATATCTGGACCAGTCCGATCTATCCTTCTTGGTACTGACACTGCTGAGCCAATATGCGAAGTCCAAGTAAACTGTGCCAACATCATACAAAGCTCTCTCAGCATGACCTACGGAAAAGGCCGCATCCGATTCGGATGTGAGGTATGGGCGCCTAGGGGTGAAGACGGATATTTCGTTTCCGCCAGGATGTCGGCTGATGAGGGTTACAATCGCTGCCAAAACCTGAAAGAAAGAACGCATCAATTGAACGAAACCTTGTCAGCCGTATACTGGCTCCCATGCAGCGTGGGAAATGACTTATTAAAGCCAGCCATTGTCCTTCCAAGACCCCGCAGGTTCCTCACATACACATTCTACATACTCTTAGCTGAAAATGTCTAGCTCTATTCTCGAATCGTTTTCTCTGAAAGACAAGACCGTGGTTATCACGGGTGCTACAGGAGGAATTGGACTTGAAATTTCCATAGCGCTGGCGGAGGCTGGTGCCAATATTATTTCCATTGAGATACCCCAAGATCCGTCAAGCCCAGAGTTACGTCGTGCCATCGAGGCAACGGACCGTCATATCACTGTGTTTGAGTGCAATCTCAAGGATCACCAGTCCATTCAGGACACCTTTGCTGCCATCTGGGAGTCCGGTGTTGTTCCGGATGTTTTGGTCAACTGCGCCGGCATTACCAGACATATGCTGATTGAGGATACGCCTGTCCAAGACCTGGACGATGTAAGTACTACTTTGTCCCCCCTCGGTAATCGGGCCATGTAGGGTCTAATACTCTTAGGTGATGTCTATTAACTTTCGAGGGACCTATCTATGTATTCAAGAGTTTGGAAGAGAGCTGCTTCGCCTGAAGCGACCAGGGAAGATTATTAACTTTGCCTCTATCGCCTCTTTCCTTGCCCAGACAAATATTTCGGCGTATTGCAGTAGCAAGGCTGCTGTCCAGAATCTGACGAGAGCTGTTAGCAACGAGTGGGCTGGCCGGGGTATAACCTGTAATGCCATTTGTCCAGGGTGAGTAGTACTACGTTCTTGCTCTTGCGCTGTTCCATTAGCTCTAGCTCACCCGTATACTCAGCTTCATTCATACCAAGATGTGCGAGGATTTGTACACCGATAAGGACTTTTCTGCCAGGATCGTGGCGAGAACATCCATGGGCCGATGGGGAGAGCCACAGGACTTGCGCGGTCTAGCTGTCTTCCTTGCGAGTCGTGCTAGTGATTTCATCACTGGGGAGAGCATCTACATTGACGGTGGCATCATGGGTCGGTAGTTCGTTTTATAGGCTTATTTTCGCCACAGGGCCACGACCCGGGAAGTGACATGGGGATCACAGAGCCAACGATAATAAAAAGGAATTTTGACTATTTTACGCCCAGTTCAACCGTACAGGAATGAGGAGATGGAAGCTGCTTGCCTGGACGCAATATCTATTATGTTAGAGCACCCGTCGACCCCTCGCACATATTTCCACCAGTCGTAACCTGTATCTTTGTATTGCCTCCTTCGATACGGGTAACGCTCAGATAATATCACCAAGTAACGCGTTTAGTTCCCAAATAGGGTTTACATTACATTTATCTAGTCCGTGAGCCTCGGTATGGCCCGTCATGTTAGGCGGGAAAATGATTTTAGCCGCCACGCAGGTCGGGCTCGCACCACCACCACACACACCGTGATGCGAAAGTGCCCCGAGTTCTACGATCCAACCTGCAGTATGTAATCGGCACAAGGCTTCCCGTTGTCTGAATCCATTTTCTAGACGTGGAGGGTTGACCTTGGAGGACAAGTGCCCGAGTGGCCGGAAATAATGTCTTTCCGGGGGAGATTTGCAAAGTCGATGTCGCATCGGAATGTGGGGCCGGTGGCTCTGCAGCAGCCTGCCTGGCTGGATTGGTACTTTGCAAATGCATTATCCCACCCAGCTTGCGAGGTCGATCGAGTGTTCTAGGGGATATGGGCTTGTAAAAGGCTTGGTGTGCTGCTACCTCGTACTCTGCTTGTCATCGATAGTCGACTCAGATCGCGATGCCGCCGAGCTTCGCAGAAGATGCATCTCTGGTCTTAGTTGGCATGCGATGCGCGGGAAAGTCATCGCTAGCCACTATAGCCTCCAGAGCCCTGAAGTGGAAGGTCGTTGACGAAAAGCTGCAGTTCGAAAAAGTAACCGGGTATTCAGTCGCTGGGTATATTGAGAAATATGGCCACCATGCCTACTGCGCCCAAGAAGTCTCAGTGCTAAAGGCTATCCTCGCACAACATCAGCGACGCTATATCATCGTGTGTAGTTCGTCCTGTGTCCAGACACAGGCGGGCCAGGATCTACTACGAGAGTATCTTGCTACACTCCCAATAGTGCATGTCATGCGAGACAGGCACGTGCTTCAAGCCAACCTAGAAAGCAAATGGCAAGGGGATGTAATCAAAGTTCTGCGCGAGCAGGAGCCAGTGTATCTGTCTTGTTCGAACCTCACTTTCTTCAATCGAGACGATACAAGTTTGCGATCTGGGGTCGAATCGAATCGCGGGGCGTTCTTCGAGGCCCTGACCCCAACTTCGGGAAGGCCTACCTACAGGTCCCTGTCTCTCAAGCATGTCGAGTCGGACTTCTTACGGTTCCTCAGCAGTATATACGACAAGCGCGAGGAGAAGATCGGCATTGGTACAGACTGGGATATCTTCACCTACTCGCTTCAGCTCCCCTTTCGGGACTTCAAAGCTTGTGGTTTTGAGTTGGATCGAATAGCATGCTGCGCGGATGTGCTACAAGTTCAGGTTGATTTATTACTCCAGGGATATCTGGAAACGGATACTACTCGTCATCACTGGTGGGAATACGTCGTGGATCAACTAGCATTTCTCCGGAGGCACACAACCCAGCCCATATTATACCATGCGACGTCGGGAAATTCACCTCCGTCTCAGCTGAAGCCAGATTACTTTGACCTCATTCAGCTGGGGCTTAGAGTGGGAGCTGAATTCGTCACAGTCGACCTGCGACAAGGGAAGGCTCAAATCCAAGCTGTCACAGACCAAAAGGGCCATTCCAAAATCGTCGGATGGTTTTATGATTCGGACCCTGGGCTGACAGGGGGCTGGACAGGACAACGTCGACTGGAGTGGTATCGTAAAGCAGTTGATGCGGGTTGTGATATTGTGCAACTTACTCAGCCAGCCATTACGCGTTCTGATAATGCTGCCGCTCAGTGCTTTGCCGAAAGTATGAACAACGGGGGACCACTACCGGTGTCTGCATATAACACGAATCGCCTGGGCCGACCATCGCAGTGCTTCAATAAGTTACTTACGCCGGTTGCTCACCCAGATGTCATTAGGGATGAGCCAGGAACAATCACCATACCTCAAGTGCAGGCTGCACTCTTTGCCTCATTCACTTGCGAGCCATTGCGATTCTTCGTTATGGGATCGAACGTGCGATACAGTGTCGCGCCTGTCTTGCACAACTCTGCGTTTGATGTCTACGGCATGCCCCACATCTATTCCATATTACAAACGGACACTTTCGATACACTCAATGACGTATTGCAGGAGGATGACATGGGGGGCTTAGGGCTGTCGTCTCCATTTAAGACGGCTATCATTCCTCGCTTGAAATCTATGAGCTCCGACGCTCGGTTTATTGGGGCCGTCAACACGATTTTGCCTATACGGAACTTGGGGCACGAGAATGCAGCGGACAGCAATCTCCACCGCCAGTTCTCTATAGCTGAGCAACGCAATCGAGCCGGTCCCGTGCTAGCCCTTCATGGAGAAAACACCGATTGGAAGGGTATCAGAGCCTGTGTTATCCGCCATCTGTCTCCTGTAAACGCCGTGACCTCAGTATCTACCGCTCTTGTCATCGGTGCTGGCGGAATGGCGCGGGCTGCCATTTATGCGCTGATACAATCGGGTATCCGGCACATACTTATCTACAATAGAACCCCCGAACACGCCATGGAACTCGTAGACCACTTCGAGAGAATGTATCGCAGCAGTGGCGGCGACCTGACTGATAACACCGAGCACAACCAGGGCAAGCGTGCTACTATATCTATCTTCCAGTCACTGCAGGACCCTTGGCCGAGTAATTTGCGTTTGCCCACAGTAATCGTGAACTGCTCACCGATCCCTGGGGACCGCATTATGCCAGCGCCGCTTCTCCAAGAGAATAGGGTCGAATTCGAGCCGGCGGTGTCGGTGCCTACGGCGTGGTTAAAGAGTCCAACTGGAGGTGTCTACCTGGAGCTCGCTTACAACAGTTCCTTACCGTCTCCGGAGCTTCTTCGTATATGCTCAAATCAAGGCTGGATTGGTGTAGCGGGTTTGGAAATTTTTATTGAAGTAGCCTCTGCCCAATTCGAGTTCTGGACCGGACGCCGGGCTCCGACATATATTATGAAAAGGAAATTGGGCCAATACCTGCGTGAACTACAAGACTCCATGTGAAGTAACCTTCTGTATGAGCCGCACATAATCCCTTTACAATATATGGACCAAGCAATAACCGAATAAATGTTAAATTTGTGATCATTTAGTCGCTTCTAAGTGCATCACGGAGCCTTCTTCTTCAAATTGAGGGGATACTCCGTTGACTCAATCTGCTCGGGGTAGGAATAATTCGCTTGTGCCCGGATCTCATCCACCACCTCCATGATGGCCACGGACTCATCCCAGGGAATTACATCGCTCTGGATCTTTCCGTCCCGAATGCACCGTCCAGCCTCGTCGGCCTCCCAGTACATGCCATGGCCACCAGCCGGAATCTCGAAATGAACTGTCCTGCATTCCCCTTTGCGAATAATCCTCACGGACTCCGGCCGATGAACTGGGCCGACGATCTGAATCTCTCCCTCCAGCCCCTGTATGCGCACTGCGGTACCTGACGACCCCTTCCCATCTGCGTCATTGGAAAGAATCATTGAGGTAGACATGATGCCGTGCGCCACTGAGGTGCCCGACGGTGTCGAAGATGGGAACTCTACCATAACCGATGCCATTTGATCGGTGCCGGAAGCCTTTTCGTATGTGAGCAGACTCACGACTCGGCTAGGCTTCTGTCGCTGATGTTTCTCTCGCGTGTGATACAGAGTCTGAAAGACCCATATCAAAGGATAAATACCAATATCCAAGAGAGCTCCTCCGGCTAGCTCCTTGTCTAGGTATCTGTGAGTAGAGCTCAGCTTGGAAATGTCCACACCAGTCGAATTGTCTACATAGACGCGCAGGACCTCTCCGATCAAGCCGTCTTGGATGTATTGGCGCACTGCAGTACTGAGAGGGAAATACCGCGTCCAAACCGCTTCCATCAAGAAGAGGTTCTGCCGCTGGGCCGTTTCATAGAGCACCCTGGCTTGTTTGGCATTCACCGTGAGGGGTTTCTCACAAAGGATGGGCTTGGAGCTTTCGAGTGCTAGCATGCAATTCTGATAATGGTGCGAATGTGGGCTTGCTATATACAAAACGTCCACGTTGGCGTCTTCCACCAACTCTTCGTATGATCCGTATGCGGTGCAGCTGATACCTTCCGACAGTTTGGAGGCGATATTATGTCGAATAAACCTGTCTGCAGACTCCTTGGATGAGCTGGAAGCCACCGCAGTGACAACATGTCGAATGTCGTGTGTTCCGCGCGTGGCCGGGTCGATCAGGAGGTCCTTGACAAATAGTTTGGCAATCTCCCCCGTTGCTATTTTTGGTAAGCAAGTGCCACGTATCAGATCAGAGGGTTTTGCGCAATCTTTACCCATAATCCCCCAGCGAATTGTCGTGGCGTTGTCTGCTCCCATAGTGAATTGGCGCAGGTTTGGTGGTGGTGTTCTCGCAACGTTCTGAGTCTTGATAATATATATAGAGAAGTCTCCGGGAACATAAACTAAAGCTGCACAAACTCTCGTAAAACGAAACGAAAGAAACACAATAGATCTCCTACCATCCGTATGCCTCAACGACTAGCCAGATAAATACTGACTAACTTAGGGACTCCGCCTGGAATCACAGTCCGGATGTACCCTTTAGCCGGAGCAGTAACCCTAGTCCCCGCGATTGATAAGCATCCCCGCATCGCCCTAGTTAGTATGTCCTTCCATGGGTGATCAAGCAACTCATACACGGATAAGGATATGAGTTGGAACATACCTATAGCACTCAGGCCTTTGCAGTGAAGCCTCCTGGAACTTTCTACCGTCCGGTTAATATTTTAAGGCTTGACATATTGGCTCTCTTGAACCACAAGAGGCAATAAATACATAAATAAATAGATACAGGGCGGGCAACATTGTGGCATACCACGACCAGGCTCCACCCTCCTGTTGCTCTTTACTATTCGGCCTCTATTTTTGACTTTTATAGCGCCATGGCCCCCCAAAAACTTCTTGACGGCCTCGTTGCGCTCGTTACTGGTGGTGGCAGCGGTATGACTACAGCCAGCAACCACCCGTATCTATACCGCTGACTCAGATCTAGGATTCGGAGAGGGTATTGCTCAGCTCTTTGCCGAGGAAGGTGCTAAAGTGGTCATTCTTGATATCAACCAGGAAGGGGGGCAAAGGTATATATCGTCGCATTCCTAACCGAAATGCTCTGGACTTATCTGTGGCAGGGTGGCAACCAATATCACAACAGCTGGCCTTGTAGCCACTTTTGTCAAGGCTGATGTAACAAAGGCAGTTGACTGGCAAGAAGCAGTGGACACAACTCTGACTCAATTCGGCCAAGTGGACATCCTGGTAAACAACGCGGGATGGACCTATCGCCGGAAAGCATCTCTGGATGTGACCGAAGCAGAATATGACCGTGAGAAGAGCAGGGTTTATCATACCCAAGCGAAGATGCTAATGGACAACAGGTATCTTTGATATCAACGTGAAGAGTATCTACCATTCCATAAATGTGGTCTTGCCCCATTTCCTGAAGCAAGGTCGTGGAAGCATTGTCAATATTTCTTCGTGTGTGACGTCCAAGCCGACCAGCGGTTTGCTGTACTATAACGCCACGAAGGGCGCCGTAGACTTGCTGACGCGAGGCCTCGCGGCGGAATACTCCAATCGCGGCATCCGCGTGAATGGCATCTCACCATCTCTAGGCAATACTGCTCTGGTATCCGAGTTCGTGGGCGAAGAGTTCAGTGCTGACATGGCTAAGGTGCAAGCGACAGAAGCTCCAGTGCAACGCATGGTCACACCACTGGACATCGCCAAGGGCTGCCTGTACCTTGTCTCGCCATACTTCAATGATTTCCAGACGTATGTTTCTATCCGATATTCCTAGATGATATGGTAATTACCGTTGGCTTACACGTGGCTTACACGTGGCTTCAGGGGTATAATGCTAAGGGTGGACGGTGGACAATACGTATGTGTCATGCCTTATTCGTACAGAGTCATCTCGACGTTTTACTTACCTGCGGTATAGTGTTAGCCTATGATGGGTAGCAAGGACGCCAAATGGAACTGCAGAGAAATGATAACGGACCACCACATCGATGTGGCTGTTGTTTCACAGTCGGGCGACATGGGACACAGGCAGCAAGCGTATGTAGGTCTGTCAAAAGGGACATGTATGGCATTTGCAGCCAATGCAGGGTTCTATCAAGGAATGAGTCCATCGAGTAAAATCCTCAGAATGTGTCAGCGTAGATACTAAATGCCATAAGAACGAGTTTCAAAGTAGAACTAGACGTGTTTAAGTTTTACTTAAGCTAGTACTATGTTTGTTCTAAAGGGATTCTTCCGTAATCCGACCTCCTTATTAGTGGCAAGTTTGGTAGGCCACCTCACTTCCGATAGTGCATAATCATCCCTTACATTAACTCGAGTTTCCCGCAACGGTGGCAAATCCTATATTAAAAGAGGTCTATACGCATTTTTCAATGATCCCTAGTATGCTCACCATTCCAGATCATCCAGAGCCTCGTAAATCAACTCCCAAGCCCGTGGAGGGAGTTCCCCAATCATCCAGCAGGAATTGCCATTGTAACTTCCTAGGGTGGTAACCCGCATCATGCCGTACGAGTTGGGAGGCAGAGTCAAATAGCACGAGTCGGCAGTCCCCAGCCCGTTCCTTCTCGTCGCCGATATTTCACCCTGGCGAACTACCGCAGAACTGAGATCGAGGTCAATATGGCTGGACAGGCGGACCAAGTTGTTTACCAGAACGGAATCTGCATCCGTGCTGTCCATCAATCTCGTGATGTCGAGCTCGGATTCAATCGCGCCCAATACCGTATGCAGGGACCTCGTTATGCTTTGAGGCTCGGCACATTGCGCGAGGCATTCGCGATGGGCGAGCGCAATTGGACCCATAGGCCCTGTCGCGGCCTCATTAGATAGGGTTTGAGGCGTGAGCAGGACCAGATTCTGGCTATAAATGCCCCTTGCCTTGGCTAAGCGTGGCACAACTAGCCTTGCGTTGAAAACGTTGAGCAACCTCAGTGCGCGTGGTACGGCCTGCGCTCTGGCGATTTGCTGCACAATCAAGGCTAGGAAGAGCTCGTCAAGTTGGTACGTCGACAACACGTCTTCGTCTTCTGTCGGATTCTCTAGGGCAACACGACTATGTAGCCGTTGCATGTTTTCCAACGGAACCCGGATTATACGCTGCTCCAGGGCTGCATTCGGTGCCGGTGGCTGCCCCATCGCCTTTGTCTCTCCTGGTACGGTCAACAATTCAGGGTCACAACCGGAGCCGTCGTAGTGGCTAGTCAGTTCCGATAGTATGTCAGCCTTCGCGCCCAACATTGGTGGCACTTCATCCTCCCGTCCATCTAGCACCAGCCCGAGCGACTTCAGGAAGCCTTGTAGGCCCGATACGTCCCATGTACAGTGAGAAAAGGTGATGGCCAAGATCGTCGCATCGGTATAGGTGATGACTTTGAAAGATAGCTGCGGGGCGTCCCTGTCTACCAGATCGGCCATCGTCATGGGGAACCCAGGGGCGTGGCCGAATGGGCGAAGCTCGTCGAGAGGTGGACTGAGTGCAACTCCATCATGTGAAGCTTGAGGCAGCTGGCGGCCGAAAGGGTGCTCGAAAATGCTTCCATCATATGCTTCCTGAGCGAACTGGATTGCTGGACGTTCGGCAGTGTATTTTCTGGGGACATGGATTTCAAACGCCTTACTTGGCTTCCGGCTGTCTGCTTCGAGCGTACTCGCCTCGTGTACCTTGGTTCTGAATCGGCCACCCAACTTTTTCCAATCGTCAATTTCTAGCAGTCTGGTGAGAGAATCCTTGATTTTCCCAGCATCGAGGATGTCGTTGAATTTAATAAATAACGTGAGAATACAGTGTTGGTACTCGGCGCCGTCTAGTAGGTGCACCGGATATATGTAATCGTCCGCGTGGCCGCGAGAGAGATCGCCAAGAGCTTTGCCAGCATGAGGTGAACAGGTTGCAGAGGGTATTGCCATACTTAAGGAACGCCGCGGACTGTTCCTCAGCCAAAGGCAGAAATGATGTAGAAGTAATTGTAGCCGTCCTCGACTGATCCCATTTGAGTGCGCCTTTGGGCGAGTCGGACTCTTCTAGAAACCCGAAATGAACCATACAAACAACCTCGATGTCGGAATTCCCCCTTGCGTCCGGCAGCTAGGCCCTTGCCAATATGGCTAGCAGCCAACGTCTCAAACTGCAAGGAGAATACGCGGTGCAAGACCCCAAGTTTTTGTTGAATCTAGCCCTAGATAGGCACGCACCCATGAAACTAATCAACCCCTGCCTTTCAGCCATGAATATTTTGACAACAATAAGAATGTGATCGGCATACTTCCTGGCCTTGGAAACTAGACACACGCTGGGCTCTGACACATGTAATACCAATAGAAAACTAAAAACCCCCCGAAGCAGACATTGTGACCGTTATGTGTCTCATCCCTTGTATCCGCTGTATAGGGAAGTCTAGGTTCAGCGTCCTCAAGGCACGGAAATTATCGCCGGCTGACGCAGCCCATTACCCTTGCCAAACTCTGTAGAGCTTGAGCTAAGCCATTGTTTAAACACTTTTCATATAGTCGAGGTACTTAGCAATCACTGAACTCTGTTGGGTCGCAAGCAGCTGGACCCCCCGAGAAGATACAGACTATCGTTAGCGCTTGAAATGACGACCGTCCGATTGCGTGACGATCGGTATTGAAACCTTATAAACACGAGAGAGTAGAATTCTCTCAGTTGTTTATTATGGCCGTTCACGTTCTCGTATCTGTGCATAAAATACGAGCTGGGAATGAGTGTTGGACAAGGACTCCTCGTCGGTCGACCTCATAATCATCCCTGTTCGCTCCTGTGGACCTCTACAGGCGAGTCTGTTACTTTAAACCCGATCTTTGGACAGGCTTCTGTACATTCTTCTTTTGCTTCTTGTCTTTTACTCCTTCCTTTTCTCTTTCAATCTTCCCCCCTCCCCCCCCCCTCCATTTCCTTTTGAGTCGGAAAGTTCCTCACCATGGCATCTGGAGACATCGCAATCATTGGCATGGCATGCCGCTTCGCCGGTGATGCCAAGTCACCAGAGGCCTTCCACGCAATGTTGCAGAAGGGAAAAGATGCTTGGACGAAAATTTCCTCGTCACGCTTCAACGTAGAAGCATTTCGGCACCCATCTAAAGACCGCAGTGGAAGCATAGTAACCAATACCCCACGCCCAAAACAGACCCAAAAGATGTTCCAGCCTTTTACTGACAAGAGCTATCCAGGTCTGCGAAGGTGGTTATTTCTTAGAGCAAGACGTGTCGAAATGGGATGCTCCGTTCTTTACATGCTCCGCGTCCGAAGCCCGGTCCTACGATCCTCAACAGCGCCTGCTTCTTGAGCTTGCGTACGAGAGCTTAGAAAGCGCCGGTATCCCGATCACAGACATTGCCAATACCGATGCTGCCTGCTTTGTGGGTGCATTCTCCGAAGACTACAAGTTGATCGTATCAAGGGATATACATGCCACACCACAATATGCAAAGACGGGCACTTCGCTCTCCATTCTTTCCAATCGCATCAGTTGGTTCTAGTAAGTACTGGCCGTGATGTGTCGAGGTGTCTGTTGAACTCATAGTAATATTGGGTAGTAATTTGCGAGGCCCATCAGTCACTTGCGATACGGCATGCTCCAGTTCCATGGCTGCCCTGCACATAGCTTGCGAGACGATACGGTCCGATCGTAATCCCACCCGCTGCGCGCTGGTAGGCGGAGCAAACCTCATCCTGGATCCCAACGATTATTGCGGGCTCAGTGCCCTTGGATTTCTTAGCCCACAGGGCCGTTGTTTCTCCTTCGACGCACGGGCAGATGGGTATGCGCGGGGAGAAGGGGTAGCCATGATTGTGCTGAAACATATGGACGATGCGCTGCGTGACGGTGACCCCATCCGGGCTGTAATTCGCGGCACTGGCCTCAACTCGGACGGCAGGGTGCGTAAAATGCAGACAGCCTAGCCGTTGTCCAAGTGAAATCAATACTAACGACCCCTTGTTTAGACCGCCGGTATTACCCTGCCAAGCGCCGAAGCCCAAGCGAGGTTGATAGTCAACACCTACCGTATGGCCAATCTCGACCCGGCAGACACCCAGTACGTCGAGCTGCACGGAACTGGCACCAAAGCTGGAGACAGCGCAGAGGTTCGCGCAATTTCCCACACGATTGCTACTGCGCGAAGCCAGCCGCTCTATTGTGGTTCGGTCAAGTCCAGAGTTGGGCACACCGAAGCGGCCGCTGGTATGGCAGCCATCATCAAATCCGTGCTCTGCCTTGAAAACGGTGTGATCACTCCCAATCTCAACCTTGCCACAGTAAACCCTCGTCTCATGCTTGACTCTCACAACATGCTCGTACCCACTTCCTCGATAGCTTGGCCGGACTGTGACGTGCGAAGATGCTCAATCAACAACTTTGGATTCGGCGGTACCAACGCTCATGTCATTCTTGACGACGCGTACAATTATCTTCGGCTGCGAGGGAAACTCCCAAGGACGATACAAGACAGGGCCTTAGTCCAGCCCCGTGTATTTATCCTCTCAGCCCCCGAACAAGCGGCTTTAGCGCGACAACGCTCTGCGCATGCAGACTACGTGGAATCCACATACACAGCCCCCACACTACCACAGCTTGCTAGGACCTTGAGTGAGCGACGATCTGTTTTCCAGTGGAGGCATGCTGTCGTTGCCTCCTCTGCCGAGGAGCTGTCGTCTGCATGGAGAGACGACACAATCAAACCCGTCAAGGCCGCAACCACCCCCAATGTGGCCTTTATCTTTACGGGACAAGGGGCCCAGTGGTACGGGATGGGTCGCGAGCTGGTATGCTTCCCCCCGTTTGCGGACTCGGTTCGACGATCCGCAGCGTGCCTAGCCGATCTGGGCTGTGCCTGGGATGCCTGGGCGGAGCTGATGCTGCCCAAATCTGATGTCGAGTCCAAGGTCAAGCAGGCCGAGTACTCACAGCCACTGTGCCTGATCCTGCAAATTGCCCTTGTGGACCTTGCCGCGTATTGGAACATCAAGCCCATGGCAGTAGTCGGCCACTCTTCGGGGGAAATGGCGGCCGCGTACGCCGCTGGTGCCCTGTCGCGTGAGGACAGCTTGAAGATTGCCTATCACCGCGGCCTCGTATCTAAGATGGCACAAGTGCGCAAACCTGGTGGCGGTATGATGGCAGTTGGGCTGTCGGTAGAAGACGTTCAACCTTATATTGCCCGCACTGGTGGTGCTATTGGTATTGCCTGTGTCAACAGCCCAGACAACGTCACCCTCGCTGGTGACAGGGCAGCTCTGGAGCAACTCAAGGAGGCCTTTGCCCAAGAAAAGACATTTTGCCGCCTGCTACAAGTCGAGAATGCCTACCACAGCTCGCAGATGCTTACTGTCAGTGCTGACTATAAAAAGAGCATTGAGGATATCTCGCCTCGACTCTCTGCCTCGTCTGTCGCATTCTACTCGACTGTATATGGCCGCTGGATACCGACGTCCGAGCTGACTGCAGACTACTGGGTTCAAAATCTGTGTTCAACTGTCCAATTTGTGGATGCTCTTGATGACATGATGTACGCAAGTGTTGGCAACAGACAGCCGAAGGCCAAATCGAAAGCGCCAAGTCTGTTGTTTGAGGTTGGTCCCCATTCTACACTCGCTGGAGCTATCAGGCAGTATAAAGCGAACCGTGATGCTTTGGAGAACTTGATATACGATTCTATTCTTGTGCGAGCGAAGGATGCATCTCGGACGGCAGTTGGTGCCGCTGGCACGCTGTGGACCATGGGAGTTCCGGTCAAGCTGGACAAGGTGAGTCGCACGCACAATGCAACGTTTAAAATTAGATGTGTATTTAACATGTGTCAAAAGGTCAATAACGTGCAAGATTCTGCCGGGGTCCTTACTGACCTGCCAACCTATCAATGGAATCACTCAACATCGTACTGGCACGAGAGCCGACAGTCTAGGAACCACCGTCGGCCCCAGTTTGCCAGACATGACCTGATCGGCTCGCGGTTAGAATCATACAACCCCATCGAGCCAGTATGGAAGAACCATTTGCGTGTTTCGGATCTGCCTTGGCTTCTGGACCACAAAATCCACGGCGATATTGTCTTTCCCGCAGCAGGCATGATCTGCTCTGCCGTTGAGGCTGCCAGGCAAATTGCGGCCACCGAGGGCTCTAGCGCCGATGTTTCAGGCTTCGAATTCCGAGAGCTTTCCGTGTCAAAGGCCCTAGTTATTCCAAACAATGACATTGGGGTAGAAGTTCATATCAACCTCAAGCGCAGAAAGCTCGGGTTGGCAGCGGTGTCGGGACATGGTTTGAGTTTTCCTACTACTCGTGCCAGGACAGTGATACGTTCGTCGAACATGCCGCCGGCCTTCTGCGGATCCAATACTCTAACAAGACCACTGAGGTTGATGGTGGCAGAGAAGACCGGGAGGAGATTGTCGCCTACAATGAGCGATGGAATTCCGAGCGACCATTGTGCCTGACAAGAGTACCACCATCGAGCCACTACAACTTTTGTGAGGAGCAGGGGCTCCAGTTCGGTAATTAATCCCCTGAACCTTTCCATGCGTCGCACAGTGAAACTAAGCATATTGCAACAGGGAAAACCTTCCAGGGTTTACGCAACGCTTACCAAAATGGATTGACGCTTGCCTTTGAGACCATGATTCAGGACACGCGCGCATGCATGCCGGCATTTAAGGAGAGCGACTATGTAATACACCCGGCAACGCTTGATGCCGTCTTTCAGTCCATGATGATCACAGTCCCGAGAATGGACACTGTTGAGAAGCAGGCCTGGGTCCCAACTAGTGCAGGCTATTTATTCGTTTCCAACGGTATTGATCGCAGCTATGGCGCGACATTGAAGGGTCTGGCCGAGTCCTCCCTTACAGGAGTGCGAGAAGTAACGGCATCTATACTCATCAGAGACAGGCAAGAGCAAGCCTTACTTCCTGCCGTCATCATTGACGATTTCAAATTCACCGGACTGGGGTCCATTCAAAAGATGCCTGAATCGTCGGATGTCCTATCCTCAAAGCTATATGCTGCCCCCGTTTGGAAGCCGGACGTGAAACTAATTGACGACCGGATGCTGCGGAAGATGAGTCGGATAGAGGATGATCATGATGGCATGGTCCGATTCTGCGCTATGTCTGACAGTCTTATCAAACAGATGTGCAGGCTTGCACTTGCAAAACTCGGGCCCAGTATCAACGCGCCTTTGCCCCCTCATCTCCTTAAGTATGCTGAGTGGATGGAGCGGCGGTGTGGATATAAGGCAACAGGCATCATAACGCCCCCAAACATTGTTGATATCTGCAAAACTTGTCATCCTTCGCTGGAACTACCTGATTTTGCTAGCTTCATTGAACAATACCCCGTCGATGGCCGACTTGCGCAACGCGTTTATCTTGCTCTGGGTGCCATTTTTGCGCAGGAGACAACCCCAATCGCGACCCTTCGGCAGGACGACTTGCTCGCCAAAGCATACCAAGACACATACGGACTACAACTACATTCTGAGCATATGCAGACATGGTTTGCGCTGAGGGCGCACAAGCAACCGACATTGCGTGTCATTGAAATTGGCGCGGGAACAGCTTCCAGCACACTACCACTACTGCAGCGGCTGAGTCAAGTTGGGAGTGACACGCCTCTCTTCTCGTCCTGGACATTTACCGACATCTCTGCCGGATGGTTCGAGAATGCAAGGACGGTACTTCGTGACTGGGAGGGACGCGTGGAGTACAAGGTGTTGGACATTGACCGGGATCCCATTGAGCAGGGGTTCGAGGCCGGCTCGTACGATGTCGTACTGGCTGTTAATGTACGTGATACTGCCATTACACATTGTACAAAGGAATATTGCTAACTAATCCAGGTCCTGCACGCAACCAAAAGCATCCACAGGACACTGCAACACTGCCATACACTGCTCAAGGCTGATGGCAACCTTGTCCTGGGCGAGTATACCAATCCCAATGACTTGGCCAGCTTCGTCTTCGGAATAATGCCTGGATGGTGGGCCGCTGAAGATGGCCGGCAAGAGGGGCCGTTGCTACGACCGTCTCAATGGCACGAGTCGCTTCTGGCAGCTGGCTTCTCGGGTGCCGACATATCTCTGGGCGATAATGATGATCCGACGGCTTACCGTTTGTCGACAATCATCAGTACGAAGACACACAAGACGTCATGCAGGGATGTGGTGATTGTAGTCCCACCTAGTTGCGGCATCTCTACCAGCACGCTTGCCTCAGACCTCTGCCGGCGCTTCCAACGGCTCGGCAACATGGTAGCCGTCAAGGATCTCACCACAGCAGTAGTCGAGGCAAGTGGTAAGTCAGTAATTTCGCTGCTAGATTACGAGGCGCCGTTCTTTCAGGATGTATCCAAGGATGATTTCGAACACGCCAAGCATCTTTTGCTTCACAGTCAAGAGCTTCTATGGGTTACACGGTCCGACCCGGAGGAGACCCCTGGCCATCCCGCAAAACGGATGATGTCTGGAGTCATGCGCTGCGTGAAAATGGAGGACTCCTCGCGCCTGCTTTACGAATTTCACTTGTCTCGTCTGCTGGACAGTGATATAAAGTCAACAGGTGCCGCAGTTTGCAAACGGCTCTGCACCATCTGGGATACTGCTACGGATGAGAATACAGTCGAGGAAATGGAGACGGAAGAGAGAGAAGGGCTCTTCCACATTCCGCGCCATATGCCATATACAGCTATGAATGATAGTCTCACATGCGCGACCCAGGCAGCAACCGTCAAGGCGCAGATTGGCAACCTTTGCCAGCTCGGCCGGCCGCTGAAACTGAGCATTGGGCATCCCGGCATGCTCGATACCCTTCATTTCGTCGATGATGACGCAGGTCTCCAGCCACTGAAGGAGCAGGAGGTTGAAATAGAAGTCAAAGCCTGCGCGTTGAACTTCTTGTGAGTAGCTAGATATAAGTACCGCGGTACGATTCAGAACTGACAAGAGGGTAGGGACATTATGATCGCGATGGGCCAGATCCAACGCCCTGACATCGGCCACGAAGCTTGTGGTACCGTGACTCGTGTAGGCTCCAAAACGACCGACCTCTCTTGTGGAGACCGTGTGCTCTTTGTCGGGCCTGGGGCGATGAGAACTCATATCCGAGCTCATGAATCGGTCGTTCAGAAGCTGCCTGACAACATGTCGTTTGAAGACGGTGCTTCTATTCCAATCGCATACGCCACCGCCTACCGGTCCCTTGTTGAGGTAGCGAGACTAGAAAAAGGCGAGTCTGTTCTTATTCATGCTGCCGCTGGAGGTAAGATACTTCTCTGACCACGTGGACCAATAAAGTATTGATCCCTCACACAAAATCTAGGTTTGGGCCAAGCCCTCATCCAGATTGCCAAGATGTTGCAAGCAGAGATATATTGTACGGTTGGATCTTCTGCCAAGAAACAGGCAGTTGTGGCTCTGGGAGTCGAACCGGACCGAATCTTCAGCTCGCGTGATCTTTCTTTTGCCAAAGGTATCAAGCGCGTAACAAGAGGTCGCGGTGTGGATGTTGTTGTCAATTCGTTGGCTGGAGAGGCTTTGCGCCAGAGCTGGGACTGCCTTGCACCATATGGTAGATTTATCGAAGTTGGAAAGAAGGATATCCTGGGCAACAGTGGACTGGACATGAAACCGTTTGTCAATAACACCGTCTTTGCCGGCGTGAACCTCGAGGCCATGATGATTGACGAACCTCTCCGCTGCCGCAAGCTAGTAGCGAAGGTACTGAAGCTTTTTGAACAAGGTGCCATCGACTATATCCACCCCATGACTGTTCGTGACTTCACGGAGGTGGAAACCGTTTTCCGCGAAATGCAACGAGGAAGTCATATTGGCAAGCTGATCCTCCAGGCCACTGCCGCATCGCGTGTGCCGATTCGCCAGAGGGCAGAAGTGCCCTTGCGCCTCAAATCAGACGCAACATATCTACTTGTCGGTGGCCTTGGTGGGCTGGGCCGAGCTCAGGCCGTATTTATGGCGGAGAACGGAGCCCGTCATATTGCGTTCATCTCCCGCTCTGGAGCTGCGCGAACGGAGGGGAAAAAGGTCCTGGACACACTGAAACAGGCAGGGGTTGAGGCCAAGGCGTACGCCGGCGATGTCGCTGACAAGGTTCAGCTGAGGAGTATCCTTCATGATATTTCCCATAGTATGCCACCTATCCGAGGTGTTATTCAGGGCGCAATGGTGCTTGCCGACAGTCTTTTCCACAGGATGAGCTATGACCAATGGGTGACTGCAACAAGACCCAAGGTGCAAGGTGGGTGATAATGGTTTTACTATACACACGCGGATACTGACACAGACCCCAGGCACATGGAATCTCCATGAGCTTCTCCCAACGGAGCTTGATTTCTTCATCGTTCTCTCATCGCTTGCCGGCATCATCGGTTCCGTCTCACAGGCCAATTATGCTGCAGGAAATACATTCCAGGACGCTCTAGTGCACTACAGACGGCAAAAAGGCCTCGCGGCCCAAAGTCTTGACCTTGGCATGATGAAGGGCATCGGTTATGTCGAAGAGCACCAGGAGGCCCGAGTGAGAACCAGTCAGGTCAGAGTGGTACGTATCATCCTTTTGGTATTTTCCTCTATTCTCTTGTGTTAACAGGGACATTGCAGACAAGCATTGAAGAGCAGCAGTTTATGCATGCCTTGCGATGTGCACTCTCACGTACGGTTGATGGCAACGAAGCTTTGGCGGCGCAGATCCTCGTCGGCGCAGGTAGCGGAGGCCTCCAGCAGCTAGTCAAGCAGACTGATGACAGTGCCGACTTTTACTGGCTACGGTCTCTGGCGGCGTTTTCTTATCTACAGCAGATGGATATCCAGAGGCAGGATGCAGCCGGTGGCGATGGCCAAGAGGAGACGAGTCACCTTCCCACCCAACTCACTCTCTGCAAATCAATGGATGAGGCCAATGACATGGCACAGCAACTCCTACTTGCCAAAATTGCCAAGCACATCTCGGTTCCCGCCACCGATATTAATACGGACAAGCCGATCCACGCGTACGGCGTTGATAGCCTGGTGGCAGTGGAATTGCGCAACTGGCTATCAATGGAGCTGAAGAGCGAACTGACCATCTTCGACTTGACGGGCAGTGACCCAATAAGTGAGGTGACTAAGAAAATTGCTAGTAGATCCAAGCTTGTGCCTATAGCTACCAAGGCGATGGCGCCAAACGGTTCATAGATTATTGCACAACGCAGCGAAGCGGAGCAAGCCTTCTCTATATATATTTTCACGCTAAGAATTCATGTCCGGTTAATATCCTACTTTCTATAGCAAATCGATGGCATAGGTATCCCCTTTGTTTGCTCAACCTGGGTGTCTGAAAACCCGAGCCAAGTTACCTGATCTATGGCAGCTCTTGCAGTCGCATTTTGACAGAATTATAGTCCCGTGAATATATTGCATACTTCATAATTCCATACAATATATGATTTCTCAACCGAAAGACTGTAATATATAAATCTAAATGTCCGAATATCAGCATGGTAGGCTAAGTAATTCACCGTGAAGAGAATCATTAGCCACTCTATTTGCAACATCATGTTTCATTGTTTGTAAATGAGGTGCTCGAAATCATATAATACGAAGAAGTTCAATCGAACAGAATGATTTAACGGATCCAACAATGCTTTCCCGTTAGCCTTCCTGTACCAACAGCTTCATCTGTTGCTCCAGGGCGTCCCACACTTGCACCGAGAAATTCCCTTGGAGCCAAGTTCCGCCGCTGTGATCTTTTGCAAGTATATACAGCGCGTCCAGGGACGGTACCGGTTCATTTGGGTCTTTGAAAAAGAAGTTTACCATCGTGCCACGAGGGTTTCTCCGCGTTTCCCCATCCTCTCCTACGCGCACCACCGCAGGAGCAAAGTCGGTTACTTTGATGATTTCGGATTTGGTAAAGGAGTTTAACCAAATCATGGTGGAGTCTGGTTCACCACAGAAGCGTACCACACTTTTGCCTGTGTCAATCTGCTTACCGAGCCATTGTACAAAGCTAGCAACTCGTGGCTCTGTCGTTTGCTCCATGACTTGCGCTCGGTGACTCAGAGCGAGCGGTGCAACCGCGCCGCGAGCTTCCTGCGCAGACAAAAGCGTATAGGAGAGCATGAGCATATTTTGCATATACACATCATCCAACCTAAGTAACTCCTTCAGCCGGTAACGATAGTTGATGATGCTCATGATTGTCACGGGCCTCGGCGTCGGCTGCGACAAAGCGACTTGCTGTGTGACCCAGGCTATCAGCGCATCAACTTCACTTATGTAAAGCTTCTTGTTAACGTCTGTCGCAATTCGAGAGACCTGGTCTTTGGCTCTGTTCACTAACAGGTCATACTTCACCTTAGGCATGTACATGGCTCGGAAGACCTTCGTAGGGCCAGTAAGCTTCTCCCATCCCAGCCGGCAGATAAACTTGGCTAACCGCAGGTTACGCAGATGACTGGGGAATAGCTTTTCCTGGTCCGAGTCGCTAGGAGGCAAATAAGAAAGAATATCATGGCGAGCTCCTGCTACAGGAGGCACCTTCTCCACTTGGCCGGCCATGACGAGTGACCAATTCCTTAGCAATGCTGCCCAACCGATACCGTCCATCAATGTGTGAGACCAAGCAAAACCGACAACTGTGGCATCGTGGAACGAGTGAATATGCAATGAAATTTGGGGCAGGTCGGCTGCGATCAAGGCGTCTAATGACGTTGGGAAGTCGTTGCGAACTTGTAGCGTACGGAATTCAGCACTGTCTGGCAGCGTCTGCATGGACGGGTCACCCGTGCGTGTTGGAAGCTGCTTCGCTATTGGATGGTCACTGATTTTCATTTCGGTCAGACAAATGTGCGTGTATGTGATAGCTGGCTGCTCAGCCGTAAACTCTGGCGGGACTTGTATCTGAAGGCGGCCGTCGGCCTGGGGGAGAGATCAGCAACATTGCTCATTCATTCGTCACGTATATAGATAGTACTTACGTCTCTTTTTAGTCGACCTCCCAGTTTTCTCCAGTCACCAATTTCAAGTAGCTTCGATAAGGAGTCGCTAAGCATGTCGGCATCAAGGGCATCATTGAAAACCATGACCATCGCCACGAACGTTTGACAATCTTTAATGTGATCTACGGGATGCACTGGATACATGTCTGGCTCATCCACGGACGGCTTTACCCCGGTGATAGGTTCTCCCTTTCCCTTAGCTCCTAAGAGCCACTCTCGTACATAGTTCATCGCTGGTGACTGAATATCCGGGGCTAAGGGAAGCAAAAGCAAAAACAGTATACCAAGGAAAATAATGTAGACTTGGATACCGCCTGGTAGTATTTGAGGAATTACTGATGCACAGTACAGAAAACTCCTATTATCCCCACGGCCAGGAGGGTGTGGTTATGAAAGTGGTAGTTTCACGGGCTTTGCTAAATTGGAAGGTATGGCGAAAGCAGTGACACCAAATAATCAGGAGACATGGTTTTCCCCTGGCATTTCCGGTAGTACCCAAGGGGGTCAGCATTGGTAGCTGGGGGTCAAGGACTCAGGGAGGGTCTGAGGCCCTCGTATCTCTACTGGGTTGGTGATATAGTAGGGGCAACAAGGGGTCGGAATTTAGGAATTATGCGGCGGAAGACGCCAGATTACAGTCAATATATGACTCCTTACGAACTTCTATCATGTCATACTGTATTTTAGAATACTCCTTACGAGAGTGGCCCGCTGGTCAGGTTCGGGTTTAAATGATATATCCCAGTAACATCCTTCTATTATGATTCACACTATACTCCCGCGAGGTATAGGTCTTCCTATTAGTATTGGCCACAGTATCCTTAACGGCACTTTTACGGAGAATTCTACTAGGATTAGATAAGACTGTTTGTTACTGTAAGAAACTTAACACATTTCCGGACAATTCTGTGTTGTGGTAATGAAGCCCAGCAAGGGATGGCAGATCCCGTCAGAGGCCAAGATGGAATGGAACCCACAGTCATTCAAGGAGGTAGATGCCGTCGACACATAACGGCCCAACGCCCTTTCACCTCAACCCCTACCGCAACCCCTTGCTTGTCCCGCTGTTATGTTCACGCACTTTCGATGTGTTCAGAGTAGGCTAGTCCCACATTCTTGGCAGGTTCGCCTTCATTGTCAAAATGATGCTGTGTGAGCCTAGCCTGTTGGACTGCTCCAAAGAGACCGGATGACTCGCTGAAAATAAGCTCGATTTCTTCCAGGGAGCGATTCCTTGTCTCTGGAAAGCAGCAGTAAGCTATGACCATGAAGAATGCGCTACAACACGCAAAGATAAGGTATGTGCGCCACCCGATACTGTTCAAGGCGATTGGGGTGATCATGACGACGATGAAGACAGAAGTCCAGTTGGTAGCTGTAGACAGTGCATTGGCTTGCACACGGGTTGCCAGAGGGGTGATTTCCGCAGGGTAGATCCAGGGGATCTGCGCAAATCCAAGTCCAAACGATATCATAAAAGTAAAGACAAAGACGGCAGCCACAATCCCTGTCGTGTACCCCTTGATCTTCTCGGTCACCGCGAGTGCAATCATTGACGCACCCATGCCACAGAGGTTGAGTAGCATAACCTGTCGCCGACCGACATATTTGATCAAGGGAATCGACCCCATGGCCGCGATGAATCCAGCGGTGCCGAGGCATCCGGACAGGATTTGGGAGACAAACGGTGTCAAGCCGATTTCGTTTTGGAAAATTGACGTCGCATAGAAAGTAATGACGTTGATCCCCGAAAACTGGCTCATGATTTGAATACTGATTGCCATGAGGGTTCGAGTACGGGCTCTTGCGGGCCCTTCCCGAAACACTGCGAGCCAATCTGTGGAAGCTTCGGCTTCAATAGCTGTATCAATAGCGTTCAGATTCTGCAATATGGCCTCGTCTCGGTCAGAGACGTCGTATAGAGCACCGAGAACTTCCGCAGCCTCCTCTCGTTGGCCCTTGAGTACCAACCACCTGGGTGACTCCGGAAGCCAGAGGATAAAGCCCATAACGAAAAACGCAAACAACAACTGCAAAGCGATGGGGAATCGCCATGCAGCCTGGCTTGGCTCTGCGTAGGAGAGACCAAAGTCGACCCAGTAGCTAACCATGACGCCCGCTGGGACCAGTGAGGTTTCAATTGCCATAATTGGCCCTCTCTGGTGTGGCTTGGTACACTCAGCTTGCCACACAGGCACGGTTGCCGTGTTCAGTCCCGTCCCTAGCCCACATATGACCCGGCCGATAATAAACTGTACGAGAGTCGATGCGGATGCCTGGAGGATGGCGCCAATCGAGACAATTAGGCATCCGAGAAAGAGAGGCTTTCGTCGCCCGAAGCGGTTGCCGAGCTTAAATGTGGATAAGGCGCCAGCCAGGCAACCTAAGTTGTAACAAGCAACCACGATGCCTGGTCAAAGTCACTACCAATAAAACAACTGCCGACGCTTTCACATACCTTGGGTGGTGGATCGGGTGTCCTTCTCTGCAGCTGTCATCCCGTCGAGACAAGCTGCAGTAGTGCATAGGGAAGGGAAGGTGTTTGTAAATGAGGGTAAATTCAGGATTCCCCCAACTACCCCTTGGTCATAGCCAAAAAGGCTACCGGTTCCATGAGTGACAAGCAGTCCAGTAGCGAGCCGTTCTGCACTTACAGAAATTCAGCACCAGCGACCAAGATAATCATTGTGGTCAGGCGAGTGCCTCTCAAGCCAAGGAACGCACGCTTCGTCATTTTTGTCAATGTGATCTGGTAGGTTGACGTTGTTAGAGACAATTGTAATGATGCATTGGAATCTTTTGAAGAGTGGACAGGATCATCTTGCTTGAAAGGTATAGATATATACAGACGTGAGTGAGGTGGATAAAGTCCGGGGGTCCCCACTACCCCAGATTATTTGCAAGGCCGTTAGACGACCCCAGGCTACTAGGGTATTGTATCTTCCGTGATAGTGCAAACTTTCTCTCGGTCGAGCACTGGATAAGTCCTCTCCGGGCAGACAATTTGGGCACAGTCGGATATTAACTACTTCTTAGGTCTTCGGCTTTGCGCCAACTCTCTACTGGTTACCTTTATGAGTCGTGGTCATTCATCAGAAGGACGTCTGTATTTTGAATTATTACGCTTAATCCCGGGGGAAGTGGTCCATCTGGGCAGTCAGAACAGTTTCGATTTTATGATTTACTTTCAATATCGGTGCATACTCTAAGACTCCAGGTTAATCACTCGATAGAATCTATAGAACCTATTCGTTCAGCCAGCCCTTGCAGAGGTGGCTGCCAGAGATCACCACCGTGCATTCGTTGGAGTAGTGGTTGTCCTGAATTGATACTATAACTAGACGATAGAGAACATATACGTGTTGCCCCAGAACAGTCCAGCTGTATCATGATCAGTCTGTAGGAAATGGGTCAAAGGTAACAGAACCAGTGATACATTAGCAATCTATCGGCTTTACTAACAATCTCCTGAGGGCTTTCCGTCAGGGTAGCTAATATGATGAATATAAACAGAATTTCGGTTTTAAAGGTGTTGTGATGTATTTTATATTTAGAGATAGTTACTTCATTTAGTATTTCAAAGAGTATCAATGCTGTGCATTCGCTGTACTCATCATCCATGTGCTTCCAGAGATATATATATTTCGATGCCATACCGGAACTAGCCCTATATCGCAACCCATCCGGCGTCCAAACAAAAAAAAGAAAAAGAGAACGAAAGACAACTCGATACACTCCTGTGGTTTTTCATTTTTATCGTACCAATCCAATACATGCCGACTTTTACCGATTGTTTAAGTGGAACGCCATAATAACAACAAATCCTGTGGACGTCCGCTTATACGGTGGCTACTGACGGCTGCGCTATACCCCAGGCCAAAGGGTTAGTTTGTTACAGAGTTTACCGATTAAATTCCGCTCAATTTATGTTACGGCCATAAACCAGCAAGCGACTGTGGCATCCGAAAGCAGCTGCCGACTGGCAACGATCGCTCGCACTCTTCTCCATATCCCAGATAAAGTTCTCCTACTGAACTTCGTTTTAAATTGACTGTACTGCGAAGTACTCCCTTTTCTGCCGGCTCATGGTGATTTCAACACAGGTCGATTGATCCGCAGTACTCTTATTTTCCATTCCCTTATCCGTTGAGTCGTTGCGCTTGCTCAGTTTTCGCATGACGTACCTGAACAAGACAAACATATAGCCATTCCGTAGAGCGTACCTGAACCATGAATGCTACAATATACAATGGAGATTGCTGTATCTAGGGGTTTATGTGAGCTGTACTATGTGGCTATGCCATGAATGGAATCTCTGATCGAATGAAGTTTGTGCGCGCTTCTATTATGGTCACGTCCATTCCCTACACTTTTAGTCCGGTGTAGTCAATTGAATGTGAAACAGAGTCTTACACAGAATGTGAATAATATATGGTAGAAGCTAAAGGGGCCGTAGTACGGTACCAGGATTATAGGAAGTGTGAGCCTACTAACTCCTAGGCTTGGACGTTAGATTCTCGGCTTCAGATTGGAGAATTCCACTTTCTCGCCGGTAACCAGACTATGTTGCAACGCCTCTGCGATTTGTAGAGATTTGAGCGCATCCTCTAAAGTCACAGGCATGGGGTTGTCGTAGAGGATTGAATCAGTAAATACCTTCACCCCATGCACAAAAGATTCCGCGTAGCGGGAAGACCAGCTGTCAGTCGGTTCGATTCTGATCCCATCTTTGTCGCAGACTCCACCTTATTCTGTCGACAGAGGAGGTTCACGGAGATTTTCCCGGAGGTGCCCACGATCTCAGTCTGGTTGTCAAACCCACGAGGGGAGGTCCTTGAGTTATAGAAGAAGGCGATCTTGCTATCGTGAAACTCGCAAATGCCGACCGCGTTGTCTGCGTCCATAGTCGTCGACAGTTCTTTATGATAGGATCTGAGTCCTGCGGCCCAAACGGCTTTTGGCCGAACATCCCGTCCAAAGAAGGACAGCACCAAGTCGATGTCATGAATGGTTGCATCGAGGAAGATCCCACCGCTTGCTTTGAGGTACTCTTTGTACTGTGGACTCGTGTCGAGCGTGTCGTAGGCCTGAGAACGAATCACTAACGGCTCGCCAATCTCCCCACGCCCAATGCGCGAGAATGCATCCAGGTAATTTTCATCAAATCTGCGCATGAATCCGACCATGACCTTTACAGTCGGATGGGCTCGGGCAACTGTGAGGAGCTCTTCTACCTTTGGCTTGTTAGACATTGCTCTACGGTGGAATTCCTCACATGGGGCCTGGACTTCCTGGGTCATACCTGACTGGTATTCTCAGCGACTGGCTTCTCGCAGAGCACATGGATGCCTCGTCTAATGCACTCAAGTGTTTGAGGCTGGTGAAAGGGTGTGGCGGAAGCTATCACTACCGCTTCCAGTCCCGGGGCATTCAACATATCTTCGAAGGACGACCAGATAGAAACGCCATAGGGGGCCAAGCTCTTGCCAGCCCAGTCCATATCAGCCTGCGCAGGAGAACAGGCGCATATAAGCTTGGCGGACGGTGTTCTGAGTAAATTCAGCGCGTGTTGACGGCCCATTCGGCCGATTCCGATGACCCCGACCCCGACTTGTCGAGGTCTCGCGTCGGATTGTCCAGCCTGTGGAGTCATGATGTACCACAGCTCTGCCTCGTTGAACGTTTTGCTAAATTGTATGGTTCCGGTTCTTCAGTAGATGAGAGAATGTCAGTAAATGCAAGGCCTGAATGACCATCCTTGGCAGTTGCAAGACATTTATGATTTAGTAGTCCCTTGCCATGGCTTGAAAGGCTCCGGATTACATGTAGATGATCGGAAACGTGCTTATCCGATGCTTACATGCGGGGCCATGCGCTAAATATTGGTGGTGTAATAGATTAGCCCTAGCTAGCGGAGAATGATGATTGATGATCTCCACGGTTCTGGCCTTTTACCCGTCACGGAGGCGGGTACAGCTCACTACATTCTATGGTGGATGCAATGATAAAAATTATTAATGGGAACCCTCGTAATTGGATCTTCTCGCTGGTTTAACGAATCTCATCTTATCGAGGAGGCGATGGTACTCTACATTATTTAGTGTTGAGGCGAGGTTGTTGGAGTTCAAAGTAAACAATGCTCAAATTGCAACTTGTGGCACACTCGCCGCAAGTCATCATAGAAGGACACCTCAGACCAAGAGACAGAAAGAAGAATCATACAAGCCTATGTACAGCGGTAAAGGGGCTACGTGCTAACTATGCCGTTCACAGGAGTAATGTCTCCATGGAGTTCAGTTCCTTCTGACATGGTTGCTTTCCCCTACACGGCTTAGCGACAGAGGTTTAGTTGATACCCCAGGAATAGATATACTTAGGCAGCTTAGCTCTACGCAAAGAAATAGCCATTTGAGCACCAAGAACCGGAAGTGCAGTGATATGAGGTAGGTGCGCCCTACTCCGGCAAAAGAACGGAAAACGAAGCACAAGATCAAGGATGATGGATTTGAGATGGTCGCAAAGCGCTCCCCTGTCCCAGTGACTACTATGGCAGGTATACACTAGGCGGAGTGATTGATATACACTGACTTGCCCTGAGTCCATTCTAGGATAGCAGAACTTCCTTTTTGGGATCCAATGCCCGACGCCTTCCAACCACCGAATGGTAGCTCGTAGGCGCCATCTGGCGAGGTGCAATTGACTCCAACATTACCGGCCTCAAGGGCACGCGCCACGCGCAAAGCCCTGCTGACATCCTTTGTGAAGACTGAGGCATACAGACCATCTGTGAGAAGCAAGTTAGACTTGACGGAACACTCGAAGTAATGGGTGAAGTGTTGGGGGTTCACCTACATTCAGTGTCGTTCGCACGCCGGACGGCCTCTTCTTCGGTGTCAAACTCATGTAGCACCAAGACGGGACCGAAGACCTCCTCCATGTCAAGTTTACTCTTATCAGGAATATTGGAGAAAATGGTAGGATGAATAAAGTTCTCCCCTGCATCCAAGGCTCTCTTCCCACCTACCAGCGCCTGACCGTCCTGCAGTCCCGCTTCTAGATACCTTGCCACGGCTGCCGCTTGCTTGCTGTCAGCTTGAGGGCCCATATCAGTGTTCGTTGTCCGAGGGTCCCCAAGCCGCAGGTTCAACATAAGCTGTGAGACCAGCCTTTTGAACTGGTCCGCGGCGGTCTTCTGAACGTACAGGCGAGAGGATGCCGTGCAAACCTGGCCTGAGTCTAGATAGAGAAAGGGGATTTAATTAGGACGGTCCGTAGGAAGCCTTTATGATACTTACTGAAGGTAACTGACTTGACAGCGGCGGCTGCCGTCGCTTCTAGATCAGCATCGTCGAAGACCAACAGTGGAGACTTCCCTCCAAGCTCGAGCGAGACAGTCTTCAGGTTGGACTTCGCGGCAGCCTGCATAATGGCACGACCTGTTCCGGTGGACCCAGTAAAGCTAATCTTCCTATATCGTGAGATGGGTTAATTAAGGTCTGGCTACATAGCTCGAGGCCATGAACCAACCTGATACGCATGTGAGCAGAAAGCAGGGCTCCAGTTTGGCCAGGACCTGACACGACATTGATAATTCCTGGGGGGAACCCAGCTTGATATGCCAGTTGGGCGAGCAGAACTCCCTGCATCCCATCAGCCGTGAGTCCACATAGTTTGTGGAGAAATTTGACACTGGGACACTTACACTCAGCGGGGCCTTTTCTGATGTCTATTTCAGACAGCGTATGATTAGCCAACCAGTTAACCCTCTTTGACTAACTGTTGCCAACGAGTACTAGGTGTTCACCTTCAATATAACTGCATTTCCAGCTCCAGATGCGGGTACAACATCATGACACCACTGTGAACGTAGGATGGTCAGCTTCCATATACGGAAGTTCTTGGATTCTATTCACGGTGGGGAAGGAAAGCGAAACATACGATCATAGTGGGAAAGTTCCAGGGAATGATGGAAGCCACCACGCCAAACGGCTGTCGCATGGAGATGTTAAGGGAGTCTGGCGAGTTTAATGAGGTCTCACCGTCCGCGATCTCAACAAGGCCGGCAAAGTAGTTGGTAATATCGCATGCTTCCTGTACATCACCGAGGCCGTCATGCAGAGGCTTCCCCATACAAATCGAGTCGAGCTATCGAACCGAGGACGGATGTTAGCAATTCTTCCGATCGTTTAGCTAAGACTGTTGCGCAATACCTCACTCAACTTGTGTTTGTTTTCATCCATAAGAGCGGCAAACTTTCTAATAATAGCAGCCCTCTTGCGGGCAGGCAGTCTAGCCCATCCAGGCTGAGCCTTTTCGGCTGCTGCGACTGCTTTGTCAATATCATCCTCCTCGGCGATGGGAATGTTCGCAACCAACTCATTGGTTGCCGGGTTCTGACAATCTAGAATTAGTCTGCCATTCCATCCCTGAAGGATTGGAGGTGACTCACGAGTAGGGGAAACGTGTTTCCCTTGGAGGGCTCCACTAGATCGCCATTAATGAACAATCTCGATTCGTACTTCGACATTGTGATCAGTCTGCGTTTTTCTTTTCGTACGGGATAAAAGACCAATAAAACAAAGAAGACTGTGGGATAGGCAGTATTGTCAACACTTCTCTTAGTCCCTCGCTGTCAGTAGTGTATAAAAGACAGCGAGGGTGTAGATGCAGCTATATAGGTCGTATAGAATTGACAATGCTCGTATACTGTGTACTATCCTGGACTCCACCCGCCTGCAGATCCCGAGATCTTTGCCGACTGGCATTAGTAATGTTAGTGACTGCCGGCTAAGGAGTTTTACCGGCTGATTAAGGACGGGGCCTAATTCCGCGCTGAGTACTAATCCTGATACTAACTAGTAGTTGTCCTAGTATTGTCCAACCAGAAAGACCTGCTTCTAGATGGCAGGACGATGTCACCAAGGGAAATAACGAGTATTCTTCACAGTGACAGTAGGCTGGGCTCTAGTCGACCAAGTAGCCCTCAGCTCCAAGGCAATATCCGTGAGAGAACTGAGATAAGTATGTGCAAAGACCCCTGGAGTTCCCTACGAGAATACTAGCATGGTTTAAAATCGACTCAGTATTCTTACACTCTCTAGCATACAGTTAAGAATTGACATGCAATGCGGTCCAGTCTGACAACTAATTACTCGTCGATGAGCTATGACAAGATATGACACCAGGCATAAATTCATCAATTATCTGGCGTCAGAAGAAGATCGCGTATGGGATGGGATGTCTTTTGTTTCGACCGAGGTGATTACCGTGTATTCTTTTTGCAATAGAGCCGACCGGAACCCTCAGAGAGCACTTACAATACATCAGTTCTCGGTCTAGAAATGTTACTTCAATTAAATTGTAGAACCGAAGAAGTCGAGTTTAAGCATTGGTACACCTAGAGTGCAACAGGTATAACACGTTCCTAGACCAGTTCCCAGTACTACCTGAGAACAGCAAATGATGTTCGGGGTAGGTGTGTCATTTGGTGCGTGGATTGGGCATTGCCCACAAATGCTATTTTCTTCTTATTGTTCTTAAAATATTCTCAACATGATATCTTTGTGGTACAATGCAAGCCATCCGCACTGAATATCGAAGTGGAGTGTTGTTGCTAGAGAGCAACCGGGCTTATGTAAACTGGTAGTAGTAACTTTCAAACCCCTCTTTAGACTTGAACCTGCTATCCTCTGGGAGCTTGCAGCAATTATACCACCCGTCTCGACCATCACAACGAATAGATAGGCCGGTGATCCCTAGCAGCTTAAGCTTAGGTGATCAAAATATGGAGAGCAGGTCTCACAAACGTATCCGGGTACTCCAGGCCTGTGAACCATGTCGGTCAAAGAAAGGCAAATGTGACGGTCAACAACCGGTATGCAAGACTTGCAAAAACCTTGGGATCGACTGCACATATGACCCAAACCCAAAGAAGCGCGGTCTGCGGCCAGGCCAGTGCTCTTCCCTGGAGCGCCGCGCCTTACTCCTGGAATTGCTTACGGCATATTTGATGGCCCGAACACCGGACGCGGAGGAGACCGTTCGTTCGTTCTTCTGCAAACAACCTGACTTCTCGTTTCTCGAGCCAGGAGCCAGGCGGACAGAGCTCGATGAGCTGTTCAATCGATGGAAACAGGGGCCAATATCACAATGGTTGTTCCAAACGGCGAGTGCGACTGATCCAACTCTAGACCGACTATCAAGGTTCCGTTCATCGCAGGAGCCAGGACCTCGACTAGCCAAAGTCACAGGCACAGATCCTCCGCATACACGAGCTATTAATGGTGAGTGCTCATACCGATTGCCATATTCTAGACGCTAGAATAACTCGCTGAGCTCCAAGAAGAAGGTCGTAGCCAAGCCACTCAGAATGACGAGATTGCGATGGGAAACTCTTCTTCAAACGCTACCTCCACCCTCCGGCTTCCCCATGAGACAGAGGATCTATTCGAGATTTATTTTGCGTTCACGCATACATGGCTTCCTTTGATCGACAAGTTTAAAATCACTGCGTTTGCTCGTAGCCTTGCCTCTTCTCCATCATCTTCCGAGCTAGGCGCAAGTCAATCAGCCAATCTCAGTCTAATATGGGCAATGATAGCCTATGCCTCATTGCATGCTCCCGAGTCATACTGGGCCAAAGACAGTGATAACCCCAAAATGACGCCGATAGTGGCTGCCAAACACGCTCTAGTACTTCTTCCGGGGTACGATGCGAAATTCGAACATGAGCACGTACAGGCATTAATTCTGCTGGCATTGTTCCACTTCGAGTATGGAAGTCAGGACGTGTCTTGGCTTCTAATAGGACTTGCGGGTAGAGCTGCTGTGGATCTCAGCACGCTCAATCCAAATCAACACCTATCATCGATCAGTCGACGAACATCACTTGCCTGTTTCGTGGTAGAAGGGATTATTGCAGCCGCCTTGAATCGAAAATCTCAACTCCCTTCCCTCTATAGTGGGGCAACAGAGGGGATGAAAGATACTCTAGCCGGAAATATCTGTCAACTGGAGGAAGAGGGCTGGGAGGAGTGGAGTAGCTGGGAAATGCCCAGTTGTAGTGATACAGCAATGCGCTCCTCAGCGCCGAGCAGGAAAGATCCGTTTCGAGTGCTGTCAACCTTCAATCAGGCAGTGCAATTAGTGGAAATCCTCAATAAGACAACATTGTGCCCGGGCTTGCTAACAGGAACGAATCCTCCTGGGACAGCAGTACAAGATATCCACGGTGGGCCCCCGCAACTGGCGGCTTGGGTACAGCGGATCAGCGATTCCCATCCATTCCTGGCACCACAAAACTTGACACGTCAACCGTCCCTACAGATTATCAACTTGTATTGTATCTATTGGATCATTCGCTGTTTGGTCAGCCAACGACCCAACATAACTGGACACGATAGAGAGCATTGCGAGGAAGATCCGCGAAAGATAGCATCTGCTGTCAGTGATCTGGCGATGAAATATCAATCCGCGTATCCCGCAAGTTCAGCCCCATTCGCACTTGTAGTGTCAATAACAACCGCATTAACCTTATTGTCTGCCAACGATCCCTTGAGTCGGTCGTTGTGGAAGGTATTATCTGCAATACGACAGAATTGGAAGACGAGGATAGAATCTGACGAGACCAATCCGTCTCGCCAGATCGCGGATCTCGAGGCAACCTCCGCCAGAATAAGCGAAACAAGGCAAACGGTAATAATATTCCACTGATCTGTCCTTGCCTTTAAGTCCTTGCTAATACTTCTGGTCGTGGTAGTTTCACCAGAATCCGGGCTATAGTTTCCACACCTTGTCGGACCACCGAGTCCTGGGAAGAAACTACCATGGAATCCATGTATCTCGGCAACCGACATCTAATATCACCGCCATGAATCTGTCCAATACTCTGGAGGTTGATATGGCCGGTGCTGATCCAGACGAGACGGCGTCTCTATCAGCACGGGATTTAACCTCGTTAGATGCTGCAGTGTGGTATGCATTCCGTTGACGGTCCTACGTCGTTTTCTATGATCTAAATTATATCCAGGGACGATGAGCTCTTCACGAGAAACTTGGGTTTCATACATGATTCGCAGTCGGCACTAGACCTGGACTTGAATCATATTTTCGACCCACCTACATGAACTCGGCGACCCATTGCTGCTAGCTGGGAAAGCAGGGTGTTCAGCTTTTGCCTCCGGGGAAGATGGAGAGATAGAGCTGGTGGTGTCCTATACACAACTCTATCATATAATATAAGCTTAGGTCTATTTCGCTACCTCACTGGCCTTCCGGGACCGGCGCAAGAACAACGCCTCGAGTCTTCACCATAACACACAACAGGGGTCGGTCTGCTCACTTAGCATCGTTATGCAATTCGGTTTGAATACGATGAAGCTAAAGATAGAGCCCATAGCATTCATTTCATTTTACGCCTGAACCTACCAGGAGTGACCTCAGCCAACTAGGTAGGCATGCAGATGCCAGTCCTAGTACTACCAGGAACAAGACTGCGATAGAATCATCTTGGTATCCAATAAAAGATGAATCCTTCCTACACTGGGGAAACAGTTATTGGACAGTCTTTGTGCTGCGGCCCTAGTGTCGGAATATGGGCATATCCGGTAAAGAACCGTCGAATAGTGGGAGGACAGATAACCAGGATGAAATTCATACAAGAGCAGTACAGGATGTTTAAAAGTTCCTGCAACCCAAGTATCATGTACTTGTGCAAGTCAAGGTTCTATGAAATGACATGTGTAACCGAGGGAGGAATTTGCAAACAGTACGGATGCTACTCAATATCTATAGTTGAAGGTCATAACCTTGCTCGTCAACGTATTGATCATTCTCTCCTAGTATACACATATGCATTATGCCCTATTGCATGGAGAGTGTTGCCTTGAGCTTGGCTTAATATAAATTTCAGCATACCGCGTAGTCCACGTGCCACTGTTTCATGTCCCCGATAGCGAAAATATGAAGCCAAGGTTTCTTCTGAATTGGTTTTCATCGTGTCTATTCAAGACATTTGGTATTAGCAACCACATCCTAGACAGGAAAGTGGTGATACTTGCATCTCTATATCATCCCAATCATTAGGATACGCTAGTCCTGCATCGTCTGGAAATTCGCCAACCGATGGAAGATCACAACTGTCACTCGTAATAACAGTCGATTGCGCTGCTTCCGGAGATGATTCGTCATTTATATCTCGTTGCTCCGGGAGTGGGTCAGCGTTTATACTTGGCCAGGGCCCTGATATCTCCATTAAAGAGCTGAACTGCTGTTCTGTGCGAAGGCTTGGATGCTGCAGTATGATGTCGGTGCTGTTGTCGATGGCGGGTCCGCTCTTTGACTGCTACGAGACACAAATGTACTTTAGCAATGTGTTGAGTGAATATTAAATCCTGGACAGCGGCTCACGGTGATGCTAAGAGACACTTGCACTTACAGCTTTCCCATTGATAGTGATCTTCTGGCCATAGATATCCGGTCGGGGCTGACATGTCAGCTCTCCACTGTAGGTTTTCTTCAGATCAACCACAAGATCACATATTAGACTGGCCTCTACTATCTGCCGGGGCAGAATAATCTTGAGTAGATTGAATGACGCTGGGATTGCCTGGTTGTCAAACCGACCGAAGAAGCCCTCCATAGCATGAATCAATATCTGCCATTCTTGACCGTGGTTCCAACCCATTGGCAGTCCTGCTGATGTGGGGTAGCAAAGCCTTGTGCGCAAGAAAGCCTGTATGATGTATAGGTTGAGGATATTTGGTGGCAGAGACGCAGAGGCTGTGGAGAACACATCCGCGCCATGGGATTTGATATGCTCTGGCAGGCTCTCGCGCCAGGATCTCAGGGCTTTCTTGCATGCTTTATTCTGTTCCTTTGTGGTAGCGAAAATCCAGTCATTCTTGATACAGAGTAATTCAAGAAGCCTGACAAATACAGTCAATGTATGCGTTGGTGCCGCAAATTCCGCCATATCAGTCCCCACGCCTGGTAAGAGCACGTCTTGAAGGTGCCAGGGCTCCCATTCTTCATTACCTGTTTTGTCGATCGCAAGGAATTCCTGGACATCTCTTGACCGAATCCAAGGACTAGTTTCAGTATGTGCTGATATGAGAGTGTCAAGGGCGAAACATCCGAGCCAGGTGCGTCGATGGTATTCGGGTTGGCACTTGTCGGGCTGATTCAGTCCAATGCGGCTGGCTAGCAAGATGGCCTGTCCAACAACAACGCGAGCAATGTTCCATTCGCAGCAGGAATAGTGAACTAATCCAAGAATAAGAAGGGCTTGTACATGCCCTACTGAATAGTCGTCTTCCTTTTCCAGTGGTATGGCTTTTCGAGCTGCCATGTAGAGCTGATTGGGATACGATGTGTATTTGGGAAAGAGGGTGACTTGATTTGTTGAGTGGTCCTGTATCATACTTGCATAGGTCAATATAGCCCATAGTAGTGCAGTCTCACCAGTTCTCCTTTTCCTAATTGAAAGAATGGATGAAGTTTTATAATAAGCGAAGAGGCTTCTGTACACAGCATGACGCTCAACTATTGGTAGCCAGCTGTGTACCAGGGAGAAATATCGACTCAGCAGCTGCATTGGATTTCGTGGAAGCTCGGGTAGTACATCTTGGGATGGCTGATCAGTAACGATAGACCTCTCTTCCACCTCCTGATTCTGATGGGTAGCAGGACTGCCGATACCCCTCGTCTCATTTCCTGCCTCCTTGGAACATCGTAGGCAAGCAACTCGAACTGTGGCATTGAATTGGCTCTGGGGCGTTGGAGGAGGAAGGTCCAGGGTGCTCCAAGTAAGATTTGTATCTTTCCCCTGTGTAGATAGATTCAACGGTGGTGTTGTGAGGTCGTCATCATCCATATTGTCATGGGCTGATAGTAGAGCGTCTATCGCCTGGGGAATTTTGCTCGACTTCCACCTCTCCCATGGCGTCTCCCCGCCATTGAGATCATCCTGTATGTCCTCTTGGGTCCAGAAGCGCTTCCTCCAGGTGTTTGCAATGAGTTTCTCTACCGTAGTTTCGCTTCCCTCGACCGACTGGAAGACTAGCCCCATCAGGCATTCCAGAGCACGAACGTAGCCGGTTCGAAGTCCCCGCCGTCGTATCGCCGTCCCGTATGAACACGGCTTATCGGCCTTAATACATGTATCGCATTGAGGCAGGGCACCATTGCACTTGAGTTTACCATGGCGGCATCGATCACAAGCCTTCGACACTCTTCGTCTTTTCTGACGGTGTGTTCGCTCGTCCTCGTCGGTTATAGGCATTGCTTCAGCTGTAGTCTGGCGTGTCTGTTCGCGAACGTTTATGTTAACCTAGGAAGACCCGTGATTGTTATGCCCTGGGTTGGCTGTAGCCATCCTCCCGCCGCCGCCCTCCTCGGAAGCTCGCTATACTCTAAAAGTGTACCAGCCATTGCCATTCCATGCTTATCACGCCTTCAGCGAATATACGCGCATTCTCCGCTGCTCCAATGAGGTCACGGCTGAGCCGATGTCCCCACGTTTTCCGCCGTTAGGTCTAATCAGCATCCGTACGGCAAATCAGTATATCCGGAACCTTTGCATGAAATCGACTTGCTCAAGGACATGACAGCCTTGCTAACGGATTCTGGCTTCGGAGACACCAGTTATTGTTGGTAAGCTTTTGAGTGGGAAAAAAAATCCATTATATATACTACCAGTACTATTGGGAACGAGAAATGTTGCAACGGTGTGAAATCCCTAACAAGAATGCAGGCGAACGATATCCAGCATTCCCTTAATGAGGATATTACCCAGCCTATACTGTCACGATCCATGTACTAATACCGTCTTGCATTAGCGCTGTCAACCGATACATAGGATTTCCATGGGAGGAGTGGAGTCCTGCGGACCGGTAAAGCAGAATAGCCGCCCTACACGGTTCCATAAACTTTTAACCATGGATAAAACAACGCATACGGGGCGCCCGAGGAAAACGAAGTTCTTAGCCGTGGCCTTCGGTGCTATATGGAGAATTACCCGCTCCTTGGCGACCAGTATGCTGGAGCTACCTGCGGCTGGTAGGTTGCGTTCCTGCTGAGTGTGCAGGCTTCGTGTCTATGTGTAGTATGGAGTAGGTTAAAAAGTAAACTGCCGTAGGCACCACGTATTTGATACAAACGCAGGTACATATAAGTATATCTGCGTTTTATCTCTCCTCGAAAAGATTCCCTACCACACCTTGTATCAGCATGTCGCAACCAGTGAGTGATTCGGTGTAGTGCACTTGAGGCTAAGCTGCTCATCACAGACTTTTAGACTCATAATCGCGTCTTCAACCATGTTGCCATCTCGGTTCCCGACTGCAAGGCAGCATCAGAGTGGTACAATAAGGTATTCGGTTTTCAGTTAGTCGGCAATCAAATCCACCATATCGCGCGCAGCGAACGACCAAACGATCCCATCTTTAGCATTTACCCTGCATCCCTAAACGAAGTCAACATGGCCTACATGACCACTGGTAACGGCATCGGTTTCGAGATCTTCGAGTTCTGCGACCCGAAAACATATGTACCGGACACAGCGTTCGAATATCATCGAGGGGGCTTCTTCCATGTCTGTGTGACTGATTCAGACCCGGACTCTCTCGCTACTAGGATGGTCCACGCGGGAGGGAAGAGGATCGGGTCCACTGTACACCCGGTCAGAGACGTTATCTGTCTGTATGCATCTGATCCATGGGAGAATGTGGTGGAGATACTCGATGCTAGCTTCGACCGGATGGCGACCCTGGCGTCAGCTGGGAAGAGATGATCGCAAAATGAGGAATAGACGCATGAGGGTTCCTGATATTCCTGCAGAACTGCTCTTCGATGATCTTTGTGTCTGGACATTGGATCTTGCCAGAACATGTCAAGTAGAACGTATGAATACTCTTTAGGCTCATAAGTCGATTATCTTGTGGTTCTGTTCCCTACGTTTTTCGACACTTCCTCATCTCCCGTGTGCCAAGGTGAGAGTGGACAGCTTCAGCAAACAACTAGACAAGCTGGGCAGCCACGACTGGGATTAGATAAACGAAGGTACTATCTATTAATAACCCATGACTAGGTGGTGTGCATTGTTCCACGGACGCAGACCGAGGGACAGATATGTTCTAGATGGCCCTATCAACTCCGGTGGAATTCGTAACACTGGCAATCAAGCAATTGTAGCAATTGCAAGGTTAATGTCCATGCATTCTACACTATGAAAAAAATTCATATACCGGGTTGTGGCATTGTAAATAAGACAATTTTTAATTGTTCTTATCTAAAAGATTCTATCTCGACAGTTACTAATCTAGTACAGGACAAGTACATATTGTAGGCTGTCATTACCGCAAAGGGATAGTAGGGTAAAGCTTGTGTTGAAAGAAACTAGAATGTTGTGTCTTAGTGCTTCCGATACTATTTATATTGAATTGAGTAACGGATTGCTACTAATATTTCTCAAAGAATGGTGGCCATATCATAACGTTAGATGAATATATATCTTAGTATCGGCCGGCGTGTTCAACAGACTGTTTTGACGTCAAACCCTAAAGACTGCTGACCAACTTAAGACGATAGCTGTCAGTACTCATTAGTACTTTTGATTTTAGTTGGATAATCTGGTTAAATTAACCAGCGGTGTGACTCTTCCTTCCCAAATTCTATACATAGATTTTGTTACGCGTTTTATGAGTGAAATAATTGGCCAACCCTTACAGCGCCTTGGTCCACGGTCTCTTGTTCAGTATATCCGTACAACGACGACCAACCTCCTCAATTGCCATGCTGATTACTATACCCTGTAGGGAAGCCGCCCCTTGCATCCACGCGGTGACCATAAAACGCAGATGCTAACTAATAACTCGCTCATGATTGGAATGTCGACGCGTCAGGAATGTTCCACATCGTTGAACTAGACGTCATTGTGTTTATTCCAAATGAGCTCCTATGAATATATTCGGCCGGCCAGCTTCGATTGCGGTGTTCCATTCTGTCACATAACACCGGTGTCCCAACATGACATTAAGAAGCGCCATTATCTCCGCCTTCGTGGCCGTCAGTACATGTATACTAGAGCCCCTTCCAACTGCCTAGGGAAATATCTGACACTATTGCGCCAGTCCTGCCCAGCTGCCACGCACAAGCGCCTGAAGCAGTTGTCTATAACGAGCCAGCTACAGGAATTACCTTCGATACATGGAATGTGCCCTCGAGCTCAAAGGCTGGTGGGCTAACATTCGGCGTAGCGTTGCCTAGCGATGCACTCAAATCAGACGCTACTGATTTCATCGGATACCTAGTAAGCCTTGCTTGTCCCATCTTCCCCATGCTGCAGCGCAAGCTAACTAAAATAGCACTGTGCGGCTACCGATGAGTCTGCGGCAGACGGCTGGTGCGGTATCACACTGGGCGGCTCCATGACGGACGCCTTATTATTCGTTGCGTACCCAGATGGCGACACCGTGCGGACCTCCCTACGTTTCACCTCGGAATACGCAATGCCTGGCGTATACAGCGGCAATGCGACCGTAAAGCCGATTTCCGCCACTGCCAACTCGACAGGTTTCTCGTTGATCTTCCATTGCCAGGACTGTCTGCATTGGTCGCAGGGTGAGACTACTGGTAGCGCATCTACCAGCAGTGGTCTCTTGGACTTAGGTTACGCGCAGTCCGTCAAAGCACCGAGCAATCCATCCTGTGCGGCCGAGCTGAAGCTTGTTAGACACGATCTACAGGGCACGTGGACGGCGATGCTTGATGATCATGCTGCGAGCGATTCCTACGAGAAATGGTCGGCTCAAGCGAAGGATGCAGTTCCTGACAAGTGCTCTGCGTAAACATGTTACATTGTTTCTTCTCAAACAAGTTGTCTGGGTTGCGGCTTGTTCCCATGCGGATTTCTCAGGTTACAGCTGACTCCGATAGCATCGGTATCACGGTTAGTCTGGATATACCGTTCAATTAGCCAGGGGAGAGTAAACTAAATCGGAATATATTATTTTGACTTCATCTTTTGGGGAGTATGCATATGGTCAAATGTAGTATTACATACCTAAATCCAGCTACCATTACTAAGTCTGTTTGTGATGTGTGGTAGAGTGTTTATTAACGCGCCAGCTTTGCTCTGTCCCTCTGGTCTAGGGTTATCATAGCATCTGTAAATAAAAGTCTCGGAGGGTTTTAGGGTTGGAAGGCTAGAACTCTACTGCTGATTCATTGCTCTGTTGATCCCAAGTGTCTCTATGAAATTTCAGACTTAACCTCCTGTCGTAACGTTTGTAGGTCGAATAACCCGATCCAGTGTCCAAGAGGGTCTAGCGAGCCGGAGCTCAGCGGTGCAGCCATTGTACACAGCCGGGGGACTTATACATACAGATAAAATAGTCACCGACTTAAAATCCAAATCAAAGAGCCGCATAAGAAGATAACTGAGATAAGTGACAAGCCGGCAGGTATGGTCCAATAAGGTCCAGTCTGATGTTCTGGTTGGTGTTCTATTTCCATTACAGCTGTTATTGCTTTGCCTGCTGTACCTTGTATACCACCGTACACGTGTCCGATTGAATATATATCCATGGAATTCCCAACATTGAAGCACCAGCAAATGGCAAGCTGAAATTACGAAAGGAACGCAGGGCACATCAATTCTGGAAGCCTACGTAGTGATATGCTACAGCACAAAGGGGGTAATGGCGAAAACCTCCAAGGTTGGCTTTGGGACATGGGGAGGATACGGTGCGGTGGGAAAGAAAAGTTCCACCGACGCCCAAGGCAGACGTTCTGAGGACTCCACTATGATGTCGACTGTTCTCCACATTTGCGCGGTCCCAAACTGGTTTGTAGATCTTGATTCTGAGACGAGGGAGTAGGGAAACTTGGGCTTCCTGGACAGCTTCGACGACAACAACAGTAGTCTATGCATACAGTACAGGTACTTTCGCGAAAGAGGCTTCACTGAGAGGCAGGTGTACATACAGTACGGACAAAGTAGACCGTCATTTACTCAGGGCTATGTTTTATACAATGTCGTAGGGCATCTGGAGGTATAAATCTCGACCCACGCGGATCAGGTGGTCTGTGCATAAGCGCGCGTTGTTTACCAAATGTCCTCAAATGGACCAGTCACACGACCCCCCTATTCCACAATTTCTAGGCCGCCTTGAAGATGTTCCGCCCGTGGATCACACTTCCTCGACTCCCCCTACATTTTCTTGCGAAAGGTTATCCAAGTGCTGTCAGAAACCATGCCTCGTGTCGCCAAAAGGCTTCGGCCAAGACCCCTCGCAATGCCGCAGACCCTAATGGCCGCGTGGTTGTGCCCCAACCTCCTAGCGGCACATCCCACATGCCTGACATGCCTGACATGAGGCCTGGCGATGAAAACACCGATACAGTCATTCTGTCGCCAGGCAAATCTACTCAGCCCATGGTCTCTACGGCAGGGACAAAACGGAAAGCCGACGCGTCAGAGCACAAGGAGATAGAGATAGACGATGAAGACCCGCGTCTTGATGTGATGAAATGGGACTGCAACCAGATTCGGCGCAAAATCAAGAACTTCATTGAATCCAAGGAGATGAAAATCGGCGAGTTCCAAGATACGATCAGGGTTTCGTCACGGAGCTATAATGCATTCCTCAACTTGAGTGGCAAAATGAGAGGGAGCGAGTCCAATACATACGCCTACGCGCACCGGTTCTTTGCCAAACGGGAGCTGCAGGGCATTAAGGAGCGCAAGAACAAGCGAATCAGCAAGCAGGCGAAATTGGACAGCGAGAAGAGGTACGATGTCAGCGGTATCCACCTTCCCGGGGAAGAGGAATGCAAGGTAATGGTCTTCGATACATGCGACGAGGTCCGGAAGAAGATCCGTGCTTATCTGCGGAATCCTAATGTTACTAAAGCCGGCTTTCTCCGGGAGATTGTGAAGGCATACCCGCCAGAACAAGATGTGAAGTTGCAAGGCAACTCTTTGACCCGGTTTCTGAATATGGCCGGTCCCAATGCGGGCAACACGAACGCGGTCTTCTACGCCGCTTATGTTTTTTTTGAGAAGTTGCGTATTCGTGATGACCGGCCCAAGACCAAGTTTCGGGAAGAGATGGAAAAGATCTGGGGCCGTCAGGGTGGATTCGATACCACAACCGCTCGCCATAGGGGAGTTTGGTGCCATGAGAGCGAATTTGAGTATGTCGATAAGTACGGTCGGGGGTTCGGCAGGAGGAAATGATCCATACCTATGCTCAGATGTATGAGACTCCATACTATATTTTCATTTTTTGTACTTTTATCTCTGTACAATTCGTTAGGATTATGTGTCTCGGGACCCATGGAATGTACACGCTACCATTGACTCTGGCCTTTTTTTCAATTTTTATTTTGCTTTCCTTCTTCATTTTCAATTTTTCCCCTCCGAGCAGAGTCTTTATATGGTATGATGGTCTACGAATTTAACCTCTTGTCAACCCCATACTTTCCTCCAGCTCGCTACAATTCTGGGCCAAGGACTGACCGGGCTATGCTTAACGATCGAGCCTATGTTCCTATATCGTGGTGCAATGCAACGCCTTCGTACATCACTTCAAGTTGTCAAAATCTATTGTGGCAATATATATTTGTAGCCGACACCAAGCAACCGGGACAAACATTTGTCTGATATTAACTACACGTAAATCCTCAGTCTTCTTCACGACTGGTTTTATAACCATCAGCCACTTGTCTTCTTTCCTTTCCATATCTTAAGCAGTACCGACATCGATGCTTGCATCCGGTAAAGCGAAGGTCACATGATGAGCTATATAGACTAGGAAATGTTCCAGAAGGTTGCCTATTCTGGCAAGATTATGGCACCGCTGAAAACGTGGCCTTAGAAGGCAGCTTCTATGAAGGCTAACAACGTCTTTTAGATCGTAATCATGTACCAAGATTGGTAAGATGTTCTGTTTGATCAGAACACGAATGCTATGCTACGTGCTACTCTATACCATGTGAGGGCTTAGGGCAACGAGCGAAGATTAGTGGAGTGTTCTGCAAAGTCCTCAGCTATGAGGGAGAGTTTGTTGGTTTGCTGATTGATAAACACGAGTCCCTAGAGGTCCTTCACCTGCCAATCCGAGGAGTGGGTTCTGGGATCTACAACGATACGAGGATTATCCACTTTTCACGGCACAATCTGCCTACCTCGTCGACTTGGCAGACACATTCTTCCCGTATAGACATGAGATGCCAAGGATCTAACGGGGGAGATGAGGCATATACGAGGAGATCATGGGGATCATGGACACCCGGTATGCTATAAATACTCAGCATGATTCCCATTCAAACCTACTCTGCTATGGTCACTGGTCCCCTTCACCCTTGCCGTTTCACCTACCATGGCTTCCCATATGGATATTCACAGGGCAGTCCGCTCTCCCGTGACTTTGTTCATTCTACTGTCGTATCTCATGATGATCCCAGGCGTCTTGGCGATGAATTTTGTGTCCCGTGAAGAGTGGAAGGCACGCGCGCCAAAGGAAGCCTACAAACCAATCACGGATGCCAAGGGCGTGAAGGTACACTATCTGGGGCCAGTTCAGTGGAAAGCAGCACTCAGAGTGCGACGACTTCATGAGATCCGTACAGAACCAACACATGGACGAATCGCCAGAGGATTACTTTGACATTGCCTACAATCTTGCAGTTTGCGAACATGGCTACATTTTCGATGGCCGTGGAAAGGGCCATCGCAGTGGCGCCAATGGAAATGTCCAGTTGAACTCGGATCATTATGCTGTTCTCGCCTTTCTGGGAAAGCAAGGTGTCACGGAGCCTAGCGATGCGCAGATTACTGGGCTGCAGGATTCGATCGCATACCTTCGACGCGCTGGGGCGGGTGATGAGATTAAGGGTCACCGAGATGGTTACAATACCGAATGTCCTGGCGGTCCGCTATACAAATTGGTTATTGATGGTAGCCTGGACCCTGGTACACTGTGGGATGGAGGGTCTCATACAGTCCAGAAGGGAGAGGACTTGGATACTATAAGCTCCAAGTACAATGTGCCGAAGCAGCATATCATTTCCGCGAATGATCTTCAGTCCCCCTACCATCTTACTGTCAATCAGACCATAGAGGTTCCTGCTCGCGGTGTGCCGCTCCCCCAGAGTGACAATCGATAAGCGAGTGTATCCCCATCAGGTCGTTCGTTTCTATATCCTATGTAGCTATTATGGAAGCTTTCATGAGAGTTAGAAACGCGCCTGCGATCTGGCTTTACGAATATCACAGCCACAGGCAACTAATTCCAAATCTGATGGACCATGAGAATGGGAGACTGATGTGTAGCTTGCTCTGGAGTATACCGTTCATGATGATAAGGAAAGTCAGTGTCACGTCTGCACCTACTGGAAATCATGAATGAAATATTCTACTTTATATTGGCATTGCAGTTGCTTATGATCCAGGTATTCTAGTTTTAGCCACTATCTATGTTTCCCTGTCACATAACCTGCCTACGGCATATGAATTAAGGGACACGTGAAGCATTCCCCAACTCCTCTAGAACAAGACATTGCAGCTGTATATGAACGCAGGGCTTCGCAAGCAGGACACATGTTACGGCTACTCGCATCGGCTATTTCTATGAACGGAACGCATGTATTGTAGCCTTAGCAATGGTCGATGTACAATTCAGCTGAAAAACTCGTCTCTGTATATCTTCCATCTCTTGACCGCTGTTCTGCTTTAACATCGAACATCTAATCCCATAGTTCGGTTTATTGTGACCAATCTCCGCTTTCCGTGCTATGAAGGGATAGAAGGAATGATCTATCATTCCTTGCAGTCACCCTGAACTATCATATGGCTAGCCAGAGTGGCCTCACACGAGTTTCCCTTTACTAACCGCAGCCTCGAACACATTTATTACCAGTCGGGCGGAAACTACTTAACTTCGCATATAGGAAGAGGTGTCCAAAGGGATTCTTGGGCATATTGGGCATGAGAAGCGGTCTTTTCCGCGCTTAGGAGCTGTCGCGAAAGGTTTTACGGCAGGGAATTCAAGGCTACCTTTTCATTATTACGACCGCAAGACAAGCGCTTCCGCGCCACTACTTGCATCACAACGGTTGATGATCCAATCAGTCTCTCAAAGTTTGAATTGTCCATACGGTAACCGTCAACAGGACCTCTGTGCGGACCTGCTTCTTCGGTAAACTATGAGTGGAGTGTATTGTTTAAAGCAGGTAGCCTGGCCTTTTTGTTACTGAATTGAGAACAAAAACTGAATCGACGCGAACTTTATGTGCTGTCTTCTGATTGGCTCACGGCCGATCTCGGGCATTCGTGAGTGTCTGCGGTGGAAGTGGAACCAAGATATATACCGACAATACAGGATGTACAGCGTATGCGCTTGTTTATGATCTTACTAAGTCAATGATAGTCAATCATTGACCAACTGATATGCACATTCCGGTCAATACACTTTCATTTTTGCCCCTGACACGCCAGCGCGCTAGTGCCAATAGTTCGCTGATCTGTAGAGTATATTCATCGCGTCTTACATCTCAAGGAATCAAGTATTAAAACATCGAATCCCCCGGAGCTAAGCCGGTTATTCTAAGTCTGCGCGTGTATCTATCCTGTGGTATTCCAACTTATCTGCCACCACCCCGAAACAAAACAGTGCACAAAATGAAAGCAGGGCCTACATCAATCCTGTTCACCCTGCTTGGTCTGTCACAGGCCTTGCAGCTTACGGCTACTTCATGGAGCATCTGTCGTAAGTGATTGATGATCTGCTCTTGACAAATGATGGTATCCTTTCCGGTTAATTCTAACCCGTTTTAGAGGGCCACCCTGGTATAAATATTGTCGACATCAGTCCCTGTGATGCGGAGCCTTGTGTCCTCGCGCAAGGAGAGGAATATACAGTCTCCATGTCCGGAGAAAATGGCGAAACCGCTGTTGACAACGTCCACTTGACTATCGAGGGAGCCCTTGGGGCGTGGGTCCCTGTTGCAGATGTGTCAGTCTGTGGGGCGAGTCTCGCTTGTCCTGTCGAACCACTTGGTAAATGGACTTTGGACCACACTTGGGCGATTGACAGTTTATTGCCTACTGGACAGGTTCTGACCAGATGGAAATTGGTCGAAACTAATGGGGTTGCTGAGCTTGGGTGCGCAGAGATCGTCGTTACTATTGAATAGATTAGAGTGGGCCTGATCTGCCCCTGGGCCCGTGGACTGATTCCCAGAGTCACGTTTTTCTGCCTCAGGGGATCAGCTGGTGTATTTATGGACTCGATAATTTTCTCAAGTAAAATCAAAGCCATCAGCGTGAAACTGGGTTGATGTTGACAGACGTCTGCTAGGGTATTATCTTGTAGGAAGTGGCTCTGTGAGTCAACATCCCAACACATACGGGGTACGCATCCTTTACTGCTGGAGAGTGGAGCAGGCTGCAAGGTCAGTCCGCCTCCTTGCATCTCACCCGTTGCTGCCTTTGCGCGTGTGTCTGGCAGTGATACTCAGACCTGTCGCTCTTTTAAATACAGGGACAGTGAGGTAAATAAGTGGGCACCATCCATCAGACTATGGAACAGGCATAGAGGGTTCAACGCGTGACTCTGGGCCCCGTCGATTGGTGTTCATGGTCGTCAGAAGCAACTAAGGCTTTATCTAACAGCACGGAGAACAACTCCTGGACATTCCGACAATGTACTCGTCATAATCATGATCCTTATAATCTTGGACCTCGCTGTGCTACTGAATTCTAAGCTGGACATTCCGGTGTCACATTTAGTATCGAGCGACATCGCTTTCAATGCCCCCGAACTACGTGTACATAGTAGTGAAAGAAGTGTGAGCTATTCCACACTGGCCAAGGTACTATCCAAGTAATAATTCGAGTCCATCGCAAATAACTATGTCGACGTTGATTCATATCAATATTAAATATACTGATATAGTTAAGTGTAGCGGCGGTATACTATATAGGTGCCCCCAGGGCATTTAGGATTTTGGCCTTGTGCAATGTAGAGCCTTGGCTGTATCTCCTACCTTAAGAGAGCTATTATTTAAATATTTATGCTGAAAGAGCGGTATTATTCTTATGGATATCTATAATATAAGTAGAATATTTGAATTTCTGGTATAGCGTACAATAGATCCTTTTTTATAGTTAATTAGCCTGCAACAGGTGCCGTGAGGCATCTACCAAGGGATCAATTCCAAAGATGGATTGCCTCACATGTATCTCTCTACAACAGTGGATGCTCAATAGCCATCTTCCCAAATCCCCGCCTACCATCACCAATCGCTTGTAGTTCCTCCAGAGCAGTTTCCGCTGTTCCGCTAACTACATCAACACATGGGAATTTGAATCCCGCACCGTAGTTCGCAACCGCCCATTGTAAAGCTTGCCATGCACGCACATAATCAGAGGGCCGAGCTGGAATCGTAATAGGCTGAGGAGCCCCATGAACCCGGATAGTAACGTCACGGTTGGGGGTAGCGAAGGGCATCTTAAACCGAGGGTCGTGCTGAATGACAACAGAGACAAGACTGGCATCATCTGAAACACACCCCGCCATCAGCTTTGCTGAGCCGGTTTCTCCGTAACTTCCCACCGTGTCGAAAGCATAGCCGATGGAACCCCATTGTCCCTCTTCTACTGCTGATTGAAGTTGCGAAGCCACATCCGGGGATCTGTAGTCAAAGCATTTTGTTGCGCCGAGCTCCAGTAATAGTGAGTGTCTGCTTGGGGACGCAGTGACGAAGATCGGATAGATCCCGCTTGCCCGAGCGAGCTGCACTGCGCAGAGACCGACACTGCTTGATGCGCCCCAGATCAACACTGGTCTTCCTGCCTTCTCTGTGGTTTCGGTGTCTGGTAGGGGAAACCTGAAAAGGTTATAGAGCGTATCAGCAGCGGTCATGGCCACGACGCTAAGGCATGCCGCATGATGCGGTGGAAGGTTTGCCGGCACATGGAAGGCCATTTCTTCCGGACAGACTAGGTATCGCTGATGGGTCCCATATCGCGCTGGCCTGTTGAGGCCGGTAGGAGTATACCCGGCAACAGTGTCACCGGGACGAAAAGAAGACTGGGGCGGCGCCTGCAGGACTTTCCCACAGAAGTCGTAGCCCAACACGGCCGGGTAAATTCCCAGGAGCGTGGCATGTTTGACATCGGCCGGATTTGCCCCCGAGAACTGCGTCTCAATCAAGAGTTCCCCATCTCCCGGCACTGGAGATGCTAGACCTCGGCGAACTCGGAAGATGGCCTGTTCATCGGCATATAAACCGGTATTTGTGTTTGGCTGGCTCATGGTTGGCAAATGCTGAGTAGAAAGAAGAGAGACGACAGGAATAGCATTAGGGAAGAGGAGATACCAAGATCGACACCCCTTCTGGTCATATATAGACTATGTATGACGGAGTAAGTTCGCAGTAAGCGCGGAGCACCTCGGAGACATGGCATGGTCTTCAATTTGTCCTTCCTTACGGAAGCTGCAAAACACTTCCGATTCCGCTTAATAACCAACTTTATCCCCACACGGTTGTGGGGGCTTCTTATGCAGTATGTAAATCAGCCTCGACCAGGCTTGTGCCCGATGTATATATACCGATCACTTATGGCCCAAGGTAATCATGCTGTTGCTCCTAAGCCACTGTTTCTAATTGCTCAGTTTGAATTTGTCAACCCGTTCCTGAAAAGACCACCGCCATTATGTCCGTGGAAGAGAAGCTCAGAACTCAATTTCCAGAGACCGTTTACACGGCATTGGCACCACCGGACCGTCATCCTGGGTTCAACTACAAGGGCTTCCATCCAGGCCGGGTTACTCGACTCCCAAGGGGTCATGTAAAGGAGCCTGGGTATCAGGCGTTCCCGGTGGATGTGACTTGGGACGAAGACCAAGCAATTGTCATGCGTGACGGCGTCAAGCTATATGCAGACGTATTTCGCCCCACGGATGAGAGTGAGAAGGTACCTGCAATCCTACCCTGGAGCCCATATGGAAAGGTCGGGACCAGTACTTTAAGCTACGATAATATGGGGCCATGGCGAATTGGTATTCCATATCAGAATCTGAGCGGATACGAGACCTTCGAAGTGAGTTATCGCCAGGCCTCGTTCATACCAGTTCGCAACAGAACCAACTGACTATGTGAAGGGTCCAAACCCGGCGGAATGGTGTTCCCGGGGCTATGCAGTTGTAGATGTCGACGCCAGAGGGGCGGGTCATTCAGAGGGGAACCTCATGTTCTGGGGCGAACAGGCAGGTCCAAGATGTTATGACGACGGCGGATGCAATGGCTAATGGGTCAACTAGGAAGCGGTTGATATCTACGATACGATCAGCTGGATAGCCCAGCAACCATGGTGCAACGGATCGGTAGTTATGGCGTATGTTTTATGATACAACCCTCTGGGAGTCGTCTGACAGCTTGAAAGGGGAAATTCGTGGTTGGCTATCTCACAACTCAACTTTGCGTCGCGATTCCAGCACCCGAACCTGAAAGCGATTGCCCCTTGGGAAGGATTGACGGACCTCTATGATCATCAGATATGCCGCGGAGGAATCCCGAAACCTGCGTTTGGTGAATTGATCCTGAGAGGGTTTGCAGGTGCGTTATAGCTAGCACCCTCCCCACAAAGGCTTGCCAAAATGCGTTATAGGAAATACGTTTCTAAAGATATCTCAGGGATGGGAAAGGCAGAGAATATCGGTGCCATGGTAAAGTCCTACCCATTGTTTGACGAATACTGGGAGGAAAAGCGAATCAAACCAGAAGACATCAAGGACATTCCGATGTATCTTACAGCCTCCTACTCGACTGGCCTACATTGTGAGGGCTCCTTCAGAGCGTTTGAAATCGCACAGACATCTCGGAAGTGGCTACGCGTGCACTCTACGCAGGAGTGGCATGACCTATACCGACCAGAAGCTACAGACGATCTGCAGCGCTTCTACGATTACTACGCTAAAGGTATCCAAAACGGCTGGGAGGCGGAAACACCCCGTGTACGACTGAGCCTATTGGGGTATGATGGTAGTATGGTGAAAACGATTGTGGAGCGCCCTGAAGAGCAGTGGCCTCCAGCACGGCAGCACATCCGTCGCTATTATCTGGATGCTGCAACTCAATCGTTGAGTACAGTGCGGCCTGTGAGTTCTGCCAGGATTACGCACGAAGGGCATTCATTGATTGCTTCGTCGGTATGTTTCATGAGTACAGCCACCATTGGTTATTGGTTAATGATGGGTCTTGTAGGATTTCACTCTGTTCTTCGATAGATATACCGAGCTATGCGGGCGTCCCTTTGTGAATCTATACATGTCTTGCAATGTGAAGGACGACTTTGATGTTGTGGTGCAGATCCGCAAGATCTCTGCGTCTGGAGAGCCTCTTGAATCTTTGAACTGGTCACCGATGCCTGTACCACGACCCGAGGTCCCGAATGTCAATGTCGCAAAGCATTTAGGTCAGCAGGGTATGCTCCGAGCCTCACACCGCGTGAGCCTACAGCCGCGAGCCAGCGAAGATGAGGTGCCCGTGTATGATCACCGCAGCCGCAAAGCGATCGCTCCGGGAGAGATCGTCCCTCTGCTGATCCCAATATGGCCCCTGGGCGTGGCTTTCGAGGCCGGTGAAGGTTTGATGCTACGAATTGCCGGTCATGATATGTCACTCCCGGAAGCAGAATCGTTGAGGTTAACAGCCCCAATCGATGATAATGAAGGGCAACACACGGTGTACACCGGTGGAGAGTATGACAGCCATCTTGTACTCCCGGTGATCACCGAATAGGTATTATTTGGAATGGGTATTATACTGAGGAATAGCGGGCCCTGTGGCTTAAGTCTTGCAGTCGACGACGGGTAGTAATGTTACATTCTGTACTACCTCTTGGGCTTGCATAAAGAAATAAGATTCACGGATGCGAATTATCTGAATGGGATCGTTACAAAGAATGCTTGCCTTTCAAAGTCGACAGTCTCGATAACAGGAGGTTGTTTTAGATCCAGAGCAACTACCTGTAGAAGCTATCTTAGAAGTTCCAAAGCTGGTGATCTGACCTGGAGCCTTACGGTTTCTGTGAAATACTGAAAGCAATAAAAATGGCTCTAGTACAAGACTGCACTGGGTCTGTCTTGAGGTAGACGAAGGATGACGGATATACATATATACAGTGCTATTAGAACGGAGTACAATATTATCGAACCTAACTTACTAGAAGGTGCGACAAACCCTTTCAATGTTCCTGAAGCCCCATTCCAGCCCTTTTGCGTATACATCCACAGGTGTATAAGGCGGCAAGAGACGGTATACTTCGCACAAGAGGACATACTATCGCCCATAAGCCAGGGCAACATCATTAATCAACGCAATGCCTTCCTTCCGCCAATCGTCCACCTCAGTATAACTCGTAACATTTGCAACCCAAACCATGATCAGGGGCCTGTCAACTGTATAAAGCGGCCAATCCGCCCGAGTGGAATTCCTGCCCCCTCCACTCCACCTATTCGGATCCAAAATCCGCCACAAAGCTCACCCACGACCCAGCCATCACATAACTCAACAGAATGTAACTCTCCGTCAGATTCCCCATATCAAATGGATTGGGACTATACCCGTAGCCGCCAAGGTTGTTGAAGATGAAGGCTAAGTCAGAGAAGTGCGCAACGCCCTCGGCCCAGGTGGAGGTTGCGGGCTTGGTATTGAAGCGATAGCAGTAAGCGGAGATGTTGTGGGAGGATTCGATGCCGGCCTATGTTCCGGGGAGGTTTCTTTAGTTTCTATTTTCTTTTGTTCAGTGGATGACTGAGTACTGGCTAGCTAACATATAGACTCATTGACCCAGATAGTGCGCAGCTTTGCAACTGCTGGAAATATTATACCTCGTAGCGTTGCGTGATTGATATCGACACGCTTCCACGCAAGACGAGCAAACCATCCTAGGGATGCCACAACCCTTATAGATCGAGCTATTGAGAGGACTGGAGATCGATTGACAGTTCTCGGATGTTTGGGCTATTTACAGAGGCCAACTATCTCCTGGATGGCCTAACATGAATCTACCAGTATTCAAATAGTGTCTTGTTCTACTTTGATATGCAAAGATATATATTTTTCTGGTGTCTGATCAGTTGGATATCTCCCCGTTTGAAATTCCAGATAAATATTTACAAACTGCTTGAATCATACCTCAGAACTTGGCAATTTATAATATATCTGCTCAATGCGTAACCCTACCTACTTGCATAATATTATCATGTGTGTTATGTGTCTTGAACATGCCCAAAACGCCAGGCACCAAACTCATGAGTCACACTTCCGGGTAGGTAGCCAACATTTTCAGGCAGCCATGGCCCGTTGCCTAAAAGATGCCTAAATAACTAACCATATATCTTCCACTGATGTCTCTACTGGATTGGGTGTCTCATTCTTCATTCCGCTATTATACATCGGGCGACAATTCTTCAACAGGTAGTGACAATGACGAAACGCTCACTAAGCCCTGACCCAGTGTCCACGACACGTCGCATCAAGCCCATCTCCATCGAAGAGAGACCGTTCAGAATCATTAATCTTAATGACGGTGACCTCGTACACCAAACCTGTGTTGCGGTCCATGGCGAGTGCCAGGATTTTGACTATGCTGCGGATACCAATTGCGTGTCTGTCTCGTCTTCTAACATGCTGAACCAGACACAGACAGTCAATCACTGGCCGTTGCACCAAGGCCAATGGAAGGCGCTTGTGATGCTTACACCGGGGACCAATACCCTCGTCTTCAAGCTACATCACGCCGGGGGTATTTCCGCTTCCTTGCAGATCACAGTAACCTATATTCCTCTGCTACAACTGCCTCCTCTCCATCTCGCGGTGCTTGTGGCGAAGGATTCACCGCTGCTCATCGATTGCCCACCAGGCAAATATGGAGGCATCTCAACTGCCCACAGCGCCATCGACGCCGCCATCGCTAAACTGCGGATGTCAGCATACATGTGGCAGGCTCTCACAGCAGAGGACTTCCGTCAAAAGGGATTGGGTAGACGTTCATTTCGCCTGGAGGAGGAGTGGTCCGCCAACACAACCATGCAAACGGGGCATCAAGTGACCCCTGGCACTAGTAGGCATATGGGGGCTGTTCCAAAAGTCCACATTATCCGGTCGGATAAGACGGTCGCAGAGCTCAGGGATGCCAATGTTGCCCAGCAGAATCCTCGAGGGCGGGATCGGGACGCCTTGCATCGGTACTTCGAGGCAGCCCTTGCTAAGTCAGGGCCGCCGTTCGAGTCAAGCTGCCGTCCAGTCGTGGCCGGCTTGCTTCTGGACGCACATTACTCTACCGAGCAATCCATGATCCTGGGACATGCCGCCTTGGGTTGCCACAAACCCAATGGCATCTCCCTGGGCATCTTTGGTAGTCATCTTACTTATTCCTGGCCACGCTTCCTCGAGGAAGTCCCTGCCTGCCTGACAGATACGACACTCACGGGTGATACCGTCGGCAACGACAACGGTGAATGCGACACCATGCGCGGCGCGTGTTTTGTCGGCCAAGGGGCTTTTCTGCACGAGGTCGGTCATGCTTTCGGCGCCGGACATACGACGGGGATCATGGCGAGAGGGTACAGCCAAACATGGGCGATGAACTTCATGGCACACGAGACAAACGGCACGATGGAAAACGATGCTAAGTGGGATCTGCAAGATGCGCTCAAGTTCAAGTTGCAGCCGCACTTCGCACTTCCTGGCGATGAACCCATGTCAAAGGACCTTCGCGTTGCTAGCGTCAAATTTGATGTTGACTTCGGCTTGAATGACCAAGATGTTATGAATATAGAGGGGGAGCAGCCCAAGGAGAGCCTCAAGGTGTCTTGTAAGGCAGGCCTCGCGCAAGTGAAAATTGAGAACGGGACAAACGATCCCGTTATCCATGATTTTATAGGGGATGCCTATCACAAGGGTGCTTGTACACTTCTCTCCATCGATAATGTTCAGGACGAGTTCGATCACAATGAACCGGTGAAAATCACTGCCATCGGTGTGAATGGGAAGGTAGGCGTCGTCAAGGATTTGTGGGCGATGCTCAAAGAGAGGCCCTATATCATGATCCCGGGCAGCAATGTCACTCTTCGCAAACAATCCATTCGGTCTGGGGATTTTGCTGCAAACAGCAATGAGGACAAGTTTATCAAATGGGCTATGCTCCTTCACCGCCGCGGCCAAGATGGCAAATTGCATCGTGCGACCTCGATCGACCTTCGGGTGGGATGTACTATGGATGGGGCAATCGTGTACTACGCTGATGGGTCGCAATCGAATTGTGGTCCCGGCCATCCTCATCGATTTGGTGGACACGCGTCAGAACGCCATGAGATCCCCGTCGGGGAGACCATCACCAAAGTCAGGATATGCCGGAATGATGACGGATGGGGGAGCTTGTCAGGCGTCCGAATGGCTCTGAGCAATGGAGATGAGTGGGGTCATCTCAACCGCTATGACGGCGACAGCGACAGTGACGATGAGGAGGATGGGGAGGATGGGGAAGACGATGAGTCGGTTTTGACTCTCGAGCCAGCCGAGGATGAGGTCGTTGTCGGCTTTTACGGCCAGAGTGACTCGACTCGTGGTTACACCTTCGAGTTCGGAATTTTGACAGCTCCTCTGGGGGTGGATCTGCCAGAGAACGTTTATGATTTGCCGGAATTCAGGAATAACGAATGAAATGGTCATGATGAAACAGATCTGACGGAACCCCTGTTCCCCCTTGTTCAGCTGATGGATGAATTACGGATCAAAAGGCTCACTAGACATGCAGCCGTGCGAACTACACAGGTAGAGACGGCCTACTGCAGGTGGTGACCAAGAGCACGGATGTACTATATCGGGAACACAAACCCAATCCAATGAATGTATATATTGATGATCAGAATACTGTCTGAAGCTGACGGAAAACACTTCCACTATCCCTTTGCTATTGCAATCTGCCAACCGGAAATGCGAACCTAAATGTTGTATGTTCAATAGATAGTCATACTGGGTCAACGGTTATAGTTTTAACCACGGCGGCTCGCAAGATACGGCGCAACTCTAGGTCGGGCCTCGAATGCTGCTCTGAACCTGGCGAGAGGCTCTGGTAGAGAAGCCTTATTCTCCACGAGTAAGTGATGAGTGCGTATAATATGAAGTTGGGAAGGGATTTACCGGCAATGTTCCAATCTGTGAGTCGTTGTCGATCGACTGGTAGACGACAAAATCTGTATAGGTGATCGTTTCACCCAAGAGATAAGGGCCCTCCTTCTGAGCATAAAATGTAGCTAGGACGTTGTAATAGTTCGGCACAAACTCGTTCTTAAACTTCTCCGTGACATTGCCCAGGTTACTCACCCATTGGACCTAACACATGCATTAGCTGAATCACGAAATCCTACTTCTGCTTGTAAAGGTGTTCACGATGGTATGCTTACTCGCCAGTCATTATACACGTCAGCGACTGCATCCAGAAGATACTTCTCCAGGCTCGTATTTCCGTCATACTCGCCAAGCTCTCTAGCTAGATACCTCAGAATTGGTAGATGCTGTCATACCGTTAGTAGGATTCAGATTATTATGGACACCGTAGAAGTACCTGTGAGAGGATGTGCCCTTCATACTCTAGGACCGGTACCTGGCCAGTCACCGATAATCCCTTCTGCTTGAGTTCTGCGCTGGCCTTGGGCCAAGTATCGTCGTACGGATATCGGACATCATTGAACTCTACCCCTGCATCTTTCAAGAACAGTCTAATCGATCATGTTATAAGCGATCACTTGTCCTTTTCCTTCATCACGGTTGCTCTCACCGGATAACCTCTCCACGACCCAGGCTACCGATATCGAGGTAATAGAGCGTTGGCTTCGTCGATGGCAGCGGCATCTCTATTTTGTCTTCAAATCTTTCTAACCGACACCTTGCTATCACTATGAAGCTATTGACGGTAATGCCTTTAGTGCGGTGCAGTGCGTTACAACAAGGAAAGGAAGACGGAGGGGAAAGGTGGGATTGCTTACCAATGCGGGGCATGAAGTGTCTCCCGCAATGATGGGAAGAGATCTCTCTAAACCGTTCTAGGAAACCGAAAGTAAATTTAGTGGGCTATTATGGCAACTTAATAATCACCGTCCTACGGCTTTAGGCTCTCGACTACAATCTTACAACAAGGTAACCGGCTTCTACGGATATAAGCATGATTTACTCGAGCCTTACTATTGCAAGTTACGTACTAGAGACCCTGAATAAACTAACAGTCTCCCAAGACGCAGCATTGAGCCCCTATATCAAATGTAATCTATGCCTTAGGTAGATCTAAACAATCCAGGTTGTCAGACCCGACGAAGGGGTCAATTGCAGTAAATTGGCCATTGGCGCTGCATCTAATACAGCTACTGTCGCTAAGCGTTTATATGATGTATGCGAACCTGTTCGACATAACCAGGTTATAGAGAACGCGATGGCCCACAATGGGAGAGGGCAGCATGTTCAAACCGGCTTCCACTTTAAGGATAGCCTACTCTTCCGTCCCTATGCTCCTCTGAGACCACTCTTGGATCACGAAGAGGACGGAACTTTGGACCTCGTGCTCAAGACATGTTTCTTCCATAGGAACCGACCGGGCGGTACTATGAGTAATATTTTGGACTGTCTGCCGGAAGGGGAAGAGGTCGAAGTCAAGAGTCCATCGGGTGCGATCCACGACCAAGGCCACGGCTGCTTCTCTATCAATGACGAGACATATACCTTCGACGAAGTTTCTTTAATTCTGGGAGGATCCAGCGTTACGCCAGGATACTGGATTATTGCACGATTTTTGGGAGACAAAAGTGACAAGACTAAACTTCGAGTAATGGGCGCCAGCACGTCAGAGAACGATGGACTGATGAAAGACGAGCTTGAGTAACCATCAAAAATACACAAGGGCCAGTTTGAGATTATCTGCGTGGTATTCCATCCCGGGGAAGACCGGATTGGCCATAAGGGGCGTGTGGACGACGGTATTATCAAGAACCATGCCTTTAAACCCGGGACCACACTGTGGCACTTCTCTGTGGTCAGCCAGCCCTTCCCGTTTTACTAGCCTGAAGGTATGATGAAGATAGGAGCTTGCTCGGTTTCTGAATCAAACCTAGTATTGGAGATTCAAAACTACATAATACATAGAAGAACAAAAATAAAACAACCATTATACAAAAATACTTTTCCGAAAAATGTAGACGACTTGAGCCACTCCATCAAAGCCCAGCGGTCGGATATGAATATCTTTCGCTTGCCACGTATGGCACAGTATAGCGAATAGAACAACCAGTGTAGCCCAATATGAGGAGCAGGACCGCCGCTATTCAATGCCACCGTTTCGCAAGCCATTGTACATATATCCTTTGAAACAGACGTGAGACCATTATCGTACCACCATAACAGCAGGAGCCCATCTTCAAGGCATGTCGACTTCAAAGATTCCGGAACAAGTAACCCCGATCTAAGCCCGTTGTGAAGCAGCCCTCCCTCCAAGCACACTTTGTCGATTTCTTCTTTTCTCGGTGTCTGGATGCAGTATCGGGCGGGCGTGCAGCGTGATTTATCAAGCCTCTCTCGGACCTGAAGTGAAAGCAAACCCATTATCAGTATGGACGGATATGAGCGATGTCGGGGTGCTCACGAGCAGGAGATGGGCGGTTTTTCAGCCAGTACAGAAAGACAATCAGGCTCAGAACGAACTTCGCGATGCGGGTGACGAGATGGGCCAACTCGAAGAATATATCAAGGATTTCGTTTGTCGCGCAATCCATAGTTGCAGAGGCTCTCGACACGTAGTCTGTATGGGAAGTGTGAATGATGCGGTGGCAATGGATGGGAAGAGTTCGGGGCGATGGCCAGTTATATACGTCTCGCAGGCGTACAGGTTCCCTTGATGATTGTAGCTCGCTACCCTGATCGCTCATCTCACTAGCTGCGATTAGGAATAGCGGACTTGGTGCAGTTACTGTTGATCCACATCTCTAATTTGGAATTCTCGTTTCAGTGTGGTTGAGAGGAACTTTGGGATGGTAGTTCTGCTATACCAAACGGCTCTGATGAATGGTGCAATCTCCGATGGCGAAGCAGTAGGCATCCACAATTCCGAAAAAAAAAAAAAAAAAAATAGAAAATCGAGACTGGCTTAAGTTGCGGCAGTGTCCAACTCTGGTAGGGACTCTATGGGATAGGGGAATTCGGCTGCTCTCGAGCTGTGCTCAGATCCACGATTCCACCAGTCGGTGTGCAGCTGTACGAAATAGGAATGGGAAATGCAGTAATATAACGGTATAGCTCCACTCGCTTTAACGCATCATAACGAATAGAAGACGGCGCCGACAATGAAGAGTGATATGTTGCCGGTGCCTGGTGGTATATACATACATTATGATGGAGAGACGCATCGCCAACCCGCTAGAATGAAAGACTCCGGACTTGCATTGGATTGATCATGGAAAACAGCCGGCTAGGTTGTCAAAGCAAATTTGCCAGCGACATGTTGCGCCAGGGGGGCCGTCATGATGCAGGCTGAATACAAGAGATGTGAGTAAAGACACCGAATAGGGTTTGATCCACCGTGCAACCCTTTCTGTAGTATTATTATCATTATTAATATTATTGTCTTGGCTATCAGTTTTCATTTCTGCACTTTGCTTTTCTCCATTGTGCATCTGCGGGGATCATCAGGGACAATGACGATAAAGGCCTGTCGCACAATGTTGTGGCTTGGAATAAGCTAAGTCTGCCACCCTGTATTAATGGGATTTCGTTCGGGTTTGCCCTTTCTGCCGCTAGGTTAATTTAGTCGGATGACTTTAAGTATTTCTGTTTTATTTTAGGTAGGTTCTCTAAAAACCTTGTTTAGTCTGCTTAACCAACTCGGTACAGGGATTGCTTGAAGTGCTTATTACGTTTACTAGGTCCGCTTAGAGAGGCTTACCCTAGCTCTCCACTGTTGATAAAGGAAGTCCAGGTGATGAACTAGGTAGTGAGAATCCCGACTCGGCACCGAAGGAAGACGAATTCATGTGGAGTGACAGCATGCCCTTGCTCCTCCCTGCCCTAACCCACTCAACGTACACAGGATCATTTATCCGAGCCATTGTGTTTCCAACCTTTTTCTTTTGAAAGCTTTAATTCATCGCTGTTTTCTTGGCATGTAGAGCAACCCGATCCTCGTGTGGACATGACCTGAACAGAATGTCCTTGACCATGGATTTGTAGTTTAGCGGGTTCGCCAATGTCTTGGAGGGGCTCACCAGGTACGGAGGAGATTGGCTATAATTAGCTTTCCGGTATTTTGCGAGAATGATCCCACCGCTCATCACCGGGATGCAATCCCTCTGGAATCGCAGATGATCTCCCGGGGAGAGTTAAACGTTGCTCGTTTTGCGGCGGGTCCGTCTCACATCAGTGGAAGCTAGCATATCTTGCGCGAAGACAGCAGGTACCGGTGGCCAGATTGACTGCACAACTGAACATCCAATAGGAGATCAACACCGACCTTGACGGAGGCTGGGGTCCGAACAGGGAAGATCCTAGACTCGGATGTTAGTCTTCGTCCGAGCTACTGCAGCGACTTGACCCAATGAAAGCGTTCCTCTCCGCCAAGATGGCACGCACATCAATCCGCTGTGATTAAGGGGTAGTCAATTATGTTCGATCCTATTAGATAGGTCCTACAATGGGGTCCACAGCACCAAGGTGTGTCGGCGATGTGAATCAAATCGTGGCTGTCCAGGGCGTGCCAATTTCAGTGACGTTTTTCAATAGGTCCGCAGGCTTAAACTTTCCACACGTGGGCTATACACCAGTAGTCCCCTCATATCCATGCAGGCCATGGGACTGATCGGTCTGTCGAGTAAATACATACTACTCATAATCACAGACATGGGGAAGCTGGCTTGGTGTCGGCGGCGGTCGGTCTCGTAGAATCATACGTAATCCCTGCATCTACTTGAGTCTACGAATTCTAGAGGCTTTCTCTCTCATCTCAACCCCGAGTGCAGTCAGCTGCTAGGGTACTTGTAACCGGTACCATATTGGGAGGTACATATTGATGTGATTATCTCCAACGCAAGCGGGTATGGCTGCGCGGCATGCGCATTTCTCTTTTATTCTCCCAGAATCTGCAGGAGACACCAAGAGATGTGGGCCGACTCTCGGCTCTCAGATGTCTGATCGCGGGTTAACGTAACCGGTAAGCAACTCGGTAGCACTGTATTCCATATAAAATAGCATACTTTCACTATCAATATCTCAACAACTTTATATTCTATCTATTTATAATTTTATTTGCAGTCTACTATATACTATAACAATACTCTGTGAAATATATAGATTCTAATAATTTTTTATTATCAGAGTAATATAAATTACTGTGTATTTTATAGTATATAGCTATAATTTATATTTCTAGAACTTTATTTTTATAGATACTTAATATATATATTACATATACCTGTAATAATACTGTGTCAAACTATAAAACAGATAGAATATACACTTGTTGAGATATTGATATTGAAAATATGCTATTTTATATGGAATACAGTGCTTACCGGTTATGTTATTTGACTTGGCCCACAGAGCGTGTAACTTAGGTACGACTTGGCCGTCCCTTTGTGGTTCTTACATGACTCGGGGCCCATTGCGCGAGTTGGGGGCCAGTTCTATCATCAAGTGGCATTGATTAATGCTAAAAGTACCGCTCTGCCTCGTCTGTAATACCGCTTTGGAACCGAATAAAGTACCTTCCATGCTGTTGGAAGTGCTCACTGCGCCACAGCCTCTCTCTGTTGCACCGTCTAACCCTAACCCTTGTCCCCAAAATGCGCCCGCAGCATGCAACGAACCTAAACGAAATTGGACCACCCGTCTCGAACAAATAGGTAGGTAGTTCATGGATGGATCTGTCCTCGGGTGAGAGACGGCTCCACCAACAGCGAAAATATATATAAATAAATTAGAATAAATAAAATGTAGATCAAGTGATTCTGAGCAGGCCAAAAAAAAAAAAAAAAAAAACAAAAAATAAAAAAAAAAAGAGACAGACATAAATAAAACTATAACGATAGGAACCGTCATTTGGACCTATGTTATAACCCATTTACCGACGTACGCCGTGGAATCGTAGACCCTCCCCAGTGTCCTCCCCACATTCGACCGTCGACACGCACCCACCTCGTTAGCCTCCCAGGTCGCGGTAGTTAGTTAAACGAACGCGAGGCTTAAGTTGATGTCTTCCAGAAAGCACTGTCTCAATGTCATCATATTAACTTTCGACCTCGAGACACCATCATTTGGCGAACCGTACATTGCATGGCCCGACTATCCTACGTGGCGTATCTGCATGGGAGCCCGTAATACAGTACATGATAGCACCAACAAGGATAAAACTAGAACAAATGTCTTTCCACAGAGATTTACGCCGCACATGAGTTCATCAATTCAACATGGGAATTGTGTCTGCCTTCGTGCAGCCTCGCGGGCCCCAGCCACCGGACAGGGGAAGCGACTGGCAGCCCCTTCTGGATGACGACTTGCTGGCCAAATAGTAATTTCCCGTCGCAATGGGATCCTGCACCAGTTTCAACCTCAACTTCTAGGGCATCTGCATATCATAGG